TCAGGGTTGGCCTGTAGGGATGCAAAGTCAATGTGGGACCTGGAAAGTGGCTGGGCTACTGTTGGTCCCCCTCCAGCAACCCCTTCCCGTTTCCCTGCAAATTTCTCTGTCTGCAGCCACGAGAAAGATGTCCTTCTTGTCCACATCTGAAGCAGTGTCGACAGGTGTCACCAGTCCCAGCTTCTCTGCATGCCTGGCATCCTTTAGCTCTAGCGAATGTGCGCTTTGGTGCCGCTGCCCCAGACTCAGTATACAGTTTCTTAATTTCCTGGACATCTGCTTTGAGACCTTCAATCAGCTTCACAGTCTCTGGATCTGGCCCTCTACTCTGCACTTTCTTCTTGCTACTTTTGTCACTTCCTTTACTCTGTCTTTCATCTTGTATGTCGTTGTCACTGTCTTGTGATGGATAGTTATGAATGGGCTGCACCTCTGCTTGTATTTCATTTACTCTGGGTGGTTTGACTGGTACATGTCTTTTAAGTTTGTTTTGTCGCTCTATTTCAAGGCTTGAAGCTTCATTTATCTTTTCAATTAAAACTTCATCTCTCACATTTGGTGTGCTCAGATATGGTTTTAACTGGAACTTTACTGCTTCGCTCAACAAACCTGTCTCGAGGGACCGCAGGAATTTGCGTTGGATCAGATTTGGGCTGAACTGTTCCCCTTCATCTTCTTCGCCAGACTTGTAGAGCAGTTTCTCTCTCAACTCTATTGCTCTAAACAGGAATGCTTGAGCAGCAGACTCTTTAGGGTCTTGGGAAATGTTCATGAGCCTGTGCAGCAGGTCTGATGATGAGTCAACTTTGTAGTGTCCTCTTAAGATGATTTTGAGAGTGGAGAGCGTGAGGCCCGCTTCACTTCCAGCAGATCTCTGAGATGAAGGCCAGGGCTGACAGCTTTGATGACAGCTTCGATGATTTCGTATTCAGAGTATCCCTTCTTGATGCCTGACTCAATCTGATTATTTAGACTGGTGAAAGAAAGCTTGTCTTTCTGCCCCGCTTCCCCAATCTGGCCCCATATTTTAAAGTCTTTCTTTAATGTGACTTCAGGCACTCTGTGGGTTGCAGGTGGATTTGCCCCTCTTTCACTGGTTGCTGCCATGCTATTCAGCTTTGCCCCCAAAGCTCCAATCTTCTCCTCCAGAATGCGACGTTCTTCTGCCTGCGCCTTCTGAAGTTGCTCGTATTCCTGCTTAAGTTTTTCAATAGCAGCATTCTCTGACTTTTGCGATTTAGGTTCAACTGTATCATGTGCTCCGAATGACTGTACAACTGACTTGAGTTCATTAACAAACTCTAGGAACGCCAGGGGGTCACCATCTTCATCATCTTCAATTTCAACAATTGTGTATTCCACCACCTTTATCAGAGCGCGGCGGGTCATTCCATCAAACCCTTCACCTGCCGGTCTACTGCACTTAAGATGATGGCACACTTTGATGAGCTCTGGTTTCCCCAATGTCCACAGTGTTGCGATGATCTCATCCAGTTCTTGTTCCATGTTGATTTTTGTTTTACTTCTAGGTTCGACTCTCGGGTAGGTTGTCTCAGGAAGCTTCTTTTAGCTCCTGGCTGGCTCGCCAAGATTATGTTACCCCCGTGAAGACAGACACAGGCTGGGGTGTAACATTGGGTTTTTTTATTCTGTAAACAGAAACATATATAGTTTTCAGACGCGGCTTTGCCTCCGTGGACTTCAGTTGAAAACCTTACGCAGAACTGAGCTAACTCTGCCTTTATACTATGCAGACTCATATTTTAGTTATAACACAGTTGCTTGTCTTACAGTCTCTTTAACATGTTTTTTACAAAAAGAAAAACAAGCTTAAACTTGACATAAACGTTACAAATTACAGATCTCCAGTACAATAAAAGTACTTATTTACCAATAGACCAGTCACAATATATCTACTCAACTGCTACGATGAACCTATATAGGTAATAGAAAATAACTGCAACAAATCGGACCAACGTCTATATTTAACTGGACGCTAACAGTAGTTAGCAGTTAACGTTTTGTACAAAGAACCTAAAAATACAATTTCAATAAATAAAACATCGTCCCGAAATTACAAGTAGTCCCACTAATGTTACCCATAGAGTGCTTAGTGTACTTAACCCACCTGTAAACAGAAACATATATAGTTTTCAGACGCGGCTTTGCCTCCGTGGACTTCAGTTGAAAACCTTACGCAGAACTGAGCTAACTCTGCGCGAGACCAGGACGTTAGTCTCCTACTTACGTGCCACTACTGCCATCTTCTGGCGCAAATTAACATAGCACCAGAAACGGGTAAATAGTACACAGCCAAAATTAAGAAACATTAGTAGTAAAATAAAAGGGTTAATTAAAATGAAAATTAATTGGGGGGTATCTTATTATACTTAAACAGTCCTGGGGGCCACATAAGCCATCTAATTTGTTATTTTCTGTGACAAAGGACCCCCTTGATAGTTTATCTCAATGGGCCTATCCTTAAATAGATAAATAAATAAATAAGATCTCGTGTTTTAATGTGTTTTTAAGTCATATTTACATTTTAAGTTGTGTAAATCTGTATCAAAGACAATTCATTTGGTTTCAAAGACACTTCTTTTGGTTTTATATATTTGCTTATTAATTTCAGAATAGCTTGATCAGACTTATAACAGATACAGTCTCCGTCCTGTGTCCCAGCAGAAGTATCCAAAACCTAGACTAGAGCTGTCACATTGATGACCACTGATAACAACCAGGCTTCTCTCATGTCATCATAAAGTCTCACTAGCTGTCAGCTCGCCCACTTGCAGCTATGTTATTCAATCCATCCACATATAATCTCAGTTGGTTGTCATGCGTCGCTAAGAAAACACGGCTATATTTCATCTGGATGAGAGGGTAGGAGTCATGAGATGATCCAGTACAAATACTTAGCTTGTTAACAGTACATTTCACTCAAATTACTGTATGTCATACAAAAGAGAAATGCAAACAAAACCTAACCCGTCCCCAGGAATTTGAGCAAATGGATTAAAAGACACAATAGAACAAACACTTTTTCCCCATCAGTGTATGTTATCTTATTATCCTAAATTCCTTGGATGAATTAAGATTTAGTATTTTTTGTTGTTTGATCTTGCTTTCAAAGTTGTCTGTTTTTCCCACATTGTTGCAAAGGCTGTTGTCGCTATGTGCAAAATACAACAACATCAAGTCTACCCATCAGCAGTGATCTATATTTGCCTCATCCTGGGTTACACTTGATGGAGAGGAGGGCCTAAACACCACAGTGGGACGGACAAGGGTTAGTTGTCATGGGAGACTTTCATTAAACCTGGGTGGGCTTTGTGGCCGTTTCAGGACCCCCCCGACGCATCGAGTAAACTCTCCCTGTATCTCTTCACTGGACCCGAAGCCGTCGAGCAGGCCATGGGGTCTTATACAGCTTTGTGTCACATGAGAGGGCCTGGCCAGGGATCCGCAGTGGTCACTATTCTTAGCCTCAGGAGGAATGTACACAGAGACCTCATGGCGAGCCCCTCTGCCCAGACTCCATCATTTCCTCTGTGTCATGCTCATATTCTCACACTGGTTTTTATTTGGCTAATTTGCACATATTCTTCATTATTATTTTACCACCAAGAGCATAATGTAAGTACTGAATTAGTTTGAGTGTGTGCGTGTTTTGCTTAACTATTTAATGCATTTTTAAAACCTAAGTTCACAACTCTTCATTACTGCCATAGAATAGGGATTATCTTGTTGTGTTCATGCTTTGGAAAGTTAAGGTAAAGACAAAATGGAACTTGTTTTTACCAGCGTTTAATCATGTACAATAATGATTAGAGATCCAAATATATCACACTGTGTCAGGCCTGTTAAGTGTTTGGAGCTGGTATGGGGTTGTTAAAATAATTACAGTCTTTAGTGAGGATTATTTGCGCCTTAGAAAACAATAACTTATGTGTTGTAGTTTGCATACAAGAGAATATTTGAAACTACTTAGAAGTTTCAAATATGTTTGTTGTTATGTTTAATGTATATGATAATATTGTGTTTTCAACCGATATGTCATTGTAATTTTGGTGGCAAAATAATTCTACTTATCAGTTACTCAAATATACAGTACAAAAACAATGCATTAAAGACAATGATATGATGTTAGTTATATTATTATTTAAATCTGTTTGGGATGGAAGTATTCAATCCAGTTTCAAGTTCCCATTTCTGAAAAAAAAAGTGAATTATTCCTTCACTCTATTTCTTTACAAATTGTCAATTGAACCGATTCCGTAATTGTTTACATCCATTCACGTTTAAGCAGTTTAAATCCTGAATCCTTACTTTCATATCATTATTATCAGACATTTATTGGCATTTATCAACATTTGTGGACATTGGTCATCTGCCCCTTTTGGACCAATGCCTCTGTGTTTTTTTAATCATTGCATTTCTTGTGTTTGAACTGTGTTGGTGAATTCAAGGTTTTAATAATAATAATAATGCATTGGTTTTATACAGCGCTTTTTTGGACACTCAAAGATGCTTCACATGTCATTATTCTTTCACTCCATACACGGTGGTGATAAACTACTACTGTAGCCACAGCTGCCCTGGGGCACACTAACAGAAGCGAGGCAACCAGTATGTGCCATCAGCCGCTCCGACCACCACCACCATTCACTCACACACCAGACTCATTCTAGGCAATGGGGGTGAAGTGTCTTGCCTAAGGACACAACGGCAGTTTGGCACTTTACAGCCGCCCCACTGTGGCTGGTGTTCCCAGAGGTTAAGTGTCTTGCCAAGGACACAGCAGACAGTGGGAGTCAATGGTGAAGGTCGGGCTCGAACCCATGACCCTCTGTCTCAAAGGCCAATGCTCTACCAACTGAGCTACTGTCGCCTATGTTTTGTTAAGTCCTCCCCCAGATAACTACTCATGTGATTTAGGGTTATACAAGAATACATTGAATTGAATTGACTTGAATAGAGGGTTGTTTTTGTGTTCTAGAATGGCATTCACATTCAGAGATTCGGAGCTGGCAGGCCACCTCCTGTCGCAGCTGAACGGCCTCAGACAGAGCCGGCTGCTGACTGACGTGTTCCTCTGCAGCGAGCAGCGGGAGTTCCCCTGTCATCGCTCCGTCCTGGTCTCCAGCAGCCCGTACTTCAGAGCCATGTTCTGCAGTAACTTCTTGGAGAGCAGCCAGGCGCGTGTCAACATCCAGGGGATCTCCTCCGATGTCCTCAGTGACATTGTGGACTACGTGTACACAGGCTCCATCAGCATCACTATGGAGAATGTGCTTCCTCTGATGCAGGCGGCCTCCATGCTGCACTATGTGGGTCTGTTCGAGGCCTGCTCCTTGTTCCTCCAGAAGCAGCTGAGCCCAGAAAACTGCCTGAGTATGATCCGCCTGTCAGAGATTCTACACTGCGACAGTTTGAAAGAACGGGCAAAGGAGACAGCTGTGAGGAGCTTCTCTGATGTGGCAGTGTCTGAGGACTTCTGTGAGCTGTCTCTGCCTGAACTCATGTCGTACTTAGAGGATGACCGGCTTTGTGCTGAAGAGGAGCAGGTTTTTGAAACTCTTTTGGCGTGGATACATCATGACCCCTTCTCTCGGCGTGGGGCCATACACGACCTGTTCAAAAGAGTGCGTCTGCGTTACATACATCCCACATATCTTTTCCAGTTCATAGCCAATGACCCTCTGGTGCAGTCGTCTACTCTCTGCACTGAAATTATAGACTCTGTACGCCGTCTCATGCTCTCGGTCAGCACTAAATGCAGCCGGGAGCTCAAGCCATTGTGGACCACACCAAGACGCTACACCTGCGAGGAAACATTAGTGGTTGTAGGAGGAAGGAAGAACAATGAACAGACTTCTCGAGAGGCTTTGTTGTACGATGAGAGAACTCACCGGTGGCAGTGGTTGGCTAAGCTTCCACTGCGGCTGTACAAAGCAGCTTACGTGTGCATCCACAGTATCCTGTATGTGCTGGGAGGACTCAGCCTCTGCACGGCCTCAGGAGATAGTACAGTTAGTGCAACAGTTTACACTCTCTCACTTAAGACCAACCAGTGGAGGACAGCGGAGCCCATGTTGCAGCCTCGCTATGCCCACCAGAGTGTGTCCTTCCTGCACTTCATCTTTGTGTTAGGGGGCATAGGCATGGATAAGAAAATAACTCCATCTTTGGAGAGGTATAACAGTATGTTTAACCAGTGGGAGTCCATGGCCCCAATGCCCACCGCGGTCCTGCATCCTGCTGCTGTTGCTAACGACCAAAAGATATATGTGTTTGGAGGAGAAGATGCGATTCAGAATCCAGTCAGGCTGATTCAGGTAAATAAAAGTAAGACACATAGAGTTGAGTACAATAACAGTTACTAATATTTAAAGTTTGCTGTAGTACTGTATATAAACATTAATTGTATATGGTGCTTTTTAGACAATCAAAATTATATTGTATTAATCATTCACACCGCACTATCAATCAGCACCATCACAGATTATGATACACACACACACACACACACCATACTCATTAGAGGCTATGTGTGCGAAGTGTATTGCCTAAGCACACAACAACAGTGTATATAGATTCTACTGTTGTTAATTGGAAAGTGGGCCACAAACTATCCACAAGTACCACAGCACATCAGTAGTTGCCTCAAACACAGCAATGTAGCAGTGGCTTCAGAAAATGCAGTGTTTTGTGTTGAACGTATGTACCTGCAGAATAATGTACCTGCTTTGACTGGTTTGACTTGTGAGCAGGCATATCACATCCCTCGCAACATGTGGTGCAGACTGGAGACAAGAACTATAAAAAATGTGTGTGCTCCTGCTGCTGTCATAGAAGATAAAATTTTCATTATTGGAGGTAAGATCATTCTGTTTGAAGATAAGACATCTCATACATCATCACTCACTCTGTGTCGAGGCATTATAATCACAGTACATTAAAAAGAGTGCAGATGCCATCCTTCAGTGGTATGCACAGCTAATCAGTTTTTCACCAGGGTTTGAACATTGTCAGAGTAGAAGGCTGTCTCACATTTTCAGGAAGACTGTTGCCTTTCAATAGTATCAGAAAAATGAATGACTCTGTTTGCAGGTTACACTCGACGTATGATCGCCTACGACACCAAAGCCAACAAGTTTGTCAAGTGTGAGAATCTGAAAGTGCGGCGGATGCACCACAGCGCCACCGTCATCAACAACAAACTCTACATCACAGGAGGCCGCGTTCTCAATGCTAACGACATCATCGAGGACTCCGATTGCTTCGAGTGTTACGACCCTAAAACCGACGTGTGGACTTCTAAGGGCTCTTTACCGTATAAACTCTTTGACCACGGCTCACTGCCTCTCGTGTGCGTTACCAACAGACCAAACCCGCCGTGAAGTCTTTACGACACGTCCCATTCTTCTTGGTCACGAAGAGGCCGCCCGCATTCCCCCATGTATCCGGGGTTATGCTACTGATCAGTGGCATGTAAGCTCAGGCCATGTGCTTCAAAGGGGACCTCAGCTGACATGAGTATAGTGTTATTTGTGAAGGCACATGGGGTGAGGTGAACTGGAGACCCCGGAGAAAACTGAGATAGTTGTGCGACAAATGTTTACGGCTTTTCCATGGTGTTAATCCAGACTGAAGACCATTAGCATTACTTTACGACTATTAGTAATGCTGATGCTTGGTTTTATTCAATGCTAACAATTTGATGGGTTTGCACAATGTCTGCATAGATGAAAAAAAAACATTCCATTTCATCGTTTTATTTTTCATGATAAGATGACAATTCATTAGTTTTTTTTATTATAGACTGTGATACGTACATTATGTTATTCTTGAATGACAATGGAACTAAGAAATCAATAAGAAACACCTTGAGGCAGCTCATGTTTGTGATGTGAAAGCTTTTGACAACTTGTGTTTTTGAAGAAAACATGGGACATGCAACGCCTTTGGAGCTGATTCTTATTTCCTCCACTTTGTTGGACTGAACACCTCTTTATTATCAAGTCCTTTGCTTGTCCTTGAAATGTTGTGAGCTGTGGAAGAGAGACTATATAATGTACTTTATTATACACGATTACAATGACATTAAAAACAGTGTCTTTACAACATGAAACACAATGTCCTTTATAGATTTTACCAATATGTTCCTTCACTATCACAACTTTTAAATTGAAAAATTCTTGAAACAATGCATTTGCCATTTACAGTTATAACCACTCTCGAATACTTGTACAAAAATACCCAGTGGGCACAACTACCACAAACCATATTTATTTAAGTATCACAAACCTGTTCTTTAGAGTCATTCACTTCGTGACTTTCCCCCTCTCTAGTTTCTCAGTGGCTTTGCTGTTATACGACCTGGATACACTGGAGTCACTTCGAGGTCCCATTTCACTCACAATCCATTAGTGGAACTTAAAAGAAAGTGACAGTGAAACTAAACAAGCGATGAATTAGATCAGGTATTATGTGTAAATGTCTATTGTTTAGTATCTGAAATGATCAAGTGGCGCAGATGTGTTTATAGAGTGTTTGCTTGTAGCCACAATCCATAGAGACAAATGAGGGGTCTGTATTTAGGAGATTACAGTGAAGTGATGCCAGCCATCTGCAAGTCACCAGGAACAGGGCCAAACAGGAACAGAGCCCTGTGCGCTGCAGCTGGCCGTTGAATACAATGGTAGAAGAACCAAACATGGCCACAATGAACACACACAATGATTTTTCAAATGTTTCAGGGACTTTTTGAGAACATTAAATTAAGCTATAGGGTATTTAACTTTTTGTTTTATATATACTGTATATATAAGACATCTTTGTTACAACAGAAAGAGTGTTGTACATTATAGTGAACAATCAGGCCACAGCAGGCATCCTCAACCTATTAGGTACTCACTTTAATTACATACTTGTAAGACCATGAGTCACTATTTGATGCTTTGGGCTGAGAACTGATTGGCTGAGTGAAAATGATTCTCTCTTTTTCACTTATGTGATGCAAAGATGTGAAAAAAGCCAAAAATAGATGCCTGTGAAAACTACCAAACAGCGAGGAACTATGGTTGTATCATAGTTCCTTTATTTGTGGTTTGAAAATTAGGTACCCCAGCTTTAAGAGCCCCTTTATGTATAGTTAGTGACTTAGTGTTGGAAGTTAATTTGAAGATAATTACAGTTTAAAAATAGATAATGATGTGAAGCTGAAATGAAATCCGAACAACCAATAATTTGGTTCTTAAACTTAACACATTGGATGAATATATATCCAAATATTGAATTATGTTAAACAGATTAAACTGATTCTACTTGAATATAGTTTTCTGGATCATTCAACCAGTAGAGGTCCTCAGAGCGCAGGAGAGGGGAGTTTTTGACGCTGTTCTGTCGCCATCTGCTGCTGAGAAATGCACACAACAAAACGCAGGTCAAAAGTAAAATCTTCACTTTTTATTATTTCCTGTTTTTAGATAAAAACAGAAGAATGCATGCACACATTCCTTGAAGAAAACCTGGTAATGGATGCTTTTTGTCCCAAATACAACAGCTGGTTTGTGTAAGGAGTGAATGCAATTTAGTCTTCAATCGGATTTCATTCATGACATAGTAATTCCAAAACAAAATGATAAGAGGAAAAAAAATTATCGGCCCAAATAAAAGTGCTATAAAACAAATATATTAAACTATATGTAGAAATCAATATTATATAATAACAATAAGTATGTAACTGAATAATAACATTTAAAACATAATCTCTAGGCTTGAACACAATAAAAATCTTAACTATATACTTTCAAATGCAACAGATTTGTGAGCATTCTTAAAAATAATGTACACTCGTTCTGTGCTTCGAATAAAAAGGCATTTCATATCATACATTACCGGCTCTGCTTCGATGGCGCATATGTACAGCCAATTACAAAGGCATTCAAAAAACAAACATTTTGGCACCAGGCACAGAATTGAAATTTACATAAACCCCTCCTTACCCCAGTCTGAAAAATATAGCCCCACTCACTGCTCACTTGTCCCGACAGCAGTGGATAAAATAGCATTTGTGAGATGAACTATAAAATGAATCAAGTAACATTTGGCATATTGATAGTTGCTGGAAGAGTGAGGAGGAGAAGAAGAGTGGCAGACCTGACAGGAGTTCCTACAGCTCGGTTAAAAGACAATCACTTGTATTTCCTGAGTGCTTAGAATAAACAGGAACTATAGCTACAATATTGGGGAGTGCGCCTTTAGAAGTATCTACACGTCACTTAAATGTGGCTTTCGGTACCTGCGTCTTTGACCTTTGTTCTTGCGGGCACATTGAGAACCAAATGAATCTTGTGGACTAATTTAGAATCGGTTGTTAGTGTAAGAATGATATGAATTATAGTAAACATTCTCTATATACAGTTGTGCTTGAAAGTTTACACATCCAGACATTTCAGACATTATGAAGGCTAACGTTAGCAGCCTTCATACTCATTGTTTGCGGTTGTGTGAAGCTATTTAGTGTCAAATAAACATGCTTCCTTTTTTTTTTTAATTGAAATAACAAACTAATCAAATGACCCTGATCAGAAGTCTCCATCCCCCAGTTCTCAAAAGCGTGTATTTACACTTTAACATCTATGACAGCTTAAGGTTCTTCATCCTCTCTGACAATAAATCGGCCTGTTCTTCTTAACAAAAAGCTTCCAGTTCCTGTCAATTCCTGGGCTATCTTGCATAAATTGCACATGTGAGATCTCCACCGACCATGTTATAATTTGAAAATAGAAAACGCATGTATTTTACTATATTGCTTCACTTGCCCCCACTAGCGATGAGTGTTATCATTCATAATTTGGCCGAAACAATCATGTGTGTTGTGTGTGTAAACTTTGACGCACAACTGTCTATTAGTAAAACATGAATGACGAACATGAAAGAGGACATAACATGCTGCTCTCTGCTGTACAGTAATAACCATTGGCACCTGTGGCTCATCCTCATATATCTAGTACATTTTAAATCTCCATATTTACCTAACGCAGTGTTAAAAGAAATTCTGTGCACTTCCGTATTCCCTCTTGCCACATCCCTCTGCCCCTTTTACACCTGGTCACATCACAGACCCCATCCCACGTCACCAAAAGCTGTGAAAAGTCAATGTTTGCATGTTATGTCCCCTTTCCTTACTGCATCCTGTACTTCATAATGTTCAGAAAACTGAATTTCATAACCTCTTTCTATAAAAATAAAACCTTAAAGCAGTTTCCACGAGATGCATATGTATCGGCTAGTGCCTGCTTTTGCGAATACATGGCTCTTCATAGTCGTCCGGCAGCTAAATGCTAAAAGTCCAGGCCACTCTTTTCTCCGTGACATCGTTCAATTAGCGTGCCAGCATTTCCTGAGAGAGGGAGGGTAAGGTGCAGCAACTTTTGAGATGGGATCTACCGTCTTCATGCTCAAGTCAGTGTGAAAACAGTTTACGTCCTTATACTTCGTTGATGGCGCGCTCCAGCGGTCTGAAGTTGGCCGACGCCGATGACGACAGGTAGAAGGACTGGGTTTTGCGGTTGAGGCGCGCGCGTTTGGTGGCCACGCTGAGGCTGCGTTTGCTGGAGGAGATGATTTCGGTGATGAACTTCTTACAGTCCACGCACACCTCCATCGTCACCCAGTCCTCGGTCAGCTCCTTGGGAAGCTCAAGGTCGTCCAGTGACCTGCCCTCTTTGCTGCTGTGCTTGGACCTACGGCAAGGTGAGAAAAAACACATTTATAGAGCTGCTGTGATGAAGTATCAATTTGATTTTTTTTTATTCTTCTATAGAATTGTGTTCAGTGTTTAATTTTATTTCATTTTTAAGTCTAGGAGATTGACATTCAAGCCAAACGTCTAATTTAATGTTGAAATAGTCCAACAATATAAGACAATTAATGTTTTTTCCACTCAAAAATCTGAATTCTTACATTTCCTCATTGTAACTTAGTGAAGTCACTTGCCTGTCTATAAAGTAGATGGAAAACTTACTTACATACATACTGTGGAACATTGAGGACAAACTAAAACATTTACTGGAGCTGGACACAAAGCGGTGTGCTGCACATTTAATTTTTCAGGATTGTTGTACAAAAAACAAATAATAATTTAGACTACAATAAAGACTCATGCAGACCATTCTCTGATCTGAATACAAGACTAGCTTTACATGTTACAGCTAATGGAGATCAAATAAATACAAATACAAAAAGCCCTCCTCATGAGTCAATCCGTTTTTAAAAAATTGATGTAAACCAGAGGTGATAAACTATAAAATGCTATCTGGTGGGGCGCCCAATTTGTGTAAGAAAAAAAAAAGGCATTGGAGATTATTAAATTTTGTGCCATTTTGTTGAACAATGCAGGCAAGATTTACATGGAGATTAGAATAGTTCAGACCCACCGGCTTAACACTACTTTGTTAAATTCATAGGTGGGAAAGTATTGAGAACTATTTAAATACTTCTATTGTATAATACAGTAAAGTTGTTCTTGTTGTTTGTGTGTTTCTAGCAGTAGTTTTTTCGTACTTGTGAACAGTTCGCCGCAGACTATAGCGATGCTGTCCAAAGGGTTGTCTGTCAGTGTCAGGGGCTGTCGCAGACCCCTCTTCTTTGGCCATAGAACTGGGGCCCAAAGAGTAAATGGGCAACGTGGAATAAGGTTTAGAGGGAAGTCGCATCTGAAATAAAACATTACAAAATAAATAAAAACAAGTAAAAAACCTGTGGTACAATTTTTCAGTAAAGTCACCCACCTTTTTACTGCACTGAGAACACACAGGCCTGAAACGCAGCATTTTATTAGACCCTATTGCTATAAAACAAACTAAATGTAGATGAACTTTGAAATTACCTTTTGCAGAACTGACAAGTGTACGACCAAGTGAAGAGTGAAAACCGCTTTATCCGACACGAAAAGCAAAGCTACAAAGAAAAAAAGTTTGAAAAAAATTAGATAAAACCACATTCAGACTAGACTCACTATTTTTTACAGTGCGTACCTTTCCTTTCTTGAGTGCATTGTAGATATCTTTGTATTGCTGGAATTTCTCGAGCTCGGCTTTGACCAAAACCTGCCGGATGTGCATTACCTCCTCCACTGTGAGAGCAAGACACTCCACTGGGTAACAAAACTCCTCCTGCGAAAGAAAAGTAATAGATTTCAATCGTTTTAGGAATCAAGGAATCGTTTTATATGGAAGCAAACCACCACACAGCCCCACACAGCACCACACAGCACCACACCAATGTGGGAGGGGGAACTCAAGAAAGACATGCTATAATCATGTGGTGACAAAAATAGCTCCCAAGCACCATAAAACAAAAAGCTTACACCCGTGTACCAGTTTTTAGTCAAATCCACTGATGGTTCAATAATACACCCACCATTATCACTGCGGTGGAAGGAGATTTGTGAGCGTGCGTACAAATTCACAAACGGATAAATGATATGATATGACAGAATGCCACAGGTCTCCGAACACACGACACATGCGCTGAAATGAAGTCGTGAAGCAGGTTCTCCAAACAATGACATGAAACACCAACGTCAGTGAGAGCAGAGAGAGACCTACCGTGCCCTGAGCGGCGCCCGCTCCCTTCACCTGGCCAGCACAAAGGAAACCACGTTTACTCTGAATGTCACTTTATACATTTAGAGTACTATAGAATACACAGCGCTTTATACTTGCTTCTTTTCGTGCCAAAAGAAAAAGATTTGTATTTCTTTTTTTTATGATTTTACTTATTTATTATGCTAAAGTCAGGGTTTTGCACTCATTATGCTAAAGATAGAGATTTTATACTGGTTTCATTTTGATGCTAGAGTTATAGAATAATTGCTCATTTATCATGTGCCGTTTGCTCCTCATTCCTGCTGTTCTGTTACTGGTGATGCAACACTGAAATTTCCCCACTGTGGGACGAATAAAGGATCTCTTCATCTTAATCTTAATCTATATCCTTCCATATTTATGTTTATAATTTACACTATCGTACACTAGCTCTAAATGCTTCATATATTATGAAGCATTTAGAGCTACTCATACTGTACATTTTTTATTGCACATAACATCCTGCACAGACTATATTTTTAACCTTAACATATCTGCACACTTCTGTCTTTTTGCAAAATCTGAGTGATTCTATTTCCTAAATGAGAGAGTGAATGGATGGTGTTGATTGGGGCTGATGGTCCAGTGTGTTCGGCGACTCGCTTCCGTCATCACCGTGTGTGGAATGATTGGAACAATATCTGAACTCTGAACATTGTAAAACGCTTTGGGTGACCTTGGTCTGTAAAATGCGCTATATAAATAAACATTACTTACTTACTTACTTACTACTTACTATTTATGCCAAATGTGACATATAAATTTCTCCATTGTGAGATAAAAAAAAGTTTATCTTATCTTTATTATGTGTGCTCCTTCTATGCTCTTACTACTGTCCTGTATGCACTCTGAGACATTGATATTTCAGAACTGTGGGACAAATTAAGGTTCTCTTATAAGCCCAGTTTATGAATCCATTTTTAAATACCGATTAGATCTGAAGCCCAATGAAAGGGCAGGTATTAACATTTAACATTGGTGAGAATGGAGGAGTTTTATCTCAGTCTTCTTCATACAGCATCCTGTCCTGTGGTTTCAATTACATCCTTCAGCCTCACTAGAATCACACGACTCACACAAACAGTGACCTCATGGCGAACAAATGAGCGGTCACAGGACTAAGGGGAACGTCAACGGACATATTGTACAACCGGGATTGTTGGGCAACTTATCCTCAGTAATAAGGAGTAAACATGAGTTGATTCAGTCTGTGCTTGCAAATAGGATTTCTTACGCTTATGGTTGAGCCTTAAATTGACGTTATACTTAATTAGCTGGTAAGGCGGACATACCAAAGACTTGGAGGTCTGTTTGGATGGAGGTAGGAAAGGCCGTACGCTGGTCGGGGCCTCTTTCTCGATTGAATGCCTTCTCTGTGGAGATGCCTGGCGCTTGTCTGGCTGTGGGGTCGCAGACACTGGAAGAAATTTGGGAGGAACTGCAGAACAAATAAATGCTTTGAATGAGAACCAAACAACAACACAAAACTGAGAATTTCAGTACAAATGCAATATGAAGAATAAAAAACATTCTCTACCCTTCTTATCTGGTATTGATGGGGATTTTTCCTCTAATACACTGCTGCTGCTCCGCGACGTCTCCTCCTTAAGAGTCAACATGAGTTATATTTATTTTATTTAACAAAAAGAAAGGCAAGGACATCTATAAAAGAGCATGTTTTAAGTACCTCAGACTCAGAGCTGTCCAGTTCAGCCAGAGTGGGAGCCTTGAGGATCCGCTTTCTCTGGGAAAGGGGTGGGACTCTGCTCGGGTTTGGGATGCCACTTGACAGAGAGTGTGTACTGCCCATCTTCCTGTGGCCGTCCGGAGTGTCTGTGGATAAAAACATTTCATGAACCCAAACGTAAATGGTCTGGTTTCATTTGGACGTCACACCAGCGGCTCGCTCCTGTTGCTATAGTGTCTTATAGACCTGAAAGTTTACACCTCCAGGATGAGGTTCCATTGTTTAAGCCATGTTTTGGAGATCCTTAATGATAACAAATAACCAAATATTATCTAATTAACATGGTTTCTATTTTAAAATTACGACATCATTGGGCCAAATGTGCAGGTCATTCAATGCGGCTCAGGAATTTACAGGTACTGGAGGCTTTTTGCCAAGAAGGAAGAGGAAGAACAAAATGCCTTCACAACGATGACAATGAAAAATATGTTTTTGCGTCATCTTTCATAATTACCAAAATATGGCCAAAAAAATTATAATAATTTCTGTCTAGGGATGTAAACTCAAGCAGAACTGCATGCTAGTACAGATATGTTATAACAAAGGTTGACATTGATAGAATTACAGTTACTATTACAACATACTATTGCATTTAGTGAAACTTAATCTGGTAAAACCGGTCCTTCCATCTTTGCCAATTGACCAGTCTGTAGCATCACATTAGTCATCACTGAATGTTTTCTGTGTATGTCTCAATCAAAGAAAATAAATAAATAAAATAAATAAATGCATTTGTTTTATATAGCGCTTTTTGGACACTCAAAGACGCTTCACATGTCATTACTCATTCACTCCATACACGGTGGTGATAAACTACTACTGGAGCCACAGCTGCCTTGGGGCACACTGACAGAAGCCAGGCAACCAGTATGTGCCATCGGCCCCTCCGACCACCACCAACCATTCACACACACACACACACACACACGACTCATTCTAGGCAATGTGGTAAATAAAATAAATAAATGCTTTACAAAGTTAAAATATATAGTTTCAGGCGGTTTACCTGAGCTGCGAAACAGATCTTGAGGAGTGCTGATGCTCTTTCCTGCACCTGTGGAGAGATCATCAAAATAAGAATGACATATTTCTAACCCAAAGAAGCTGCATTGACGTGCAATAATACGAGTGCACGGTGGTGAGGCCCAGGGGGGAGGCTGCGGGGCAGGAGCCAGGGGCACAGAGACACTGAGGCATAGGTTACTCTCGTACACCAGATTGGATTATGATGCCCCACATTGAAACTGTCATCTGCCAGATACAACTATTCATCCAAGAGGCTTATGTAATTTTTCACAGACAGATTAGGGCAGTGCTGGGCGGCTTTGACTCAGTGGCTCCTGGTTGATAGACAAACCTGCCACATTTCCATTTTAAACATACCAGGGCTGCACAATAATGAGCATTCTGATTTCTGAGATGTATGCATCACTACAACTCATTAAGATTCAAGATTTAAGAAGATTCAATAATTTATTTGCCTTTTGCAGTAAAACCACATTGTAAAAAATTGTGCAAGACTACCCCCATGTGCACCAGACAGCACAGACTCTTTGTGTATGCATTACTATACCCACCATAGTAATAAATACAGTATTTCAGTTCAAGATATCTTTTAAGAATTTTTACAGAAAATTTAATGACAATAATGGCAGTTGGGGCTAATGATTCTCCAATGACAAATGACAGCTTTGTTATCTTACGTAAATATATAAAAATATGTATATTATAATACTCTTCGAAATGTTCAGAGCTCGATTACAGAATTCATCTATTTTATCAATTGGATCTTAAATTAAAATAATGTGACTGTGTAATGTTTTTGTCAGTTATTTTAAGCCTCCTGTGAAAATATTACTGAAATTCCTTTTAATTTAAGTCGCAACTCATTAGTATGTGTCAAATATTGTGCAGTCCTTCTGACAGACATCAAAGCAAACATGTGAATCCTTAACAGACATTTCAAACACATGAATGAAGTTGTGCTGAACAATCGAACTGCGACAGCGTGTCATTCACACAGAACAGGAGGTGGAGGTGCGGGAACCACACAGAAGCGGGATCAAAAATATAATTTATTTGAAGTCTAAATATAACTTAACTAGACAAGAGATAACGTTACCTGAAGAGTCAAAACTGAAAGACATGCTAAGAGGACGCATGACTGATTCACCAGGTTAGGAGGAGAGAGAGGAAAATACATTATTCAGAATGGACCAAACAGACAGAACTTATTATTATTGTCTCTATGGAGATGTCATTGTTTTGCCAGTAACAAATCGGCCTCTAATTGAAAATTAGTTGACTGCTGCTGTGGGAATTTCTAAGCAAAGCAATAATATCTATATGGAGACAACAAAACAAGAACATTACGATGTTCTTGTTTTGTCCATTTTTGATAGTTTGAAAGTATATGACACAAGTATAATTCACTAAAATACATGACTTATCATTGTCTGGCACATTATAGTCTAGAGTCTATGAATGGTAACCCGGTCATCACGATAAACCATTTGAGCAACATGCTCTTCCCAAACAAGAGTCATCCGTGTTCAGCCAATTAGTGCCGCAATGTACATAGACTTTAAATGATCCCACATTATGTGGTTTATGACTTTGGCTACTTACATTCCACAGAGATAATCTAGCTCCTATTGACCCAGTGCTCAAGTGAAAAATCCTGTGTGAAAAAGCATGTGCCCATTTCATTCCATCATAAATAATTTTAAAAAATTGATGTTTAGGAAATAACCTTAGTCATATGGGATTTAATGGCTTAATAGACTATTAATCTCTATAAAATAAAGTTAAGATGGATATATTTCAGTTTAATCAATTGAGTTTGGGGGAGTGTTTACTTTCTGGGTGGACAAGCGCAGGAATAATAGAAACATGACGGCACCTTTATCTTGTTATAGATAAATAATAATAATTTCTTTTCTTTTTTTTTCACAAAATGTCACTTGTGTAAAATATAATCAAATTCGAAGCAGCAGAAATTTAACAGCTTCACTTTTGGTTTGTTTTGAAGTCCAGAGCATGTACTTTGTTTTGTTTACAGGAAACAGGCGCTGGATGAGAATGAAAGCATGACGTGTGTTGAACTGAAAATGTAAGATAATGTTGTGCTAACTTTGGGTTATGGATGTTATGGTAACAAGTCTATAAACAAAGGAGAGAAAGTGTCCTTTTGCCTTGGTGTTTTATTTTCTAATCTTTTTCCAATCATGTTTTTTTCAGTCATTTCTATGACACACTTCTATGACGTGATAAAAAAACAAATTGATTTGATTTTGTAGCATGGATTTACAACGCCACTTAAAGCTTAAAGCTGGGAGAGCTAACGTTTTATCATAAATAATACATGTAGCTGGTCCCAACAGATAAGAGTCTACCTTTGTCTTATAAGGAAACATGTTATTTTACTTGGAAGAAAGAGCCCTGGGAGTCACTATCTGAAGCTTTGGGCTGAGAGCGAGGGTAATCTGCTTTTTTCCACTTTTCTGTCTAAAATAGCTGATGTGCTGGAACCAAACTGTTTTGAGAGCTAAGAACTAATTAAATGGACAGTTACATTTGTTTTTGACCCGAGCTTTTCCAGCCCCATAATATGATCTGTGAGTTGGGTCTTAACTGAACAGAAATAAACTGCAGCTGTGATTGTCAGTCTTGTGATTTGCTTGACTTTAGTCCGTTGCCAGATGCACGATGTGTTTTATGCATTTCTTACCCAAACGGTGTCTGCGGATCATGTCGGGCGACACAGGGCGCAGCTTCCTCTCTGCTTTGATGTCCTCCAGGAGGCGCTCGTGGAGGCTCTGGGGCCGTGGAGGGTGTGGCTTCAACTTACGTGACGCCGCCTAACCACAACCATAAGACAACAGTAAGACAATAAGCCCGTTACGGTAAATGCTGCAATCGATTTAGCATTTAACAAACTATTTCTTTGGGGCTCAGTGTTCGTCATCTGAACATTGTCTTTACAATATTTTAGCCTTTTATCAACTATCAACTTTTTAGCACAATATGTAAAATCAACAAGTTAAAATAGGATAAAACATGCACACACACACGCGCACACACACACGCGCGCACACACACACACACACATATTTTCTCCCCTTGTTTTACTCATATGACTAGAGCGCAGGAATGTGTCTCAGTTGTAAGTAAATCCAAAGTTAATGCCTCATTAATATGAGACTTATTAAATGCGCCGTCTTTTGTTTGAAAGTTTCCCTTTTTGACATTGTAATGACTAATGTATTTCAATGATTGTTTTGCACCGAGGCCAAGACAATTGTAGAATCACTGACATTAATCAAATTCAATATAATATATTGAATAGAATCTTTATTTTTAACCAAGGTAAAGCAGCCACATACACAGTGTTTGTCACACAATCCCAGCTTTCTGTTTCGCTGAAGGATTCTGTAATGAGCACCGTTATCTCAGCCAAAGTAGGAAGCACCACTGCCAACAGAGCAATGGCTTAATGTGGTGCAGGTGGGAGACGTATTACTGCAGATTACTGTATATGATCTTATGTCACTCACCGGGTTGAGAGGAGGCCGCGACCGGATGAATTCAAGGATGACCTCATGAGCGCTTTTCTTTAACCTCGGTGGGATGCTTCCATTCACCTGCACAGAAATGATGTGTAAATTAATAGAACACTATACTAGGGCTGCAAGATAAATCATATTCAAAAATTGTAATGTCAGAGGTCCCAATTAAATTACAGAATAAATCTGGTTTGCTTGTATTATCCAATGCAGTATTGGGAAATGTTGTATTAGACATGTGTTATGTTTTGTGTTCTAAAGATATATTATTAACTTAAATAAAATTTTATAACACGATTACTTTAAGTCATACAGTTTTGTGTAATTGTTATGTTAGTATTCTCACCATGACTTTCCTCAACTTGTATCGTTTGGAGCGGATGTCGTCCATGAGCATTTCATAAGGCGTTAGCTGGTACTCTATGGGCAGTGGGTTGTACTGGCGTTCCTGGACTTTCTTTAACTTTACACCGTGCCGCAGATCTCTCATCACCTGGACCCAGAACCGAGCCTGCAGACAAAACTAATGTCATCACTGTCATCAGCTAAAGGCTACAACTCTTTAAGCTCTATTTAGATTGAGTTGTGTGGGTGACCTTTGTGTGCATGTTGTTTGCTCTAAATTAAAATAAACATTTAATTATTTTAAAAATGAATGATTTAAATCATTTGCATTAAGAATTGTGGTCAGCAGTTTGATTCATTCACTCTACGGACCTATTGGTTTATAGATGAAGTGAATTTATTAAACCATCGACCAAATATTTTTGGCTTGTTTCAAAATTGTTTAAAATAGCTTGTATTTCAAACCAAATGATTATCCTGGCAGATACATATATTCAAAGTTGAATTACATTAGTTTGAAACCAATCAAAAAGGTAATGAAACATCTGAAATAATGTTATGGTGTATTCAGATCCTGAACGATTCATGTTCACGGTCAAATAGACTTAACCAATGCAACGGTCCTCATTATGTCACTGATGTGCTAGAGTTGGCTGACTCTAGCACGAGTTCCTTAAAAGTTACGACAATACTTTCTGGACCATAAAAGACATCTTTAGATAAACCACACTAACCACATTTGAAAAGAAAGTACATTTCAACCACATAAGCCGCAACTGTTTTAACCGATCACAACGTGATTTAATGGTGAGGTGTTTTGACGTAAAGTAGACTTATTATGATCAAAGCACTCCCAGATAATTTCCCCTCGTCGTGGAGAGAGAGATAAAGGCAGAGGCGAACTGACAGGTGCATTCTGGAGGATCACAGAGCAGCTGCACAGAGTTGGTTGGGCTCAAAAGTAAAATATTCTGAACAAACCAGACCACAACAGGCGTTTTTTTTTATCTCATTACATGTATTTTATTTAAAATAGTGAGTCACTATTTGACTTTTTGAGCTGAGAGAAAAGATTTTGTGTCGATATAAGATGTAAGGGGCGGTGTGAAATGTTTTCTTCTTCCTAAGGGGGGCCTGGAAGAAAATAAGCAGCACTGTCTTAACTGTGAGCTTCCATGTTGGGAATCATTTACTAATAAACTGTTGACAACATTCCTCAACCCTAATCACTCCTAGTGCCGTGTATTTCCCTGAATGTTGTGTGTCTCTCTGCATTGTTTGCATAAAAACAAGTTATCTGTATTTCCCTGCACTTCCTCATGTCTCTCTGCTGTTCACATAAACACACAGAAACAGGAATGCGTGCTACGTCATCCGCTCTGGAGATCACAAGCTGAAAGAGCAGTGTCCAAACTCCTTCGAGCCCTGAGGAAGTGCTAACAAGATAAAACTACAAACATGGCCGCATCATCATAGAGGCCGCAGAGTTTAAAGAAATTGAAACAAGTAGCAGCTTATAGTCCAGAATGTAAACTAACATAAACTAAACCAGCTAAATTTCTTGTTTGCTTCTTTCACATCTCCGCCAATCAAACGCATTTAAATCAGAGTGTATCAAAGTCCACTTCAATGAGACCGAGTGTGATATAGTTTGAAATCTCACCCAGTCTGAATTCTGCAACTCATCGAGGTCTTGCACAGACTCCTCGCGCGTCTCTCCCTCCATTTTCCGCAGGTTCTAAAAAGGGAAACAGAGCAAAAACAACAGATCCATCAGCACCCATTTGAAAATCATTCCGTGTTGGCATTGATTGACCCAATGTGAACGAGTGGCGTCAACAGTGCTGTTAAATGATCGATGAGTTTGGAGAACATTTAGCTCGTCTTACACGAACCACACAGAAGTTACTCAATAAAATGTCTAAGGTCACTGCGCTGCACTCATTTATTACATAAGGCTTAAAACATGAAGGACTTTCAAACGGCACGAAACTATATTTACCTACTGTATCACTCGCCTCCTGCTGAAACTAGGACAAACTGAAGAGAGGCTTTATCGCGATGCACATAGAGTGTACTTAATGACATCTTGTTTTTCATTCCAATCAAATCAATGGTGACTTGAAACCCTCCAACAAGAAACGATCTGAGTCTACTAATAGTATTGTGGACATGCCGAATAGTTGAGTTGACGTGGCATAGACATGACCAAATATGTGCAACTAGGAGATTCATGATGTATGGCGTATGGTTAAGAATGATTTAATAATAATAATAATAATTACACATCGGTTTTATATAGCGCTTTTCAACAACTCAAAGACGCTTCACAATTCAGGACACACACACACACACACACACACACACACGTTTAGACAGACACACAAAACTAAAAATCTAAAAGCTGGAAAGAAGAGTATAAAGTTGAGACTAAGAGTCATATGCTTGGAGGAAGAGTGAGGATGAGTTTTTAGCTGTTTTTTGAGCTGTTTTGAGTTTCTGAGATGAGGGGGAGAGAGTTCCAGATAGTGGGAGCAGAGATGGCAAAAAAGCTCGGTCCCCCAAGGTATTTAAACTTTTAACCCTTGTACAAAGAACCCTTACAAATGCCAGAAACTTGACTTGTCCTTTTTAAACCAGGGTCACATAATGCAGTTGTTTAAACCATAATACTGACGACTGCATAGATTTATTAAACTTTGAGCCGCTTTTCATGCATTATGTGTATTGAAATTGTGTGTTGAAATTGCAATAAATATGTGGTGCCACCTGCATGTGAAAACCTGATCCTAGCAGAACTTAGAAGCTGAGCAGGACCGGGCCTGGTTAGTACTGTGATGGGAGACCTCTGGGAGCATGAGGTGCTAAAATGGGGCTGCTGCGACGGTAAAGTGTCTAACTTTAAGACAAGAAGCTTCCCCACACTCCAGTCTGTGTGCATGAATGATTGGTGATGATTGTAAGGTCTGCCTCAGGGCAATTGTGGCTACTGTAGTAGTTTATCACAATCATGTACAAAGGGAATGAATAAAGGCATATTTTATCAGGCCCAGTACAGTAGCACAACAAAGGGGCATTATCCCTAGTGACAAGTATTCTAGTTGCCCTTTTTACGAAAGCCTTTGATTCAATCTCTTACGTCAAACAAATGTTCACAAGTTAAATCATTCGCTCTAACCCAGTTTTCCACATTTCATTTTTCTCTGATGTGGTGAATGGGCCGCCAGCTCGCATCAGAAAGAGCCACCAAAGCAGCAGTACGAAGGGGTGCACAAGGACACGAACTCAGAGACCATTAGTCCAACAGGCTGCGGAGCGGAGTCATCAAAGTGAGGCTGTTACATCACATTTCTGTTCACGCAACCATTTCAAATTCAAAAAACATTTCTGGTACTTTCTCAGGTCACATTTCTACTTTACTTTTATTTTGAGCAATAGCAAGTCAATGAGGTCATTTAAAGAACTCTTTTAATTATTAATCAGAAAAGGTTTTCAGAGTGATTGAAATAGTTTAAGACTAGTATTTACACTGTAGGTCACTTACAGGTGATCTACAGGAAAGAGTCCTCCAACAAATTTAGGTTTATCATAAAAACAAGGATGTGCCTCTTTCTCTACTTGACAATATGTTTGAAGCTACATTTTACATATACTTTATTAATTATTATACTTTATATTTATTTCATATCCATCTCATGATATGTTATTTTTTGTCTTGGACTTTTGTGTATTTTGTAAATTTGTTTATAAAATTGTCCCTTTGGATACCCACCACCAGATTTCCTGGAGGAGAATTGCCTGTTTGAAAGGATTTGAATTTGATTTGTCCGATTTGGAGGCAGGAGGGTGAACATTGACCTCCATCTTCACAATTATAAAAGTAACAAACTTTCCAGCGAGTCTTTGTAATCATTTGCAGATATCTCTGTTACCTCTTTGGCGCTCTTGATTTTTTCCAGGAAGGTGTTGAGTTCTCTGGTCTCTGCGTAAAGGGCGCGGCACACGGCCTGGTAGTGGTTGGGGGCATCTGAAGGACTCGGGAGGTGAGAGGAGCAGATCTGCAGTGAGACAAACAACACAATTCAGTCATTTGCAGTAAAAAGAGACAATATGCAACTAAGGCTGAGAATGGTTCCACAGGAGGTGAAAAGACTACAACAATACATGGCTCACCATCCAATTTCACAGTATACACCTCACCTCATACTCTAAACATAAATGACAACATGTGGTTTGACCCAATCCCGAACCATGAGCAGGGACTTATGATTACGTTTTCTGAAAAATGGCCATGAAAAAAAGTGGAAAGTTCCTTCAAGGTAGTCACAACGGTTTTTCTGAACCACTATCCACTCAAACTTCATAAGAAATACACATTTTCAATCAATACAGTGAAAAAAATGAAAAAAGTTACAATTTTGTAGTTAAGTTAAAAAACACAGCTGATATATATTGATACCGCAGTAGTTGCATTCCCCTAATATCGGACTGACTGATCATTTAAACTAAGAAATTATTACATATTAAAATGTTGCATAACTGCTCAATAAATGAAATAAATCATTAAACATATTGGCAATAATAGAAAAGTATTTTTTGTGGATCATTTGGACAGTCCCAGCTCTGACATTTAGGCACAAAAATAAAATCTGCCCGACAAAGTATAATGGATGAGACAAAATGATTTCAAGCAACAGACCTAAACCAGACTAATGACATATTTTCACTTCTGTAAAGGGCAGGGCGTGTTCCAGGCATGTGGGGATATCACGGGTAAAACGACACCTGAGGGTTTCGCTGCGTTGGAAAATGCAGTTTGTACTGATAATGAAGATTAGAAAGAAACTGGTTCTGTCCAAAAAGATCAAACTAGACACGTACAGTACAGTGTACGTATAAAGCAGTTTTACAACAGTGGACAGAATTAGACCGACTAAAACGAATTGAAGTGACGTTTCCTTCTAAAAAGCACACATTAAAACAGGATTATGGGTCGATTCAGGTGAGCGCGGACAAATCTAACTTCGACAGCTCATTCAGAAGTCCTTACGCAATTCTGCACCCATGTCATGTCGAGTCACTGCCTCTACGTCAAACTGTTGAAATCGCCACGGGAAGAAGTTCCACAGGGAGAAATCCAAATGAACTCGAATTCACCAAATCAATTCAATCCAATGTATTCATGTATAGCCCTAAATCACAACAGTAGTTATCTCAGAGGACTTTACAAAACAAAATACTTTACAAAGAATATAGAACACATAGGTATTGGTCCATAGGGGGGAGTTGATCAATGTCCATAAGTGTTGATAAATGTCCATATGAATGTTGAGCAGTGATGGGAATAACGGCGTTACTAGTAACGGCGTTACTAACGCCGTTACTTTTTTCAGTAACGAGTAATCTAACTAATTACTTTGACAGTAACTATAACGCCGTTATCATTTCCGACATCCCGTTACTGCGCGTTACTCAAGACGCACAATGAACGTGTTGTCATGAGAGAAGGGAGGATGAGAAAACCTCTCAGCAATTATTGGCTGATGTAAATCATATTTCCTTTACAATCTACAGTGAGCGCAGAAGTCGGCTGCATACAATTCCATCGATAAGCTCCTTGCTCTTCCTGGTTTATCTGCTAAGGACAGCAACAGGTTTGGCTAACATACATATAACACATTTTTACATAATCTAAAATGCACATAGGGTAATTTTTCAATTACTATAGGAATGATAAGAAAGAGAGGTGAAGTGTAAGACGGTTGATTTTAGAAATTGGATGCAGCCGGCTGCAGCAAAACAGAGGAGTTTACGGAGGACACACGCGTTTTGTTTTACTTTTTAAAACTCATTGGACTCATTTCCAAATGGAGGATTACATATCTACGCTCAAACCATTCACTGGATTTAAACAAGGAACTGGTCTGAACCGAAGTGGACTGTGCAGGTCATTTATAAGGTATAGCTATAAGGTAAGACCCATAACTCATAGTTTTGCGTTTTGTATGAACAAACAATGCGGGCATAAAACATATTGCTGTAGCCAAACAAATTGTCCACTTGATTTATATGATGTATATGTTCATCTGATTGGACTGAAGTCAGTGCTTCACCAGCCTCACCGCTCGTCACCGGTGTTTCCACATTCACAGTGGCGGGCTTTACAGCACAGCCACAGACAGAGATGAAGAGTGAACAGGACTTCAGCAGCAAAACAGCCTTTTCTAGATGGAAATATTGGCACTGTTAAAGGTAAAAATGCGCACGTCGGGTGCACATTATGTTCCAGAACAAAACGAAAAAGTAACGCAATAGTTACTTTTACTGGTAACTAGTTACTTTTATAGTGGAGTAACTCCGTTAGTAACTCAGTTACTTTTTGGGAGAAGTAACTAGTAACTATAACTAATTACTTTTTCAAAGTAACGTGCCCAACACTGATGTTGAGTGTCCTGGATCATCAGCACAGTTCTTTTTGTTAGACCAAGGATACAAGATATATATATATATAAATATATATATATATATATTTTATTTTTGCATGAGCATAGTGATGATTTTCTCACTTTTTTCCCACTGCGATTTTCTTATGAGTATTTCCTTGCCGACCCCAGGAGGGTCTGTTGGACAGTTAGTGTCCAAAAAAAAGGACTGTGATGATCCAGGACACTTCAAACATTCTACGACATGTATGGACATTTATCAACATGTATTCTATATTCTTTATGTGTTTTAACTGTTGATTCTCTGATCTGTGGTGATTTCAATGGTTTTGTGAAGTCCTCTGAGATGACTGCTGTTGTGATTCGGAGCTATACAAGAATAAGTTATATTGTATTATATTGTATTGAATATGACATTAAGGGCACAAGGGAAAGTTTTTGGACAAGCTTGCAATCAATTAATGTATCTAACAACATTTTAAACATTTAGCTGTACAGACGCCAGTTATAGGAGTGAAAAGCCAACATTCAGTGCCCTGCAAATAACAGAATATTGCCTTTTGTTTGCATGTTTAGAGGTGATTAGGAACATCTGTAGACGAGAGAGTTTATTTCAGGCTGGTTTGTGTTTGACAATAATAACATCTGACTCTAAACTGAGGGAAGTACAAAAAATATCCAAAGAAATCTGAAAACTTGAAACCAGTCGCAGCATGTTCAGATAAGCAGCTGCTCCAAATGTTTTCCGGATAATAAATCTAAAGTCATCACTAGAAAAATGACCTATGAATCGAAGTGGATTCAAAGCTCTCTGTAGAAAGCTATAACTATGGAGTGGATTGTGGATCGCATTTAAAACAACATCTGTTATCTCAGATCCAATGTCACAAAAAATACAAAAACAAAACACGAAGCTGAACAGAATTCATGCATTTTACGGCAGAAAAAGGCATAAAGTGTCCTGTATTTACTCGTCGCTATCAATCAATCACATCTTTCTTTTGATGTAAAACGTTGATTAGATGTGTCTTGTTCTTTTTCGTGGAATGCAAACCTCGTGTTCCTTTGTTACGTGAATCAGATATGAAGAAGACAATACGCTGTGTTTGAGTACAGCATTCACAAGATGGTGGTCACAATAGTTTTACGAGAGCTTAGCACCGTTTTTCAATGATTTTGTGTTGTGTGCTCCTCACTCCTACTGTTCCGTATCATGCAGGATGAATAAAGGACCGCTTCATTTTAAACTTTTGAATATTTGTGCATTTTGGGGTATCCAGACCTTATTGATCAAGTGGATTTGATGTTTAAATAAGGTACTCAGAAATCCTCAGAATTCCAATCTAGACACTGTTCAGCCTCCATCAGTTTTATAATTCAATTGCAAAGTGGACACAGTGAGGCTGGAAGCAGAAATTCCCATTCAACATCAATTTTAAAAAAGAAATATAAAACATTTAAAACTTGCTTAGGGCTGATGAGTGATCTGAGGAGTTATAACGACACAAACCCTACATTTATATATAAGGAAGGCTTTTGAAAGTGTAAAGGGTTGAATAAATTATACTGAATGTTAAGATTTAATTGTGCTTTTTGGGCCTGGAGTAGTAACCAGATCACCATTTTGTTTATTTTAAATCATTTTACTTCCAGAACCTGCTAGCTCCGCCCACTTTGTAGCACCATAGTACTTGTGGGAGCCAATCGTATCAAAATGCTAATTGGCATCTAGTGGAAAACATACTGTTGTCTGGGTAACAGCAAATACTTGATATTAATTTATCTTGTGTTGTGTTCTCCTCACTGTTCTGTACTATGTGGGATGAATAAAGGACCGCTTCATTTTAAACTTTTGAACATTTGTGTTTATTGGGGAATCCAACCCTTTTTGACTAAGTGGATTTGACGTTTTAAAAAGTACTAATAACATCAGTCTAATGAGGGCCAATTTACCAGTAAGGATGGTGCTGTATTATGCCTCTGTGTCATAGTGTGGACACCATATAGTGAATCTGGGACCAGGTGGACGTACCATGAGGATGTCTTTATAACTCTGCACCCGGTTCACAGTACTGGCTCCAGTCACACTCAGCAGCTCCTCTTCCTCCCCCTCGTCTTCCTCCTCCGTGGCCTCGTAGCCTTCGTCGGGACAGGAGTCGGTCTCAGTCTCGGCCTCTGTGTTGGTCATCATGTCGATAAGTTGCTCCAGAGGCGGACTCAGCTCACGCTCCTCGTTCTCCTTCAGACCGTAGTCCAGAGCTTTGTAGATCATGATGCCCAGAGAGTCGATCACCTGAAACAGAGCAGAGTCCAAGCTACTAACAAAAACAATGTCAGGGAAAATCACTACTACTGTGACTATGGCTCAATAATTAATGGATAATATTCATCTTTTCTTTCTTTTTTGTAATATGACACGTTTTAGGTTTAGGTGCAATTTTATATTTAAGTTTCGTTTTTTGTTTTTTTCAGATTATGCATTTTGATGACACTCCCTGCTTTGTTGTAATTGTGTTTTTTCCAACATGTGACAAAGCATTAAAAGGTTAAAAGATTGTTTAGAGTAGAACAAATGTTCAATAAACAATGACGATAGATACATTTTATACTCGTTGCAGAACTACTATTTCCATTCATTTTCACCAAAGAAAATTCAAACATGAAGTATTTGCTGAGGCCAATGTGTGGTATTAGTTCTGTGATCATCATTAACCACAAGCTGAAGAGCCTTGAGCATTTATCATTATAAATGTCACACTATAAATTATACTAATTATCAATTCAATATTATGATGTTAAATAATCAAAGATGTTTCTATGGAACGGTTATGGTCATAGTGAATCTCAAAAGCCATAGCTGGAACTGACCACGTCTAATATATTACAATATGAGCTCACAGAAAGTCTGAACAGTCAGTTTCAACAGCTCTGAGTGGAGCAGAGACTGGTCTTGTGATAATAGTAGAGACTGATAACTAAAGAAATCATAAAACATTCAGATTTACATTTTATTTCATCTCTATATGTAACTTTGTGTCTGACGGAATCCTTTCAAATCAAATTAGACTAATTTGTTTACATATTTACAGATGGAAATTAGCCCAAAGCTACAATGTATTTACAACATCTGCAGTTCATTAATACACATGGTCCTGTCCAAATAAATAAACAAAACAAAAACATGTGATCAAAAGGGAAAAAATGTTGCCAGGTTGAGTCCACCCCTTTAGCTATAAAGAATGGCACTGGGAATGTCTCTTGCAGCAGACTGGTACAAACCCTGGTACAACACCTGGTACAAACCCTGGTACAACACCTGGTACAATCCCTGGTGCAACACCTGGTACAACACCTGGTACAACACCTGGTACAACACCTGGTACAACACCTGGTACAAACCCTGGTACAAACCCTGGTACAAACCCTGGTTCAACACCTGGTACAAAAAGACTGTAATGAGTGAATTAACCATAAAACATAACAGCTCAAATAAGTTCTGAACCTGCTAGTGAAATATTTTAATGTAAAGCTCAATAATAAAGTGACTTATGGAAATACTTAATATTGTTCTTATTCTTGGATGAGTCATTCCTGCCACAAAGCACAGGCTGCTGTACAAAGGTGGATTAAAGTGGGTGAAGCTCCTGTTTTGATGCTGAGAGCGTCTCTGGTCAGAGGGAGTGTACAGCACTCAGAGGGTGTGGCCTAGAAATCATTATATTTTCTACATACCATACATTTCTTTCAACTGCCTCTAGGAAAAAGTCTTCTTTATTTAAATTATAGGGCGAGCTAGGCTTGAGCCAAGTTATAAAGCCATAGTTTTACAAAATACAATTCTTGTTTTGTTTAATATATTTGCTTTTCAAAACACCATAAAGGTTTGGCCAATAGAATAAATACTGGTCATGTTTGATTATTCTTATCATTTATCATCTATCTCTGTGCAGCTGGTCTTCCTGCTTCAGAGCAAAAACAAATACTCTATTCCTTCTTGTATGATTATGTAATCTTTAATCCATCTGCAGGACGCAGCAGTGGGCAAACACACCAGCCATGGCACCAACCTTTAAACGCAATCTCCAAAACACTGGATCGAGGTGGAGGATTATTATTAAGTGTTTCAATCATAAACTATTGACTGTGGGAGACATTATAATAAATGTATAAATACATGTTGTGATCTAATTTTTTCAACATTTCCTTGTGCTCTTTCTGTTGGGACAAAGTACATTTAGTATTTATGACAAATGTAAGTGCTGTCCTTAAATATGGCTTTGTTTGAACCAATACTTTAACATTTTTTCCATATAATCAATACACAAAAGCATGATGGAAAGATGTATTGCAGAGATTCACTTAAACATACATTTCTATAATTATGAGTCACCTAATGTGAATATAACTATTAGTCACACGAACGTGGAAGATTCCTACAGTGAAACTCATCAGGATATGGGGAAAAGTCTAAGCTTAGTTTTCCAATTACACACCACAATCTTATTTAAAGAGAAGTGAGTCAGAGAGCCGAGGTAAAGGAGCTGAGGGAGGAGGCAACACGGGACAAGTCTGCAGCTCAACAGGGAACTAGATCTGCACGTTTCAGGCCTAAATATTAGTCTGTAATACAAGCACTTTGAATGGGTGGAACAATGAAACTTTTCTCCACCCAGAATATGTGCCCTCAAAAACAATGAGTCGCATTCAAATCCCAGGTGAAAACTGAGGAGAGTCATTTTTGTGTAGTAAAAAAAAAAGGTAACTCAACTCCACTCTATATGAACTACCCATTTCTGCCTTAAGCATTTAGTCCTAGATTCTCAAAGAAAATAACAATACAGAAACTCCGTGATCTCACATAACAAGATGTAGAAATACAATAGAAACAGCATTCTTCACATATGACAAAAATGTTTTATTAGGACATGTGTGAGACGAACCTTATACCAGTCGATAAAAAGGATAAAATTCATTCACACTGGTCACGTTGTGCCTTTATGTTCCATGTCATGCTATCATAAATAAATAATGTACTTTGTAAGACCAGAGCATGGCATCTTCTGTGACCAAACGTATACGCTCTGCTGCCATTGTACGAATCTTCAAAGTCGGAGCCAAAGTCAGTGTTTAGTGTGATTAGCCACGAGCGGCGCGTGATGACTTAACCTCTTAAGTATAAAACGCCACTTACATAAGACTATGATTTCTTATTAGGAGTCAGCTGACTTAAAGTCCAGCGAAAGGAACAACAGGGCGACCGTGACGCTGGACGCATCAGTGAGTCAGGGTTTGAGCAGATGGGCGAAGAATGGGCCACTTGTTAAAGCCGCACTTTCACACAAACACAGTCAAGAGCATATGAGCTGTTGTTGAGTCGTGTCCAGCGACGCCACAACATTCGACCAGTGTCAATGGAAACCAGAAAGAATCTTCATCCCGACAGCGTTCAAGCCAATGCAGTGGATTTATGGAGGCAATTCACATTTGTGTTGCTTGAAACATCTATAAGAATGGTTCAAAATAGTCACTGATTAATTAACTAAATGTCCTCTGCACAATTATTCTTTTTTACAATTGCGATGAAGTTTCCTGATATGTTTATGTTTATGTTTATGGTGTTTTCATAAGTGAGTATAGAATTTGGGTATTACACAAAGTCTACTTTTCTGAAATAAAAAATAAAATAGAATCGATGATAATAATCATGAAGAACAACTTGGGTTCATTATATTTAGTTTCAAGAGAATTATGAGATCCCAAAAATTTCTTTGGCTAACATACTATTATGCTTGAAACTTTCAAGTTAAAATTGGGGCAGAATTCACCTTTTTGAGCTGTATTTATAAGATTATGAAAGATAATGCAAAGATTTTTTTTCGACATTGTTATTGGTTGTGTGAAGCCATTTATTGTAAAATAAAGTCATTATAATGACAACTGAAACTATTCTGATCTCAAAAGCGTGCTTCCCCTTTAACATCTACGACAGCTTGGAGTCTTTAGTTGTGGATGGGCTTCTTTATTCTCTCTGATGGTGAAAAAGTCTGTTCTTCTTAGCAAAAAGTTCCTGTAAATTCCTGGGCTGCCGTTTATAAACACATTAGAGCTCTCCCAAGAGCAGCTCAACTATGTGGTCAATTTGAAATAGAAAATATATGGCATCACACAATCACAAACGATGAGCGGACAAAAGCAAAAACCATGACATCTTTGGTGTGTACATTTTCAAGCACAACTGCATCATAATAATTACAGAACACTAATGCGGTTAAATCAGGAGAGAAATTATTGTTGTGTGACATTTACATGAAACCAGCACACATCAGCCCCAGCAGGAAGGCCTTAAACCTCCCTGTGGATCCATTACACATGTAGGGAGGCTCTGGGCCCTTCACATCATAAAGCAGTCAGATAAGCTGCTGTCAGCAGATACTGCGGCACTAGAGCGAAGCATCAGACCGTTACATAAGCTCCTCTAAAAGAGGAGAACTTCCAGAGCTCGTCCCATCAGCAGCATCACTACAGATGCGGAGGGAGGATGAAAATACCACCTTCAAAGTCAATCAGACAGACGAAAGAGGATACCGACCTCTTTCGTCTCACACAGGAAGAATAGTCACAACTATAATTAGAACATGCCGAATAAGGCGGCTCACCTTACTCAATATATTGGATTTCTCATGCTTTTAGTGGCCAGCACATAACAGCAGTCTGGATAAACCCTCCTCAGGGAATCAGTCCAAGTTTAGCTTTTAGTGAAACTGTCAGTGAATCAATAAATTGACTTGATTAGCACAAATGGAAATGCAACGAAACACAGTAAGGTCAGTGGAAATGAAACGATGACTATGGGGAAATAAATACTGTATGATAATTACCCTGAATGTAACACAAACCACAATAATGTAAGTTTAGATGTTGTGTTCAAGGTCCCAAATAAGCTCAATCTGCAGTATGGGGCGTTCGAGAGAAACACAGACATCAGACTCTGACAAACATGAGATTTTATCCTTACTATTCTCTGCACCATTATATGATAATATCAATATAAAAATAAGAAATATCAATATAAAAATACAAGAAGTAAACATACATGATGTTATATAGGAGTATTTATATATTGAGTGTGTGCAGTGAAAGTCTATGGTTGGATGAGATTAATTAAGTGCTGTAATCCAGGACATACTCACAAACAAATACTGCATTTTTTTATTTAAATAAACAAATATTATGCATTATAACACATTTTCTGTATCTTGAGAAAAATCCCCCATTGATAAGACTTGAAATATGCCAGTAATACCTGACTGAAGAGTGTGGTCAAAGCTAAATCCTGTTTGCTTGCTAATAAATACACTCAGGCCTATTTATCTTTGGGAGTGTCCTTCAGGTTTAGCCCTGGACACAGAGAAGTGTTTATCATTATGCAACATTAGTTGAAGTAATCCCACACAGAAAAACACACAGTTAAAGCTCGAGTTAGTGGAATTAACCTTTTTTCCAAATCCTTTTTCAAACAAATGATATAACGTGTAAAAACCCGGTCCGACAACTGAAGACGTCGCATGATCAGGTCGACAGTTGGACCGTGCACATGATGAGTCAAAACTCTTCAGTGATGGAGTGTATCTGATCAAACTTGTGTTTACTGGACTGCACACTAACCCCAGTGTTTATCTTTTAACTGGAAATCAGCAAATGATTGAGTTCATCCAGAAGAGACAAACATTTACAAAAGTAAAAGAATAAACAACTCACAAAGCCCTCACATGGCCAAGGAGGGTGAGAACAGGGGATGGAAGTATTCACGATTCAAGAATGTATTTGCCATTTGCAGTAATACCACATTGGAAAAACTGTGCAAGACTACCCCAGTGTGCACCAGTATGAAGGAAAACTAATATATTAAAATCACACATCAATACTGTGAGGATGGACTTCAAGTGGATGCATTGTATCTGTGTAAAAAGCATTTAACCTACCACTTTTGTTTTTCTGAAGTAATTCCCAGGACGATATGCTTATAATTGAAATCCTTGAGTCCTAAGTCTTTCTGTCCTTTCTTGTATGTCTCTCTATTGTTATTAAGTTAGAAATAAAATGACAAAGGAGGGATAGTCACTTCCTTTATGGTTACATTATAGCTGTGAGCATCTAGTCTACACACTGAAATTAACCCACACATGCTATTTTGCTGCAAATAAGAGGACAGATTCGTTTTTTGTACATGTTTTGTCACATGATCAAAAAAATGCAATGTCCCTATACTATACATACAGGACCTTGCAAAAGTATTTGGCCCCCTTTAACCTTTCAACATTTCGCCACATTTCAGGCTTCAAACATAAAGATATAAAAAAAATATTTTTTGTCATGAATCAACAAGTGGGACACAATCGTGAAGTGGAACGAAATGTATTGGATAATTTAAACTTTTTTAACAAATAAAAAACTGAATAGTGGGGCGTGCAATATTATTCGGCCCCTTTACTTTCAGTGCAGCAAACTCACTCCAGAAGTTCAGTGAGGATCTTTGAATGATCCAATGTTGTCCTAAATGACTGATGATGATAAATAGAATGCACCTGTGTGTAATCAAGTCTCCGTATAAATGCACCTGCTCTTTGATAGTCTCAGGGTTCTGTTTAAAGTGCAGAGAGAACCATGAAGACAAAGGAACACAGCAGGCAGGTCCGAGATACTGTTGTGGAGAAGTTTAAAGCCGGATTTGGATACAAAAAGATTTCCCAAGCTTTAAACATCTCAAAGAGCACTGTGCAAGCAATTATATTGAAATGGAAGGAGCATCAGACCACTGCAAATTTACCAAGACCCGGCCGTCCCTCCAAACTTTCATCTCAAACAAGGAGAAGACTGATCAGAGATGCAGCCAAGAGGCCCATGATCACTCTGGATTAACTGCAGATAACTACAGCTGAGGTGGGGATGGTGTATTCAGGGTGATGAGCTGTGTTGCTGTTACGCCAAACATTTTGTTTTGCATTGTGGCCAAAAAGTTCGATTTTGGTTTCACCTGACCAGAGCACCTTCTTCCACATGTTTGGTGTGTCTCCCAGGTGGCTTGTGGCAAACTTTAAACGAGACTTTTTATGGATATCTTTGAGAAATGGCTTTCTTCTTGCCACTCTTCCATAAAGGCCAGATTTGTGATGATTGTTGTCCTATGGACAGACTCTCCCACCTCAGCTGTAGTTATCTGCAGTTCATCCAGAGTGATCATGGGCCTCTTGGATGCATCTCTGATCAGTCTTCTCCTTGTTTGAGATGAAAGTTTGGAGGGACGGCCGGGTCTTGGTAGATTTGCAGTTGTCTGATACTCCTTCCATTTCAATATAATTGCTTGCACAGTGCTCCTTGAGATGTTTAAAGCTTGGGAGATCTTTTTGTATCCAAATCCGGCTTTGAACTTCTCCACAACAGTATCTCGGACCTGCCTGGTGTGTTCCTTTGTCTTCATGGTTCTCTCTGCGCTTTAAACAGAACCCTGAGACTATCAAGACTATAAAGTTTAAATTATCCCACTTGTTGTTGATTCATGACAAAAAATTAAAATTTTATATCTTTATGTTTGAAGCCTGAAATGTGGTGAATATGGGCCGAATACTTTCGCAAGGCACTGTATGTCTTTTTGATGTTGCCTACATACTTTGTGTCATGACATAGTGGAGGCTTTTCAAATCAGGGCATAGAGTGACTAGTAGCATTACTGGCTGCATATTTAGTCATGGCTCACTATTTGCAAAGGGCAATATGTGAAAAACAATAATTGTTTCTTGTTGGCTGACTGATACAGCCAACAAGATACATTTGAGACAGAAATTATATTACAGTAACTATTAACCGAGGAGTTATTAAAATAGCATGGTGGACAAAACTCACCTCTAATGACGTAGGTGGAGGTCTGTATTTATCTGAAACGAGACAAGAGAAAGGAGGCGTTATTTCAAGCGCACACAGATGTAATTGTTGACCTAACCTGCCATTACAGACAACTTATGCTACACGCCCTTTGAATATTTTAAGTTAAATGTTGTGTGAAGTTATGCCCGGCATCAGGGAACTGGCAAATCCAACCCAACCATTCCTCCGTGGAACATTATGTGTTGAACATTACGTATAGTGAGTGTTGCTTCATAATCGTTCTCAAATGGAGGCAACATGCTTCAGATTTGCCTCTAGGCGATTCCCAAGTTAAATGAGAGTGAATAAAAGATGGGACCAGCGAAGGTGTCAGACTGTGCCTCTGGGGACTCTGCACGGACATAGACCTGTCACAATAACTCATTTTGATGGACAATTCATTGATTAGGAAAATGAGTGCAATTAACAATAAAAATGAACCTACTCAATGCCCCTGATGCTAATACAATAAAGTAGATAATCCCAGTAAAGTCATTTTATCCATTTGTCCCATTTATTATAAAACATACGTCATAAAAATGAACAGAAGAATTATATAATATTTTGAGATATTTTGAAAAAACTACAACTAAAACCTCATCTACACAGGAAATAGCAAAAATCCCCCTACTTAATGTATAGAAAATATCCAGACAATAAATATTGAGACCCAAAATATATTGTTTTATCCATTTGTAATATCATTGTGACAGGCCCACCGAGACAAAAAAGACCCCCCCCCCCAAAATGTCCTTCGGGAGTTTCAAACGACCCCTTCTTTGTACTGTAGATACTGACAAAACAATTCATTCATACTAACTAACATTGTTACTAACTTTACAAATAGGTTCTGTTGACATTTGCCAATATCCACTCAAAAAGAAAAAAAAATGATGCAATAATTTCTGTTTTTGTTACATTTAAAGGATTAAATGCGTGACTGGGATGATGTTGCATAGATTGGTTTGAACCACAAGAATGTACACAAAACTAGAGAGCCACTTGGGTCATCACACAACACTCATGTATATCGTTTTTAAAATACTTCATCTGTATGGTACACTACATCAACTCTGCCCTATAAAATACTCAGGTGAAGGTCACCTGCTATAAGTAGGTCAAAAAATGTATGCTATGTCTGCCCATTTTACAGAAGAAAGGAAATAATCTACCATCAGGCCATACTAAGAGATTTTTACAGGAGAGGTCTAAACAAAACAAAATACTTCCTCCATTTTATCACATTCTGCTTCATTTCTGAAAGTTTTTGGACCAAATCACCAAGTATTATGTCTTTTCATGAATCCCCATCTCGACGTGAAAAGTCACGTATGAAACATTTTTGTCATTCAGAGCCCACAAATTCGAGCGAGGGACAGACCGAGGCAGAAATAACCAGTGATCCAGACTCGCTCTGAGAACACTGGCCCCTGTGTTGTGCCGGTCTGAGGGGAGGAGGCCTGCTCTCTGGTCTCTACAGTATATAGTAAATCAGAGCAGGCAGATTTGGGGCGGCTGTTGTGTCTTTTTGGCTTCTACACACAACAGGGAAATCAACAGCAAATTAGGATCCATTAGTGATGGCAATGTTGACTTATTATGGTGAAAAAGAGATTAATGGTGTTCTAATACAGTGTGGTTAAGTCGGAATTTAGTGGCTCAATTGGTGTTTATAAATCACATCAGATAGCCTGTAAATATTATCACAACATGCTATATAATAGATTTTAGAATTAACAGTTAGTCTGAATATCCAATACTTTAAACCTCAAGAGTGTGTAATATGATGACGTCATTGTCAAGACTTGAGAAAAACATTCAGGAAAAAAAATGTTCCTGAACTATCTAAAAGGCAATATATTGATACCAAAATAACAAATTAAACGCATAGCACTATTGATAGAAATGTATCCTAGTAAATCATTGTAGCCATTCATTTAGCTGGATCAAAGTGCAGCCTTATTTGGTTTGCATCCATATGTTTTGGGGAATTGGGCCAGAACGAGGATGTTTCGTCTCATGAGGAGCAGATGCATACTGAATGTTGCGTAAGTAGTGATTTTCTGAGGGAGCAACCACTTATGTCCGCAGAACTTAATAGGTCTCATGTCTCTCTCATCACTTGGCCTAATACGAATCAGGAACAGGCTTTCCCAAAATATTCTGCTCTAAAGACTCACAATTACATCACATCAATATTTGTACACTTAAAGATAGAAGAGTCACATGAACAGGTTACACATTTTGTTTTAATTTTCTTCCAGTTGAGGTAGCCACGCCTCCTGCTCTGGTGCTCTGATCACTCATACATGTTGCTAACAGGGAAAGGCTTTGAAACTAGCTCTCAGAAAGCCTATTTGAATAGAAAACATTCTTGTTCACTTAAGGCTTTGAGACTGTTAGCAGATGCATTGGAGAATTTAACACTAAACCTATTAAACAGGAGCCAAGCCGTACTGTGGCAATACTGTGACCTAGAATGTACTTAAAATTGAATAAAGTAATTTACCAAGGCACTGAGTTGTTGATCACAATTTAGTATTAGGTTATGCACCACATTCATGAGGCATATTGTCAACAGTCAATTGTGGCAAAGCTTCTTCTCATTTAAATGTGTTATTACGCTCCAAATATGACTCGTTATTAGACTTTGCCTTTTCAGCTCATTTCCTTGAACCTGCAATTAAGATTTATGGCCTTGATTCGGTCTGGACCCAAGATCTTATGTAGTTTGAATCAATCACATGGCTCAATGTTTGCTGTGGCTAACGGACCACTGTGGCCAATTATTCTGACACTGATCATATGGTCAGCAGGATATAAGCAACAACATGGACCTGTATATGTGGCCATTCCTTATACTAGAGTAGTTTGAGGGGTAGGCTTTGTTTATGAATTATTAATAGCCCAATGCGGCGTTTGTAGCCTAGTCTTTGATTAACAGTCTGTTTATGTGCCATTAATACCCGTATCCATCGTCTGTAAACACATTTGCCACATGGCTCGAAGCAAAGAACCACAACAATATGGGCTCTTTGTGATGCTCTGTGCACAGTCTGGTATAACGAGCAAAATGATCAAAGAGATAAGAGACGATGTTAATGCGTAGCTTCGTAAATTCGACAAAAGTTGAAATGCATCATTTCGATTACCTGATTCCGTGTTACAGATTAATCGGACAGTGCCATCTCTCCCAATTGCCACATCCCCGGGTCCTTCAATGCGCCGCGGGTGGGACCTGGAGCTTTTCCGCCTGGGTCTCTGTGCTAGTGTCCGGCAGCACTGGTAGCACACGGCCCACGCCTGCTCCTCGTTTATGGGCTGACTGTACAGGCTCAGGATGTCCTCCAGCGACACGTCCTCGCCTGAGTCCCCGCAGACCATGCTCAGGTTGTCGGTGTGAAAATCCCGGGGAGTCGTGGGCGAAGGCAGCGTCCCGTCGTCGGTCCCCGGTCGTTTGGCCATCTCTCACTTCATTGTTGATTTTAGAAGAGAAACATGTAGTGTCACGACGCACACACCTTGTACCTCTCTAACCGCGTCTTCTGTTTGACTGAGGCCGTGAGACCAACACCACCGTGCGCTGATGGTGCACTCCCGCCGGGAGGAGCCGCGCGGTCCTAGCGCCGACAGTCACAATCAAAATACAGACTTTTACTGAATGAGGGCGAGGAAAACAGGCAAAACCAGCTGTTGTTTCTAAGTTCCTGAAGTCAAACCGTTGTTTGTAAGTTTTCTAAGTAATCTGTGTTTGATTGATGGCTTGTTGTGATCGTCAATCTTATAAACTATACTTGAAGATCCAACCCATTATTTCCCTCGTGGAATATGTGTTTCAATTTAATCTTTTGCACTATGGAGGGATTGTTACCAACAAAATAAGTATGGATGAACTAAAACCGTAAGGTTTTAGTTAAGGAAGGATTGTAGACTCATTGTCTAATTATGTATCTATCACAAATTTCCTTTTGGGTTCTTTGAAAACTGGGGGATGGCATTTAATAATTCAAAGTAATCTGTATGTATATGTATGTATAAACCCTTATCAAAGTACACTTGTACCTGCATGTCCAATGCTGTCACTGCCACACTGTTTAAAATAATTCAACCTTCTTTACAGAACATTAAAACAACATTGTCTTTTAAAGATGATGGCTCTGAACAGCTTTTATTACTCTGTTTCTTGAGTAATGTTGTTGACAGCAGCAGTCTCTTGAAAATAACGTATTTCAGGAAAGAAAATAATCCAACAAACAACACCGCCATCTAGTGGCCACTGCACGGTAGTGCCCTGTTAGTAAGCAGTATATGTGATTATTACATGCAGATTCATGTAAAACACACAAATTATCATAACACCCTCACATGTGTATTTATATAATTCTGTTAAGGAAAAGTGAAAATTGTCCAAAAAAAGGAACACCAAGTAATAAAAGTAATCAAACCAGCAACAGTACAAATGTAGATGATGCGTAGGCACATGCGGGTGAGTTTTGTTTTGTCTCCTCTTCCAGTAAAGACTGGATTAAACTTCAGGCTTTACATCGTCAAATCTTGGAGTCCTAAACAGCACTTTAGGTTCATCTCAATGTAAACTATTTACAGAATACTGCCATTAGACAGCCTCATCATTGGTAATTCACACTCAAAGATTAATTTATCATAAAAGACTCTTTCTGACAAAATTAAGCTTATTTCCAGGAAGGCCTCACACAGAAACATTGGATGTGCAGTTTGTGATTATCATGTGCATATGAACGGTCTTTAAAACTGGATTTAAAACACAGTGACACGTTCCCCGCCCGCCTGAAGCATCCATGGGTAAAAGCACAGTCTTTGCTTCACACATGCATTTGCAATGGCACAACAAAGATGCAGCATCCGAGGTATTTGGATGGAGACAGGTATATCGCTGAGATTAGCAGCCATGATTCCGTTACTGTTACTGTATAATGTATGCCCCTTGTCTTCTCCAATCCAAACTGCAACTGCAAAATCTTTGGGCGTAATCCTCCAGAGTCTAGGCCGCTTCACTTCATCTTTCATCACATGTGTTTCCAGATTCCGTGTCTCCACTTGTGTTGACGTTTACAAGATGGCCATCTTTGCATGAAATACTTGTCTCTTTAGAAGCCCTTCGTTTTGAGTCACGATTGGATTGCTGCGGAAAGACATAGCATGTAGTTGAATTTTTAATCATTTAAATGTCATTGCAATGAAAATATATAAGTATCAAGGATACATAATCTATGCTTCCTCGCTCTCCATTCGTGATTGCTTTTAATTCTCCAAGAGAACAAAACTAATTCAATTAGTATTTGTACTTATTTCTGGTCAATTACTTGAAACAAGATAACAAGGTTGACATCCATCCACAACAGATGGATGTAGCTTTAGCTGAGCTACTGTACCTACAAAACAGACTTATTTGGGCGTTCATAATACAAGCATGCTATGGATTGATTTGATCCAGAGTATACTGCCTGTGATCCACGATCCGATGACAGACTTTACCCAAGTTTATGATCCATAGTTTGAAAAACCAAAGACTAAAACCGAATTCCAGCAAATGGAGTGTAATGTTATGTAAAAGTGGTTCCAAAAGATGCCACCTGAGTGTTATGTGTCACACATGAACAGTGTAGCTGCAGATAAGACCGACCTCGCTGAGGGAGCGTCGGGCTCTCCTCTGGTGTCCAGAGCCGGTCGGGACCAGGGCCTGCTTCCCACACTGGGTCCCTGTGTTCACCATCCTCTTCTCCTTCAGGCTGCTCTCCAGGGCCTTGCCTTGGTTGCAGTACAATGAACAAGTGGAGGTTAAGGTGGAGTGACAACTAGGCTAGATTTAAGCAATCCAACAACAAAATGGTGATCCCCAAACATGTCATTTCCATTTATAATAATGCCATACAAATGTAAGAAAACAAAACCCATTATCTTACTGTTAGCCACAGGCAGAGGGGGCTCTACGTCGGTATTGGTCAGCCACGTCGATTCCGTTTCTCTGGTCCAGCTTTCATGGTACCTCGGCTCGATGATGGCGTCTGCCCGACTCCCCCCACAACCCATCGAGAAAACCATCCAGGGCAGCTGTAGCAGCAGCAGCGTTTACGAAGAAAGCCCCGTGCCACGCTCCGTGTCACAGCTCCATCCTACCGCCGCTACTACTCCATCTGCATCCCTGTTTCCTTGTCCATTACACTGACAAGCGGCCAGTGTGTGCGTCATGGAGCAGGGCGGGGCCACGCGCCTCACGCAGCATCAGCATCACTGTGGCCCCTAGTGAAGGGTGCTGATCACATACAAGCAGGGACGTAACGCACTGGTTTTATTGTTTTATTTTGGAACAGAGTGGTTATTAATCATATAAGGGAAATTCGTGTCAAGTTATAATCCAAAAACAATGTCAAACCAACTAATCAAATTAATTATATTAAAACGTATCATTAATAATAAATAATTGTTAAGTCTTTTTAAAAAGCACATCTACAGGCCAGTGGTTTCCACATACAATATTTATTATTAGTGTATTACACAAGCCATAAATACAATTTAAAATACTGCAGACAGATTTTTGGTAGCTTGATATGCCGAAATGATAAAAGCTTACAACCACAACGTGTATTGCCTTTTGTTTGTATTAGGACCTATTAAAACAGGTGTCATGTACAGGCGTAAGCTGAATGGCAAAAATGCCAACATTTCTTAATATAACATTTATAAATACACACACATATAAATCATTTAAAAAATAAATAATCCAACATTGATTACTGGGTTCTTCCCCTTACAGCATGAATAGCAAATTTCCACTTTGCCATAAGTACTTTGCATAATAATGTGCAACTTTCAACAAAAACAAAGGGAATGTACAAAACATCCGTCTTAACAGGTGGAAGAATATTTTTTGGGACTCCTGTCAAAAAAATCCAATAAAAATGCAAATACAAAACTGAAAATATTGAACTGAAATAACAAGATTTCTTTACAAAAAATAAATAAAATAACATTTGTAAAAATGTCACATAAATTCCATAAGATAGCAGTGTCACTAAACTTTGAAGTCCAGCAAGTTGCAGTCAATCTTGTAGTAAACATAAGGATAGTACTCTTGTTGACTCAGGTTTAGCCCCGGGATGTCCATAGAAGCCTGTGAAATAGAAAAAAGGTGAAAATGAAACCTATATGTATGTTCAAATGGTTATTCAATAGCTAACAAAATTGTTTTTTAAATACAGCTAAAACAATTTTCCTAATGGAGGAAGGGGCAAACTCACATCAATTATTGCGGCACTGCTGTCCAAATGTTTGTAAAGGTCATAAAGGACCTCTCTCAACTTCTTCATATTCTTCTTGTTTGGTTGAAGCAGCATGGCCTGAAAGTTCACAGGAAGCCCATATCTAAAACAAAATACAACAAACTCATTGCAATTGGTCTAAAATGAACAGTGACCAGCGGTGACGGGGGCTCTTACCTCAGGACTGACTCCACAAACACCCGAAGAGCTTTTATGTGAACCCATGCAATGAACGCTTCACTGAAGTTCACTTTGAGCCATCGCACCAACGGCCCCTAAATGACATAAGTTAAGACAGAGAATTAAATATCTGATGGAGCCTATAGGGTGCACAACGCATTATAAAATTACCATCAGACAATGTATTAAGGTGTTCTGCGGTAACCACTTCTATGTAAGGGCTGTATCATATACTCACAAACTGTTTCTTCTTGTCAGTGGACAGTCGTGTCATCTCCTCTTTGTCTGCCTTCATTTCCTCCTCATTGTACTGGAAATCACGCACGCTAAACCTGGGTAAACAGAGCAACCAAATAATCAGCACAAATTCACTTGGCTAGAGGAAAAACCCAGGCATAGACACTGACGCACATAGGACAAGAGCTAGAGCAGCTGCAGGTCTTTCATGATTAAAAATACATTCATTGATCACTATTTATTTTTCTGTATTCAGGTCAAGAAAGATGAAAATTACTTGATTTCTCTGGCTTTGTGCTTGAAGTCGTCTATTGCTTTTCTGAAAAGAGTGACGCTGAACAGGCCACTCTCATTGTCCTCAAACAGCAACCTTTAGAGGGAAAGTAGAAAAACATTAGAATTGGCAATAACGACTCAGAACAGAGAGAGCATTTCAGAAGTACAGTAACTGAAAATTAATTATGATTAATTATGGCCCATCACCCTCACCCTGGACACAGCGACAGTACCATATTTTACAATAATTTATTTTTTTGTAGCCATTAGGAGGTTGGAAAAAACAAAGAAAGTAAATTGTTCCAAACGCAGAATTGCATTCAAATGATCATTACAGGTTAAGGTCGAGTGCCCTGCCCGTTATATCTATAGGTTGTCAACCATGTATAGGCATTGTTGGAAACCACATGGAAACATTTCTCTGAATTCTTACTTTGTAGAGCGGGGTACAACCATCTCTGATAGAGTTTCATAAGTCTTCTGCCACTCAGCGTAGCTTGTTCTGAAAGACAAAAAGGTAAACAAACATGGTAAATTCCCTTTACTGCAAAAGACAGATGACTCATGCTCACTGATCGTGTCTTGGGTTTATGAATAAGTCTGAAAAGGCTAATAATAAACCATTTGAGTTTGTCTTGTCTTTATTCGTGTTGAATAATTTACTAACTTTGGGACAACAACCAGCATAGTAATGAGGTACTCAGAGTCCAGAACAAAGTCTTCTTTCTTCACTATGTCCGCCAGACTCCTGGTCAACAAACTCCCGCTAAACCAGCAGCAAGACAGATAAACAAGTATTAAAACCATAGACAAACGCAATAACAGCATTATCACATGATGCCACAAGATGGAGTCCTAATTCAAAAAAGAATATTAATTTATTGCTGCTCAAATCAAAATACCAAAATTAAAATGTAATTTCATAAATTATAGCATTGAATTTTCAGCATTATAATTTGCTTTTTTTGGTCAATAACTCAGTTCTTAAACTTCCAAGAGTTTGCAAAACTTACAAAAAAAACCATACACATAATTCATAATATATACATAATACACATTTAAGAATTTAATAAATATGAATGCACAAATAAAAAGTTTATAACATAAAAGACCAGTGTGTCATTGAGAAATTGTACTTACGCATTTTTTCTCTCTAGATTTTGCAAATTTCCTTTCAGGTTGTTGTAAGCTGAAGCTCGAGCCTTTAAGTCATTGTCTATTTGTGTTGCTTGCTACAATAAATATACATATCTGAATTATTTAAACAAAATAACAAATATTAATAAATTGTTTAAATGGCTTAAGCACAGGATTACCTACCTTAGAGATAATCTCTGATATGTTCTTCAGAGATTGTTTGATGGGATATTTAGCCATGTCCCAATGGAATCTTGTGATGTAAGTAACCAAATCAACTACACAAACAAAAAATGCTTTTCAAATCACAATTGCATTTGGCGGGTAAATTCCTGAGATGCACCATGACTTACCTCCATTGGCAAGAAGGTTTTCCTGAACTTTGTCTCTGCTGTCCTCTAGGACATCTGCCATATACTGAGCCACCTTCTTCACCACACTGAAACAAATCACAAGTGTATTATAGGCTTGGGGCGGAATACATTATTGTGTAGGATTATTACAAACAACATAAACATTTTAATTGACCTTTCGACAAAGGTGTCTAATTTAGCCAGTTCATCAGACAGACCAACCAAGACATCTAACGTTCCAACCTGTGGTGACAAGAAGATACTAGGTTACAAAAGTTTAATACAGAAAGCATCTGTAAACATTCAGTATTTGACATCACAGGAGAGCACAACCTTCAGGTCAGGGATGTTAAATTTGTTGTTGGTCGACAGGTTGTTTGTGCGGGTGGTGGCCATCATGAGCGTGTCCCATGTCTGTTGGCATGTTTTCTCCCCTGGGGCTGAGATTAACCAGAACTCAGTCATGGCAGCAATGTAGAGGTTAGATGTACTAAAACCTGCAAATTACAAAAGGAAATCCATCGGATTATCGAGACAACATTTGAACCATCAGGGAATTGACCAATAATCGATGTAACCTTGTAGAATCTTAAATACGAATATTACCAGAAGTGAAAAAGAGAGTATCTGCAATGTTTAGCTGTGACAGGATGAGGCCCTGAGCACGAGGCAGATGTCACATGATCACTGTTATGAGGAACGACCAAGCTCAAGGGATCTTCCCCGTTAAGACAGAGAGTGTACAAATGAATGAAGTCTATTTCATCAGTCAGCTCGTTTAATTATAACGATTACAAATGTCACTGTAGTAATTCGCTAATCCAGTATCCATCCCTTGCCTGTGTTCAAGTATCACGACATCAAAATGGTTGTTCTTCACCTACCTTAATGCAAATAATTCTCTGTTTGATTCCTGCTTCTTGATTTAATCAATCTGGGCTGTCCTCTCCTGCATTGCGTAGATATATTAGCAGGTTTTCGGTTTAAAAGCACCTTCGACAGCAGAGCATCTCAGGCACAGTCAGCTGATCACTGCAGACACTCTGCGCATGCGTGAGGCTTGTTGCGGACACTTGTTATGGGCGGAGTAAAAACAGTGACAGTACAAACATAACAGAATCTACAGTGAGTCTATAGTACAAACTGGAGCTTTATCCATGATGGATCTATTGAGGTTTTATCTAATAGAGGACAGACCGAGACAACACTTGAAGTTGATGAACTTTAGGTGGATTGGCATTTCCGATAATGTCCTTTTCTAATCCTATCAGTAGAATTCCTTCGAGGCATTTGTAACGAACAGGTTGTCCTTTACATCCCTGTCAAACCAAACACGTATGTCATCCTCCTGTGTACAGTCATGCTTATATTAAATCACGACGTTCACTTGTACTATAGGTCTACAGTCTGTATAATAAACCTGTATCTGCAGAGGTACAAGTATATTTACAAGTATATCTTTCGTGCACTAGAGGATGCAGAACTTCACTTCTTTATTAAGCTAAATTTAGAGATTTTTTGCACTATACTTAAAGGTAATATTTTAGGAAAGAACCGCCCTCTCCACTTTTTGAACAAAACTCTCTGGTCCTATTTGAGGAGCATGTATCAACAGAATGATTCACGAATGGGACCAATAGTCTTGATGATCCACCAGGAAGTAGAAAATCCTATACTTTTGTTCGATACCTTTAATATGCACTCATGCACTTATCTTGTGATGTGTGCTCCTCATTCCTACTGTTCTCTAACTTGTGATTCAACACTGAAATTTCCCCACTGTGGGACAAAAAAAGGATCTCTTAATCTCAATCTGACCAGTTTTGGGGTAAAAAAATTATCCTTTCGTTCATCTTTGGGTGTGATGTAATCTGCAAAACCAGGAGAACCACTTAATGATCACATGACCTGCCAAACTCTGTTTGGTACAATGTGTCAGCTATAATATATGAGCCCAAGTTCATACTTGTGCAGTACTTATATTATTATTCAATGCAAAAACTGTTTTTGTACAGTTAGCCCTTCAGGAGGAAATTAGAAGACTTGCAACATGAGCTCCTGAAACCGTTTCCCTGCAGTGTTCTTACATATCTTTACTGTATTTATTTCTATTATTGATATTTAGTTGTCCTCTATCGTTCTTTTAATATACATCATTATTATCTGTGCTGTGGTTTCAGTTGATAAAAACACTGACTTTTGATATTTCTTATTTATGATGATGATGACCTTGTCTTATATCTCGGCTTTCCAAATCATCTGATAGTGACATCTCCGGTCCCCAGAGACTCCTGCCTCTTTGAACTCCAAAGATGGTTGGGACAAAACATATTTGTCCCTTCACATTTTGATTAAAGTGAAGATAAATAATAACAGACTTTTACCAAAGGAAAGCATCATTTGCTTCAGCTCTGGGCTCAATTGTGACTTATTTTAGGCATGACATATTTGAGCTATCAGGCATTTCAGCCAAAGCAACTTTTACCCACACAATGATTTTCCCAAGAAGTTTTATTTTAGAACATAAATGATGTGTGACCAGATAACTGATTATTCATGAATTTTGATTGTTGGTGGTTCGAAATGTTGGTATAAAATTGTATTTCCTTCCTGTGGACAGAAAACTCATTGAAGTAAGCTTGGGGGAACAAGAGCACAAAATCAAATTATAGACGCTGTCATGCCGTGTTGAGGTTTATGTTTGGCCGTTACACTCTGGACTCATATCACGAATGACACAGTGGAACAGTTCAATTAACTGATTACTTGAGGCCATTGCGGATGTTATTATCATCTATAGCCAATTCTTGCCTGGTGCTTTTTACCTCTGCCAAGGAGGTCATGTTTTATCTGCATTTGTTAGTTAGTTATGGGCAGATATTTATAACATTTTAATTTAAATTAAAAATTCTCTTAGCATAGATCAGCGCTCTACGAGTGCTTATCTAGTTAAAACCTGATATGATTTACGCATTTATTGACAAAAACACATTCCGTAAATTCCGGATTATAAGCCGCTACTTTTTTCTGTACTTTGAACTCTGCGGCTTATGCTGAGGTTCTGCTTCATTTTCAGTTTTTGTGGCGCCAAAAAACCCTTTTGCCAAGTAACAGTAGATCAACAGAATTGATGAGTAGTCCATAGAGGTCAGTATGTCATTTGTCCTCACCCGTGTCAACATGGAAAATACTAGAAGAAAAGCATGATGTGGCGCATAAAAAATGTAATTTGTGTGTCACCGATTCAAAAGTACGGCATATTTAAAGAATGAAGGCACCATTAGAAAAAAACATTTACAATTTGTACTTGTTTGTTACCAAGCAGATAAATAAATACGTCTACTATCTTTGTGTCCATATCACATGATTCATTGTTTTTTGGTTTTGTGTATATACATGGAAGTGAAAAGGAAGGTTGAGAACATCCTATATTCACTTCTTACAGTAATAAAACATGACGAAAGTTTTTGAGCTGCATGTGGGAAAGTTGCATCTGAAAGTACAATATTTAATTTCCTTCTAAAAATTAGAACCTGCGGCTTTTAATCAGGTGCAACTTGTAGTCCGGAAAGTACGGTACATATTTTGATCATTGTTTGTTTGATTGTTTATTTATTAATTTCAGGCATTTCACAGAAGGCACAAGATCCATCATAGTTTCCAAAAAAATAAATAAAGTATTGCTAACATGCATTAAAAAATAAAAAAATAAAACAATGTTTTTTTAATTAGAAGCCTCTTATTCTTCATTAAAATGGGGAGAAAAAAATGTTGTTGTCTGTTTAGTGACAGTATGTTCCGGGAGTGCCGGCCATAAAGCACAACTGATAAGAGTTATGGTCAGACTGAATCAAATAAACAGAAACCACAAAGTGGTTTGCATTACAGAAATACATGTCATAAGACTGAGCTTTTGCTGCAGGCCCACTCTCTTTTGAAAAAAACAAAAACAAATTAATCGTCAAGGTCTATAATTCTAACAAAGTTCTCAGCATTAGAGCTGTGAAATTTAATTCATGTTAATCAGGATTTTGTTGTTTTTAATCATGATGCTTGAATCGTTGATGTTCACAGACAAAGTTCTCTTTTTTTAAAAGTATTTTATTTTTTTGGTTGAAATTCTATTGTAGGTGTTTATACAGTATTTAGAACATTTTGATTCCTCTGTTATGTTTCCTTTCACAATATGTATGCTATCATTTTGAGGCTGTTTCCAAACTTCTTTGTGGATTGTTTGTTTGTACTTTCAAGGACTTATACCCAAATGTGTTTACATTTTCAAGTAGAGATAACAGTAACAAAGTGGGACAGCTGAGAGATGTTGCGAAAACAGCAGTGCCATGTGATTGGTCTGCCTTTTGACCCAGAGTCACCACTGGAACTGGTCAAATTACTTCAGACATGAGCCAATGTGTTTCAAACTATAGTTTACTACTACTTTTACAACCTTTTCTTAAGACAGTTTACCACTTCATGTTTCAGTCAATTGTGTAATTTGTTAATTGCCAAAATTGAGAGTTTGTTTCATTCATTCCAAACTAAAATCCTTTAAAATGACAGAAAAATTAAAAAATCCCACTTCAACCATATTCTTTCATAGAATGCCCATCATTATGGTATTAACTAATCTATAGTTTATTGGTCATTCATAAACAAAGGCGTCCTCCTCAAAAGTCCCACCTGTTAGGATGAAACAGTTGTTTTTTCAATTTCCAATTAGTCTATAACTGTTGGGGAAAATGCTATTATATATACTTTGTAACAGATTTTGTTACATGGTCCAACTGTATTCTTATTTTCATTTTTACTGAAAAACACACTCATTTTATATATTGCACAATAAGAAAACTCAGTCCACAACATGATGTGATGGATTTGTCTTGTCAGAATTTTTTTTTATTTTTTTTTAATCAGAACCATATAAGTCACTATTTGTGAGTGAAGGTCTTTTTTTCACTTTTCTGTCTGGAAAAAGGCAGACATGCGAAAACCGTGTGAAGAGTTTTTGATGGATTTCAGAATTCTTAGTAACTAATAGTTCCTTTGATGCGCTCCAGTCCGGCTTTAGAGCCAATCACAGCACTGAGACTGCACTAGTGAAGGTTACAAATGACATCCGACTTAACACCGACACAGGAAAAGTCACAGTTTTAGTAATGTTGGATCTGAGTGCTGCGTTCGACACAGTTGACCACGAGATCCTCATGCAGAGACTAGAGCACTGGGTGGGTGTCACTGGGACTGCCCTAAGTTGGTTTAGGTCTTACCTAGAAGACAGGAAATACTTGGTTCAGATAGGAAACTGTGTCTCAGATCATATGGCTCTGACCTGCGGAGTGCCACAGGGATCAATTCTGGGGCCTCTTCTGTTCAATATTTACATGCTGCCGTTAGGTCAGTTAATACGCTCCAACAATGTATCCTACCACAATTACGCTGATGACACTCAAATTTATGTCTCACTTACTGCAGGAGAACATGGACCAGTGGAATCACTCCTTCACTGTACTCAACAGATTAGTGATTGGATGCAAAATAACTTCCTTCAGCTAAACGCAGACAAAACAGAATTGATTGTCTTTGGTCCTCAGAAACAAAGAGAGAGCGTTATTCGTCACCTCCAGTCTCTGTCTCTGGAACCTGTAGGCAAGGTCAGAAACCTAGGAGTTATAATGGACTCAGACTTAAATTTTAACAGTCATATCAAATCAGTAACATCAGCAGCATTTTACCATCTGAAAAACATTGCCAAAATTAGAAACATAGTGTCTAAAGCAGACCTGGAGATTCTCATCCATGCATTTGTCTCCAGTAGGTTAGACTACTGCAATGGCCTGCTCACAGGTCTCTCCAAACAGGCTGTAAAACAACTGCAGTATGTCCAAAATGCTGCAGCTTGAGTCCTGACCAGGACCAGGAAATATGACCACATTAGTCCAGTTCTCAGGTCTCTGCACTGGCTTCCTGTGGCTCAGAGAATAGACTAGGGCGGCACGGTGGCTGAGTGGATAGCACTCTCGCCTCTCAACAAGAAGGTCCTGGGTTCGAATCCCGGTTGGACCAGGGCCTTTCTGAGTGGAGTTTGCATGTTCTCCCCGTGTCTGCGTAGGTTTCCTCCGGGTGCTCCGGTTTCCCCTACCACTAAAAATATGTACAATAGGTCTGGCATGTGCCTCCTGTACTGGCACCCCCACTCCCAAAAAAAAAAAATAACAATTGTAAACCGCTTTGAGACTCCGATGTGCAGTGAAAAGGCGGTATATATAAATAAAGATTACATAAAGATTACTTCAAAGCAGCACTGCTTGTGTACAAGTCCCTCCATTGCCTCGCACCAGGGTACTTAAGCGACTTGTTAGTCCCATATGAACCGGCCCGGACTCTGAGGAGCGCAGGAGGTAGCCTCTTACTGGTTCCAAGAGTCAGAACTAAACATGGGGAGGCAGCGTTTGAGATTTATGGAGCTAAAATCTGGAACAATCTTCCTGAAGATGTGAGGCTAGCATCTACTCTGGCAATTTTTAAATCAGGGCTAAAAACTGTTCTTTTTAGCTGTGCATACGGCTGAAGGATTTTATTGATACATACTCTTTTTTGTTAATGCATTGTGGTTATTTATTATTTTAATCCCGTGTGTGCTTTTAATATTTTAAGTTTTTTTTTTTTTTTTTTTTTTTTCCATTACTTGTGATTTTATTCTGTTTTTAATGTATTTATTGATGTCTCTGATTTGTGTGATATTATGTGGGTTGTGAGGCGCTTTGAGTGGCCTTGTGTTGGAAAGGCGCCATACAAATAAAGTTGATTGATTGAGTTGATTGATTGATTGGATTTGATTGCATATGTTTGTGGTTTAAAGTTTGGTACACTTCCCAAAACTGAATTTAATACTACATTTGTCTGGGCAGAATGCAAGGAGAACTGCATAGTAAAGACGCGTATTAGTGAGATTTGTGAGTTGTACAGTAAATACACCATGTCCCATCAACATACCATAAGTCTTGTGCTGATTGATTGAGGGAGGTGCCATCTGGAGCCTCACAAGTAGTTATGTAACCTGAACAAACTTCCCAGAGCGGGCTGGGAGACATTCGGAAACACTTATTTGGTATGGTCTTCGCCACGCTGCCCTGTGATTGGTCCATGCGAGCTCTGATCCCGCCCCTTTCACTGTTTGATTACCTTTTCCTCTACGGCCTCCTCTCCAGTCCTCCTCCCAGCGCGAACATAGCAGACTCACTCACACCGATCCTCCCGCGGAACATATGGCCAAAACTGCCAACTTTCTTTCTTTCGTCGTTGTGTCCACTCCTCTTTAAAAATTCCGCCTAAAAAGAGAAGACGATTTTCCAAAACATTCACGCCGTTATCTCACGTAAGTACCCGGGACTTCTTGAGAGGGCTCCTTGCTCTGAATCAAACGCACGGTAACATGGCGGGCTAGTCTTTCTGCCTTCTTGCCGCACATGACTGACTGATTCATTGTGCTGTATGATCTAAATCTCACCTGTGTTTTGTATTTGACGCTATTGTCTTATTTTCCGTGTGTTGATAGTGTATTTACGACAAGATTGCGCTGTATTTACGTCTGTATGTTAGTTGTTTATCATTTTGAGCGAACATTACACGCACACGGGCTCCACAGTCTTCATCCAGCATGTTTATGGCAAATGCTTTATTAAGTATTCTCTATTTACTGAACACAATATTTGTGTTAAAAAGCCCTCTGCGTCATACTTTGCTGACGCTGTTAAATATTAATATCGCATTAGTCAACTTTGACATAGCTAGTACTGCAACTGCGCATGCGCACTTCACAATGCTATTTTGTTGTAACTGTCACTCGTGGAGTTTGTCTTTCACGACTGTAAGTGCTGAAACTAATACAGAGTAACTAGTACAGAGCAGTGTGATGAAGCACTAAACCATATAAATAACTATAAACAAACAAAATATTAAAAAAATGAACAACTTGCATGCTTAGATTCTTAGAAGAGGTCACAGGGGTCAGTCTATTACATGCACACATGTGGACCACAGATTAATCACAATGTTTTTTTTATCCCAGGGCTCCCCCATTACTGCACCAGTGTATGAGCGCTTCTCGGAGGGCCTAGGGGCGGCCCTTTACCGGGAGCACTTTGACTTCAACGCTGAGCCGCCTTGGGATCCTAGCTGATAGCGGGCCAGGACCATCCCCAGACTTGTCCATGTGAGTGTACTGTTTTCAGCCACCTTCCCTGGCTCTTTTGTAGTATTTGTCTGGTAGTGGGTGTATAGTAAACAGGTCCTCTATTTGTGAATTATTATAATTGAACACTGAAACATTGCTAAAATAACACCACTATCACATGATGAGGTTCTAGCTTTCGGTGGAATTTGGTAAAGGATGTATGTAAATGTATCTAAACTGCTTTTCTTTTTTCGTTTTCAGTTTGTTGCATACCGCCAGGACCCATTGGCTCAGTCGTGACCCTTTGATTTGTTATCTTTTCCTATGATTGTTGGCTTTGCGGAATACGGTTGAGATGAAAGGACTCACTGACAACCCCAGCTACATCATTGAACTAATGGAGGGAGGAGTGACGCTCGAGGACATCATTGATGGACACATCTATGAACAGGCTCTGGTAGTTCTTGCATTGTGTATTTTGTCTTATCATGGAATAACTTGCGCCAAATACTCATTCCCTGTTGCGATCACATTTCAGGGTGAGAAGAATGCATTTGTAGTGGCGGACCTTGGAGCCCTGATGCGACAGCACGTGTGCTGGCAAAGCACTGTGCCGTATCTGCAGCCTTACTTTCCAGTCAAGTGCAACAGCAATCCTGCAGTGATTGAGGTGTTGGCCTCTTTGGGACTCGGCTTTGTGTGTGCTAACAAGGTAAGGGAAGCTTATCTTTTTTATACCCTGTTAATCCTGTTTCTGGGAGACTTATTTTATGATTGCATAACTGTCACTGTTAGGTGATTGCTTGCATACTGATGAGTATTTATGTAACGTTATCAATTCAGTTCTTGGAAAAAATTTGTGGATTTTCTGCAGGCTGAAGTGAACCTGGTACTGGAGAATGGTGTCCCACCAGAGAATATTATTCTATCAGGTGTTTGCAAGCAGCTGGCTCACATCAAGCATGCAGCCAAGAATAACGTCCAGCTCCTCGTTTGTGAAAATGAAGCCGAACTAGCAAAAATTTCTCGACTCCATCCGAGTGCAAAGTAAGAATACAAAGTATAGCCTTCAAGAATTTGAACTTTTAGAAAAGGATTTTGTGTAACTTTGTCTACTTTTGTAGATTGCTGGTGCAGTTGACCACAGATGCCCATGCAGCTGAAACCAGTATGGCTTTTGGGTCTTCTTTAAAGAGCTGCCGCCATCTTTTGGAAGCGGCGAAGGAGCTGGGAATCCAGGTGGTTGGGGTGACATTTCATATTCCCACTTCATGCCAAGACGCCGAAGAGGCCTACACCCATGCACTGTCGGACGCTCGCTGTGTGTTTGACATGGGGGTCAGTAGTAGATCTTTGTGGTCTCATTTTGCTCTGTTAGTTTTTGATACACAATTTGTGCTCTTGTTTAGGAGGAGCTTGGCTTCAGCATGGACATCCTGGATATTGGTGGGGGTTTTAGCGGATCAGAGTGTCAACTCAAACAGGTACAGAACTTCTGCATACATTGTGTTATGTTATAACTGTGCTGTAGTTTTAAGATTCCCTGGGAGTCAATCAGAACAATTTAATCATAAATAAAACCAGACACTCACTGTTCAGTGATTAATAGCAATTATTTAAACTTTTTTTTATGCAAAACTAAATATTAATTTAATTTACGCTGTTTAAAAATGTACTTTTTGCCTTATGTGAAAATGTTTCCATTTCCATTGAAATCCCTATCTGTGACTTGTACATTTTGCTAAGTGAATATTTCATGTGCAGGTTGAGTCAACAATAAGGCCACTGCTGGATGCTTACTTCCCACCACTGTCTGGGGCACAAATGTTTGCAGAGCCAGGCAACTTTTATGTAGCTTCTGCTCTAAGTCTGGCAGTTAATGTCATTGGCAAAAAGTTAGCAACTTGTCCCTGGGATGGTCCTGTTGAGGGTATGTTTCAGTTGTACCAGTTCTGTTCATTTAAAAAAAACAAAAGCTGTATTATTCTAATCAATGTACTTTTTACAGGCGACAACGATAACACAGAGTTCCTGTATTTTATGAATGAAGGCGTTTATGGCTCATTCAGCCCAAAGCTTCTGGGAAACTCAATTGCTGCTCCTACTGTGCACAAGGTTGGTAGCCCTCAGTCCACCCTGGGGATGCATGTATTTTTATATAGCTCTAATACTCAAGTTTTCTTGGAAGTGAGAACATTCATTCAATGCTAAATTATCAATTTGACACTTGAATCAGAATACACAATTTGTTTAGTCACTTGTAACTACTTAGGCGTCTGATGAATTAAAGATTATGAACTGCGGATTTTATAAACTACTCTGCCTCATAACAAAGCCCATAGCAAATGTCTGTTAAGAGACTTTTGTTTTACCAATCAAAAATAAGCATATGCCTATTTATAATCCTCAAATGTTTTACTGGGTTGCATGTTCAGTATATCATTTACTAATATTGTGTTTATTCAACTTAAAGCATTCGCTGTGCACTGAAGAAGTGGCATATCCCTCCACCTTGTGGGGCCCATCTCTGGATCAGCTTGACCAAGTGGTGGAGCGCTGCCTGCTGCCGGAGTTGTTTGTAGGGGACTGGCTGATCTTCTCCAACATGGGTGTCTTTGGTCTGGACCAGTCCACCTGCCTGTCCAACTCGTCTCAGCTGCCTGTGTACTACACTGTGTCCGTCTCTGACTGGTCAGTAAGCCTACGGCAGCAGTTCAAATGTTTAGCAAGGGCCAATAGCAGATGTATTGTATAGATACTTTATCGATCCCCGTAAAAGAAACTCAGGTGTCCAGTAGTGGCAGAAATAATATTGATCATTCTTAAAAGCTAACAATTGTAAACCACTTTGTGACTCTGGTCTGTGAAAGGTGGTATATAAACAAAGATTACTTACTTTACGTACTTACAATAGTAATAATAAGCAACAGCCCTTCAGGTCACAGCAGTCGAGGTGGACCATCCGCTGGGTGGAGCAGGACGGGTCACAGCAGCAGAGGTGGAGTAGCCGCTGGGTGGAGCAGGACAGGTCACAGCAGCAGAGGTGGAGCAGGACAGGTCACAGCAGCAGAGGTGATGTAGCCTCTGGGTGGAGCAGAACGGGTCACAGCAGCAGAGGTGGAACATGCGCTGGGTGGAGCAGGACAGGTCACAAGGTGGAGTAGCCGCTTGGTTTGGACCATTTTCTCTGCTTTAGTCCAAAGTAAAAGGCTGAATGCTTTATTAGCATTTTTTTCAAAAAAAGTTAGCCTTCCTCCAGTGGATTTTTGCCTGAGCCTCTTGGTTCAGACTCTTGGTTCTGCTCTGGTCTGGACCAGTGCAAAACCATGAACACTGTACTGCAGCAAGAAAAATAACAATTGTAAAGCACAAAACAACTATTTCAGAGCTACTTAGGACTCACTGCCGTTTCCAGCGCATTCAAAAGATATGGTGTGCTCAGTGTAACTAAAATGGTAACCAAAAAACAACATATTATATTTATTAGCCTCTCTTCCATCATTCCAGTGTGGATTTCACTGTCTAAAGTGGACAAGACTAATCCGCCAGCATAAGGCGTAGTGCCAGAGCTAAAGCCTTGTTGTTCGGCTTTTCGTAGAAGAGTGTGTTTGTGCTAAAATGTTTCAATGAAATCACAATCACTAGAGCAGTTTAACAAATTGATTTTGGTGCCTTCTTTTTCTCTAATTTGTTTATTTGAAACCCATTCAAAGTTAATTAATTGATGTATTTATTGTTCACACAGGGATGACCTGCAGGAGGCTGGGGTTTCATTGGACAGTGCCATCAAGATGTTCTCCTTGGGCCAGTACAGTGCGTAAATGCCACCCACCCCTGTCCTGAAAAATGTTGCACAGACCTCCACCACCAGAGAGGGCGATGCAGTGTTTTAGGATGGGGGTCACCAAGTGGTCAACATTCCAACCACCTCAGAAAGTGTTGCATCAAACAAATTCCTCACTAATTGGACGTAGAAGTACATTTTCCGTTAACAATCTATGGTACATGAATAACCGTTGTCATTTTGCTCCTTCCTCTAATTTACATCTTATGCAACAAAATGGATGACTCTTTAGAGATGGTATCATTTGTTTGCTATCTCAAATTCAGTTTACAATGTGCACAATAATTTAAATCAATTTCTTTAATTATTAACTGTTTGGCAGTCTTGTAAACCCTGTCTTGAACACATCAGTTTTTGTCTAGATTTTTTGAAGCGTTAGATCAAGTGTCTACAGACATTGTACAGCAGGCCCATTACTTGCATTGTGGAAAAGTTAATGGCTTTCATGATAATTTATTTGTTGATGTATTTCACCTCATTACAAGATATTTATTTAATATCTCTAGTTCTGAAGATCAGTGGCTTCAAAACTAGACATATTTTTGCCGTGTTTTATGTTGTGGCCCTGAATCCTGACCGAATGTGTTTATTTCAAAGCTACTATAAAGGTATTGTGAATCTTCTGTGACCGCTATCTCTCTGCGTCTTTGCAAGGCATGAAGGATAATTTGTCACCGCAAATTTTATAATTATTGGCAAATTTTTAATGCTGCACGAATTATAAAATACTGTTTTCAGAAGTTCTGATTGAAAGAGAAAAAAGATTCTGCTGCGGCATATGATTAAATTTGGTCTAAAGTAAAATAAAGCATGCAGCCTAATCAGCAGTGTATTTTGTTGACTGCAAGCTGTATGCACACATTTTGTACTGCCTCAAAGGTCGCCCGTTTTCCTCATGCCTTCCAATTGTCAGGGTGAAAAGGTTCTATGTACAGCAATAGTCTGTTCAGAAACATCTACAGCTTCTTAAAATCCTGCCCCTGTGCTCATGAATACTGATGTATTAATTACTTGTTGTTAAAGGCACTAATGGACCATGCCCCGGTTTTGACTGTAAATTGTGCTTGTTAAAGTAATAATTGATAATTTAATACATTTCTGACTGAAACAATATTGTTGTGTCGTTTGTGTCATTATTGCTAATATTGGGTATGTTTTTTGTCGTTTATTTTTTATTTTTATGATCCCGACATGGGTGCTGGTAATATAGGGCTTTTGGGGCCTAAGTGTGTGGGGGGGGGGGCTGAGTCCCCAGCCCTACTGGTGTATTTGGATCACTACATTTATTATTTAAATTGATTATGTGACGCAATACAACGCTTTGATCCACCTGCCTGTGACACCCCGCTCTGCTGGCGCCCGCAAAATGCATTTGGTTTTGACGGTAAACGCTTAGCGGTACAATAGCATTAGCAATTTTTGGCGGCTTTTTATGCTAAACAATGCAGGGAAAAGTCCATCATTCTGCTCGAAACACATCTCTAGAATAAACTATTTTTCCCATTAATTGAGCAAAAACTTTTTATTTCTAATTTACGGCCTAATAAAATGATACTCTCTTGTCATTGGCCAATAAAATGGTCTGATCTGACGTCATTGATGAAGTCCCGCCCATTTAGCTCGTTTACTCGACAGCCCATTGGTTAACCCTATCCATGTATCACGTGACTGCAGAAAAAGGCTAGGCCACGCCCCTTTGCTAAGTTTAGATGGTTCCATCACACACTTGAGCACTCAACGGATTCACTCTGAACATTAGGGATAAGTATCGCACATATGTGAACTTTTGAACCCTACCTGAACAGATAAAACAACAGCTACTTGTGATGAAACGCTTTGTAGAGTTTTTAAGATCAGACGCTCCCATTGGTCAGTTCGAGAAAATATGCAAATCACTCGCATGACGTCATATCCTGAACTTGTGCGCCATTTTTTCCTCTTTGGTGGGAGAAAGGGACAAAAGCAGCCGAAGAAATAACAAGGACCAAGCAAAGGTTTACATCTTTGGTGCTCGTAGCTGTGAAATTAAAGCGCGCAGTCGTGTGTCTGTGTCGGGGGCGGCTTTGATGAGAGTCTGAACTGCGCCGCCGTAGACGCACACGCACACGGGAAACCGGAGCAGTCATCAGCGGAGACTGCGACCACTCTCCACCCCACTGCATTCAGGGGTAAATATACCACTGCATCTTCACATTCGGATAACAACGTCACGTCCTTATAATCACTGTCCCTGTTTGAATATGGCGCTGATCAGAGGCACATGTGGATGGACAGGGGAAAGGTGACCGCGCGGTGTCTGCAGTAACCTACATCAACTGTCCAACTTTATCACACACCCTCTCTGCCAGCCTACTGTGCGTCTGAAATCACTCATCCGAGATATCTGCACTATACTGCACACAAATTATGGGACCATTTCAATTTACAATTTTTTCTTTAAAGTATAAGAAAAGTACTATAACGCTGCGATCATCCTGGGGTTAGGATTAAAGGATGTTTCCATGGACAAAGTAGATTATTATAATCGTTATGGTTTCGACGTCATTAAACAAAGTCAAACTCTTAATTACCAAATATTCTGGTAATTTCACATTACATTGTTATGGATAGAGTAAAGATTTTTCACATAGTTGTTTATGAAAAATGTTGATGGATGTTTACTATGACTGTCTGGTATGTTTATCACAGCTCATCTTCTGAAGGAAAAATGTATCAACTCCCAGTGACCAATGTGGACAAAATTCGGAAGGCTCGAAAATCTGTAAAAAAGGTCCTTGGTGACATCGGCCTTGAGGATTGTCAGGAATATATCAAGGTATGCAACATTTACTAACATCTGATTGTTCACCAGTATATTATGATTAGGATTTTGGCTGTTATCAATTTATCATGTCTCGCACCTTACATAAACTAAAACATGGTGAGGAGGCTTTATGATCAGATTATTCTATAAATATCTTTACAAAGTATTTTATTAAACAAACCAATGTGTAACAAGGCATCTCTAATGTTCTCCAGGGTCATCATGAGGTTTGTTTTGGTCAAATTTATATAAAAAGAATAATGAGCCAACTGATTGACTGATTCGTCAAAAAAGTTGTTAATTGCAGCCAAAAATAGAAATAATACATTCTTTCACCCTGTCTTTGTTTGTAACCTTGTTCACTTTCCTGTGCAGAAGCTTTAGTTTTTGTTAAGTTGAGATAATTTGAATACATATATTTTGGGAGGCTGGTCTGTTTGGACATCGGGCATTTCAAATTTCTTATTTTGAATGTATGTGATCGTTGTTGTGACATTATACATTCTTTGTTGTCCTGTAGGTTCTTGATGAAAATGCGGAGAAAGATTCAGATGATGAGGAAGCTTTTGAGGACACTGAATGGGTAGATTTCACAGATGGATTCAATGGAAAAATGGAGAAGAGGGTAAGATTTGCACGTTTGGTTGTAATAGGCACAGTGTGGCATAATTATTATTTTTTTTTAATCTTGTTTTATTTTTTTAGTGGCCTTATCGCTCTCGGGGTCTGTGTTGTGCCATGTGCAAGTACTCCACACAGAATATCTACAACTTCAGGAGTCATGTCTCAAGATGTCATTCCTTTTTGCAGTCCCTCTGCTCCCTTGCGATGTGCACACAGTGCACCTTCACCGGTCATCCCAAGGTTGTCAGAAAACATGCATTTCTATTTCATGGACAATCTCTGAATGAATCATTACAGCCAAAGGAAAGCGCTGTCAGTCATTCTGCAAATGAGAAATATTATTGTTCCAAATGCGGATTCCCAAATTCTATGATATTTGCGATGAAGAAGCATATTATTTTGAAGCATCTGGGGAAGCTGGCTGAGAAGTATATCGGATACAGATTAATCAATCAGGGAGGGAAAACTTTGAAGATATACTGCTGCAAAGTGTGTAAAGGAAACACTGGCACCTTGGACCAAATGCTGCACCACATGCTGGTTTCCCCAACACACTATAACGTTAGCACACAAGTGCAAAGTTATATAACTGAGAACAAAAATTATGTTCACAAACCAACAGTCAATGGAAATGGGGTATTTCTCACACTTCCAAATTTTGTTTCAAAAGCACAGCAACAACAAGGTCAGCTGTTAAACACTAAAACTTTTATGTTACCAACCAACGGACAGCCTGTATTGACTTTACAAGGAACTACAAACAGTGCTACTCTCATATGTTCCCCCGGAAGTAACCAAGCCTTTCTGCCCCCTCAAGCCTCTGCTCTGGTGCAGTTAGCGAGTGCAGAAGCTAAAGGCTTGCTTCATTCTGGTCCCACCTTAACTCTGCAAGGTAACATGCCTCAAGGACAGTCCATCCAGATTCCCTCAGTCTCCAATGTCGCCATTAATTCAGCTCCATTACCTCTGGTCCAAGCTTCTGCTTCACCAAAGCCAGTTCAACAGCCGATATTCGTTACTTCCGGAATACAGCAGAATGAGATGTCTGTCGCTGCAAATGCTCTTAAACCTGCAGTAACTCCACATGTCACTGTGTCAAATTCGCCTACACTGCAGGGTACAATGTTGACCTCACAGTCTCTGCTCAGTCACCTAATACCAACTGGTAACCGTGTGAATGGCATGCCAACATACACATTTGCCCCACTGCAGGTAGCAATGTCGGCGTCTCAAAGCCCAGGAACACCTCTTCAGCCCATTGAGCAAACTAACAACTCCCAAGTTAAGAAATGGGTCACGTGTCCCCACTGCAACGAATTGTTCCCTTCTAATGTCTTTGATATGCATACAGAAGTCGTGCACCACGTAAAATCCACTGCAGACAAGTCGAACCATCTGGTTGCCCGAGCACCTTTCCTGAAGAAAATGCCTGATAAATCCATGAAATGTCTGACGTGCAAAATTTTGGTCACAGAGTCGACCATTTTTCAGCACCTGCTGCATGGTTTGAGTTGTGTCTCCTGTTCCTCTGTGTTCTTCTCAATCAAACATCTATTTGAACATGTAAAGCAACATAATCCAACAAGCAAAGCATACAGTGAATTCCTGAAAGCGAATTGCAAAATATCCTCTCAAAGTCCTGGAGTGCTATCATTTCCACACTTTGACGTCCAGACAACTGGACCAAAAGAAGTGCTGGGGGACAATGACGTTCACCTGGTCCTCATCACTAGTACCAATGAGCACATGTATTTTAAATTAAGACCATGCACTAAGCCAAACCCAACTACTTTCACTGTTAGAGTCAGCAGCACCTATTGTCCTTTTTGTGATGAAAAATCTCCAAATGAAGTTCAATACCTCCAGCATCTCAGACAGAAACACTTAGTTGCACCAACTGTACATGCCATCCTTAAGACGGAGGCCTTTAAGTGCATCTACTGTAACGGCGTGTACACGGGGAAGGTAACGCAACAGGCCGTGATGCTTCACATTCAGCGCTGCCGTTGTTGTCCCAAACAGCTGCAGACCATCAAAACGGCTCCAGAACCACCAAGAAAAAATATAACCGCAACCGTTCCTGCAAAACCAGTTCAACAGATCGCATCCAAATCGACTGGCGTTTACTTTGTTCAAATGCCGCAGGGGATGACTATTAAACAAGCTTTAGCGCCTGCCCCATCTCAAGTCGCACGACCAGCGCGAAAAGAACCAGACGTGCAGCTTAAAACCCCCGAAGAGTTGGAGTCTCAAAAAAGAATAGAAGCGGCTTTGAAGGCGGTCATGGAGGCCAACAAACGAGAGCGGGAAGAAAGAGCTGTCAAGCGCCAAAAGATGGAGCATGAAAGGGCGGAGAGGGCCAAAATAAGACAGGAGCAACGAGAGCAGGAAAGCCCTTCTCCCGAACCTCAGATTAACCCAGATGTTAAGTTGGCTTTAGAACCCACAGCTACAGAGCGCCGCAACGATGACGAACGGAGACTGTTTTGTACTAAATACTTTAACCGTAATCCATATGCAACTAAAGCAGAGACTGAGGAGCTGTGCAAGAGGCTGTGCCTAACCAGGGCAGAGCTGGGGGCCCTCTTCGGCGCGAGGCGTTCAAAGTGTATGAGAAGCTTGAAGAACCTCAGGGCGGGAATTCTTCTTGGCTTCAACATGGCTGAGCTGGGGAAGGTCAAACACAACCTGGACATTCCCGAACAGAAGCCGCAGGACATCTCCGATCAAACTGAGCCGGAGACGGAAGACTCTGAAGACGATGATGATTATGACGATGAGCCGCAGCAGAGGAAGTCATCAGAGATGCCCATGGAAACGGATCAACCACTGACATAATATGTATAGATCTAAAATCAAGGGTCTCCAACCTCAAGCTCACACACCTGTTGTAAACGCTTGCTTTTACTTTGCGCGGACAATACATGGGTAATGGGATTGTTGTATGGAAAGTAGTTGTACCCCATCCACTGCTAGCTCACTATTATATTAAGTTAAAAGAGGGGCTCGCTGTCATTTAGTCGCTAGTTGTACATTTCATAAGAAGGTTGGAGGCCCCTGATCTAATGTCATGCAGTTAAAGCCTAGTTCTGATTGTGCCACAAACATTTAATTAGTACCGCTGATCAATCCAACTGTAGTCCTGATAGTCAGTTCCCACATTAAATCAAAATGAAATATTATAAATTATTAAGTACAGAGAGGTACTGGTATACGCAAAAGATATAAGCACAGGGTTCTCATTCACTAGGATTTCAACTTCAGCACAGATTCCTGCTTCTGCACTTTTTATTTAAATATTTTTTCAGATCTAGGTTTTGCAGCATCACCGTTATTTTTATTTGATGTTTACTGTACACCATCGATGTGCTTTGGATTGATATTACCGCTCTGAACATTGGCATACATAACCAATAATACTTGTGAGTTTGAATGAACCCTTGGACAGTTTTCAGATAATGGCAATTTAATTATTAAGTAAACATTTTTGAGAAATATAGGGAACTTTGACAGGAACCCAAGTGTGTGTATATAAAATATATATATATATATAATTATATATATATATATATAATTATATATATAGAAAGTGTCTATATGAAGTATATTGGGTGAATATTAACACAACTGTTTAAGGCCATAATGGCAAGGTTCTTAAAGCCGTTCATGAGGATATGGTGATTCAGTATTTCTCTGACCATATTTGCATGACATCATCTATAGTCAGTTATTTTAAAGATGTATAGTGTGCATTTTCTGTGTCTTATAGAAAGTATAACTTTAGACTTTAGAAATTGAAAATTCCCGAGATTTGTTTTTTTGTACTATATTTCTTACTCTGATCTATTTCATAAAGCGTTGACATGTTAAAGCTGGTGAAGGCAACTATGTTAAAATAAATGTTTCCTAAAATGAGCAGTTGTTTGACACCTGTAGGCCATGATAGTCCATACATAACAATCGATACAGACCAGAGGTCTCCCATCTGTAGCTCCCCGTAGGATTTAGAATTTAACACATGATCTTGAAGGAACACTTTTTGAGTCATTACATATCTATTACAAGTCAAAATAGAGTTATACATTATTATGGTATATTTTACATGTATTTTCAAAACCTGCAAAAAGAAGCAACTCTCTGATTGAAAAAGGTTGGACATCCCTGAAATAGAAAACTTAATGTGTTGCAGGAAGAAACTGGACTTTTAAAGGAAAATATGTGAAAGAAATTTACCATTACTCATCACATACGTTTTTTAAATTATTTTAAAACATTAAAATGTTGATTTAAGACACATGTACACTTGTCTTAAGGTCCTTTCAGTGTTACCGTTACAACATGATCGGAATTATGAGGTAGGGTTAAAGCTGAACTTTAAAACTGTGGAAACAAATCTCGCTCTCTAAACAGTTTGGTTCTATAACTTTTTCAGACAGAAAATGTAAAAAGATCACTCTGGTTCAGCCAATCAGCTTTGATCAGATAAGATATAGCCCAATCTGATTTATTCACAAAATGTGTTATTACTATTATACAAGACTCATTCTGTTGATTCAGACTAAAAGTATTTTATATGAAACAAAAATTGAGTGCCCCATTTGTTTTGTATCATAAAAGTCTATAAGTACCAAGATTTCAGCATCAGAGCCTTGTGTCAACAAGATGATTGATCAGTCCCAATCATTTGGTAAAAATGTTGAAATTCAACAATGGAGCACTGTTAGAATGATCTAAAGATTCAGTTCATCGAGTAACGATGGGCCGCTGTAGCCATTAGTCTCAACGCTGTTCAGTTTGCTGAGGTAGTCGGCTGGCAGTCCATTTTCCTCCGCCCCCAAACACATAACCTGAAAGATGACAGAGCATAGGGAATCAGACATTCACCTAAAAACATCTAATTAGACCAAATATCTGCAATCCCTTACTGCTGATCAGTTTTTTTATGTCTGTAATGAACAGAAACAGCTTTAGTCACATTCTTCAAAATAAGATTGACTTGATGCAACCTTGATCCAAAAGGTGCACTGCCAAATTTTGAAAGTGGGGGATCTGGTTTTGGGCTAATCTAAATGTGGCACGATAACCAAATGTAAGGATAAAGGTATTTGAGCTGTAAAAATAAATACACTTAAATAACGCACATGGTTAAAATACCACGTCAATACCACTGAAGCAGGGAGCAGTCAGTAAAGAACTGCTATTTACCTTTTTGTACTGTGGGGATGGAAGAATCGGGCGGAAATTATTCATCTTGTAAGTCCTGCACAGTACTGGACCATGCTCAGTCTCCACAGACACCTCCAGGGGTGAATACACTCCATATTTGACTCCTTCTTGGCTGCGAGGGCACATGCACAAATGTTAAAGGATAATAGGATCAATGCTGATGGAATAGCATGTTTTCTCACGCACTTATCCAGTGATGAGAGGTCTGCTTTGTTAATAGTCCATACCACTCCCCACATTTCTGCACCAGGACTGTTCTCAATTGTAGCTGCCCCACCGTGCCAAGCACAAGACACGTTATCCTTCCAGTAGCCAAATTTGAGTTCATAGTCCTGAGCAGAAAATTAATGTTAGTTACTTATAACAATGAGAAACTGATCTGATCTTAACCAGGTTCACTCATGTGCATGTACAGGTTCAACTGGATTTGTCTCCAGGCTTTGTCTACCATATGTCGACATATAACCATCAAACCCCTCTGTCTTTCTTATTTAGAGTATAATCAAACATACCGAGATGAACCTGGCCACGTCCGAACTCCAAACAAAATACAATTGTATAAAACACATCCATGCCCCAAAAATAGACGTCAACAGAGAATGTATTTCAAGATTCAAAAAATATATATATTATACTTTATTATTTATTACAAATTCAACTGAGAACAGAGAATTTAAGCATAAATTTGCCCTTTTTATTCTCTAATAGATCCCAGTTCTTTTGGAGTAAATTAGTCATCAAGCCAAAGGGTTCTCAGGCAGTCTGGTTTGTTTTCCCTTTACAGTCTACTAGACTCTGTGTGTTTACCTTCAGTCGTCCGGTAACGTGAAACAGCGCCGTGGGGTTTTTGTGCTGCAGTCTTTTGCTTAACATATTGCTTCCATACGCAAAATAGATGAAGTTTTCTTCCTCAAGACTGGTCATTTTCTCATTCGTGAAAGAAAAGCGTCTGTGCATGTGTTTTCTAGGTTAGTAGTTCTTCTCTTGAGTACCGTCCGGTCATGAGCCGGTCCATTCGGGTGACCGTGTTGCTACTGCGCATGCCCGTAGTGTGACGTCAAGAGACGGAGAATTTTTATTTTACAGGAAATAGATTTTACCCATATCCGAATACAGAAATACAGAATTTTTCTTATCTTTATCACACACATATTAATCCATTTGATAAGTTACTCACTGTCTGACAAAAGCTTCATCTTAGAACGTACAGAAAGAAATGTTATCGGTCATTTCTACTGAGCAGAATTACGTTTTAAGATGAAACATCTGCTTATGCCCAAGATAATGCAGCTCAAAAATCCAATCCTTAAAGATACTATAGTAATGATATTTGATTTTATTTACACATATCGTGCCCTCTATAATCTACACAATTTCCCTTTTTGTCTAAAATTATTGAAATGTATCACAAAATGTATCCGAGCAATGCTTTAGTCTCTAATTTTACTGACACAACTTTGTCAAACAGATGAAACTCTTTTCTTATTTAGAGTATAATCAAACATACCGAGATGAACCTGGCCACGTCCTAACTCCAAACAAAACACAATAGTATATAACACATCCATGCCCCAAAAATACCGTCAACAGACGATTGTATATCAAGATTCCCTCTGGAGTAGAAAAAAAAAAGAATCTTTGTTTATAACAAATTCAACTGAGAACAGAATTTAAACATTCATTTGCCTTTTCTACACCAGTTCTTTTAGAGTAAATTAGTCATCAAGCCAAAGGGTTCTCAACGCCTTCGCAACACTTTTAATGTTGGTCTAATTTGAATTAATTGTAAAAATGATTTTACATCATCCTTTTTGAAGTACTTTCTTGAAATACTACCACTGACAACAAAATGATCAATTTTTTATAGAAACTCTTTTAATTCACAACAACAGCCTCACCCTAAATAATTTCCTTCCACCATTTTACATAAGTAAATGAGAAAACCAGATAAGAAAAGCATTGTGACATTGTAAATCAGGTTTTACTACTTGTTTCCCCCCAGAGAAAGTCCACAAAGAAGAGAACAAACAAATAGATCCTTTTGGTGTAAACCATAAAATAGATAATGAAAGCAGCAATAATACAAAGGCACAGCATCATTCTCATGAGCACTTTAATGTACAAAAAAAATTAAATTCACAAAACCTTGTCTCTGAAAAATAAAACAAAAATCCTGTACAAACAGCTGTGTGAGGAATGGCTCATCTCCTGGGACCACCTCTGCCTCTGCCCCGGCCTCTACCGCGTCCCCGGCCCCTGCCTCTGCCGCGACCGGCCACTGAAACACATTCAGACCAAAACATTAGAGGACTTACAGACACTAGTATAAGTAAAGCACGGAGTCACATTATATGAAAATGATTGTACAAGAACTTCAACTTAACAGTATATGGTCTAAGTCAGTGTCTCCCAAAGTGGGGTCCGCGGCCCCCTGGTGGGCCGCGAGGGTACTGCAGGGGGGCCGCGGGAGGTCAAAAAATAAAATAAAAAAAATAATATAATTATTTAATGTTAAATTTATAATGTTTTGTTTGTAATATTAAAATATTTGTGTTCATTATTTGACTTGAATAATCCACTGTAATCATTTTTGTATTACAATGTTTGTATCAGAGGCTATTTCCCCAAAATAAAATAACCAGAAGAGCCTATTCTTAATGTTGTCTTCTTGGTTATTATTTTGGGGGGCCACGCAGACCCGTCAGATTTTTAAGGGGGCCTCGGTGTTACTGAGTTTGGGAATGGCTGGTCTAAGTTGTTGACAAAACTGGTACTATACTGGAAAACTGTCAAATGAACCAGAACATAACATCTAAATTCTAAGATTTAAAGTTATTTAATGCACACAGTGCATAAACGTGCCTAACTAAGAAGAAAAGAACATCATTAGACTAACCTGCTTCCCTCTTCTTGGACTTGATCTTTGGCTCAATGTCAACCAGCAGTGTGTCCAGCGGCAGGCTGTCCGGCAGGATAAAATATCGAATATTGTTACCACGAATACTGAGTGATTCCAGTTGAGTTGGCTCACGGTTTTTTAGGGTCATTTTGACAGCCTTCAGATGCGTGTTCATGCTCACGTCAACACCTTTGAAAAATAATAACAAAATAGGAAAAATACTGTAAGACACACAACATCATGGCTTCTGAGAAATAAACACACATCATCCTGATAATTGGCTTAGAGGTAAAGAGTGAGATAACAGATTAGATATGCATAATGTAATATGCATTTCATAAAATCAAGAAAGCTAAACACAAAAAGCTATTCGTGATGCAGAAAGAAAGAGCTGGGGAGTTATTTTATACTGATCAGGGCATTATTTGTTGCATAATTGTGGATGGGCAAAGTTACAACTAGACTGACAATAGAATATAAAATACTTGCCTGTGATGGTGCCATGGACCTGGGTGCCATTCTTAAGCTCAATGGTAACAGTCTCGTGACTGAGTTTCATCAAAAACCTGTGAATTACACAAAAAGCATAAAACATGAAACCTTTGTACAGGTCATTATCGCTTGTATAGTTTGTATGCCTCAAAATAAAAAAATCAAGTTTACTGAATGGCTTAATTTATTATTTTAAAGCAAACCAGTCCGATCGTCTCTCCCTCACTTGGAACAATGACCAGTATATCTACAGATCCTTAGGTATATCATAACCAGATACCTGAACATTAGCCGCCTGCTAGCCAGTTAGCTACGATGAATGGACCAAAACAAAGAGTACGAATGCTCTATTTTAAGGAAGAAAACTTTTTATTCTGAGCAGACCAAGGCTTGCTGCATATCTGTGCATTATTTAAGTCAATTTGACAAAAGACCGCGGTTTTATCCAGGCATTTAAATACAAACAAGGATCCATTCTCGGCTAGTTTTCATTCATCGGTTCCCGCCTCATCTTAAAACATCTAACTCCATCCAAAAGTATAAAACTACACATCATATTTCTATGCACCCTGTTAAACACTTTGGGCCACAGCGGATGAACTTACCGAACTAGTTTCATGGTGGCGATGGACTAAAGACAAACCCTTCACCGAGTTAGAAAAATTGCAGCACTCCTGTGATCGACAGGCCGCTGTTGTAAGTTGTACGTTTAGGTCGCAGAAAAATGGCGTCACATAAGATGGGGCCGTACTCACAGCGCCACATCATGGTAAGTAAAGGTACTGGTACTCAAAAACGTTAATAAATACTAGATCTTTTGGACATCTATCCGAGTGTGCTGTGTATTTTCCACATTTAAGTAAAGGTACTACAATAGATAGTAAGAGTATTTGTGTGCTTATAACAGAACTATTCTAGATGTTTTATATCCATTCCATAGCAGGATAAGGATGTATTTTAACGAAGCAGTAGATAGTGGGGTTTAGCTGAAATGACATTTTTTGATGAGTAAACATCTAAAAATGAGTGTAAAACAAAGATGACACAATGCACTTTCAGTCCATTTTATTAAGGGGAAACTTTGCATTGGTGCATAATTTACAGTATTTATTGGCCACATTGAATGCTTCAAGACCCGAAGGGAATGTATAAAGTACAGTCTGCAGATGGTTGGTTTTTATATGGCTCAGTCAAATAATCAATTTGATCTCATAAAAACTAAATGGCACTGGACTGAGCTCGAAAACATCAATGACACATGTGAAATTGATCTGACTTGAAGTGTCCACGACATTCTCAGAGTCAAATCCTCAACTCTTAAATAACAGTGTAATATTTTATTATAGAAAAGAAAAAGTCAATCACTTTAACACTGTCCCTCTTTAAAACATGCTGTAAACATCTGTTGAAATATACTGTGCCCTGACACCACTACACCTCAACACTGGGAATGATCAATGGATTTGTGAAGCACTTCTAAAGTATCGCTGTGTCTTACTGCTGTTTGGCCAAGTGCTCTTCCCACATGGCAGAAAGTAGTGCTCAATCATTTGTAAACATTTAGCAGATGGATTGCAATATAGGGTTTACTTTCTGACAAACCAAATGATTGATATCACTACAGTATGATTGCTTTATATTTAAAGAGACCATCACTAGCCTCAAGTTCTCAGTAAAATCGATGTCAAAAAAGCTTAAATGATACTAAACACTAAAGTGAAAGGCACACATAATTGTCATGTCACATGGATGAAATACACATCGTGAATAAAATAAAAAAAATACTTAAAACATAAATTAAGAGTACAACTTCATTGACTGACACTTCTCACTAAGAAAAAGCATTTGATGAAAAAAACACTTTAAAGACTGAAAATGTGTCAAAAATGACTTTTTTAAACTGCTTTGGCTCAATAATTTTAATAGACACATAGACATTGTACATACATTCTTACTCATTAACGAAAATATTGTCTCTACTCAACTTACAGCTACAGAAATATACAGAGTGCTTTACAGATAAGTGTTTCAAAGAAAAATGTGATTTAAAAAAAAAGAAAATAAGTTTGTGTTTAAATTGAGCCAAAGCAATAGTTTTCTGAAACGCAAATACTTTCATGTGGAGTGTGGCACAATGGACTAAACAGAAGCCTTCCAGAAACATGTCTCCTCCTGTGTAAAAGCCTTCCACACAGATCTGCTCAGAGTGTGTGGAGCAGGTCCTCTGCTGCTGAGGCGGCGAGTGTTGAGGCACAGAGGGAGAAGGTCCAAACACGTTCAGGCCCTGATTGTACAGTACGCTCACCAGGCTCCAGCTGCAACAGACTCATGGAGACTCAGTGTGTCAACAACACCACTGAAGTATGAGGCAAGTTTGGAGTTTAGCAGGGACAGCACCATAACTTTACCCTGAACAAACTAGAGATAAATATGGACAATAAATAACAAACAAAATATGTGCAGCATTTTATGTGCATGATATCAGTAGCTTTTTCATGTACGTATTAAAAAAATCATTTGTTTAACTTAACAAGCATTTCTGTTTTTACAGCAGACAAAAGCACTTAGAAATAAAGTATGACATCATCTGGGCAAAGTATCAGGGCGGGTCTTTACTGGTCTGTAATCACTGCGGTTCATCAGTGCTTCTGACCAAAAATCACACCAGGTGCACCTGCTCTTCCCACTCCTCTGGGGAGGACTCGTCCTGTGGGGCAGTGTGAGGGGGACTGCAGCTCAGAAGGGGAGGAGGGATGTGCTCTTCGACCAGCGACAGCTCACCTCCTGCTCCCCCTTCTGAGTCCCTGTGGTCCAGCTCCAGACAAGGCTCACCCTCCAGGGGTTGCCAGAGTGGGGGGACAGATACCGTGTCTCTGGACGCCACACTCTCCGTCTCTGCGTCAGGAGAAGAGTCCGTCTCTGTGGTGGGAGGGGAGGGGATCAGGGCGAGACACTGGGGATTGTTCTGGGGGTTGATGTTGTTGTTGAACCAGGCCATGATGTTGTCCAGTAGCTGGGCGCTGGCAGTGGGGTCCAGAGCTTGGAGGCTCTGGGGGTCACTGGGGGTGAAGGGGCCCCCTGGAGGAATGACAGGGGACAGCAGAAGCTCTGGTTCAGGCTCTGGTGACGGCAGGCACAGCTGGGTGGGAGGTTGAGGGTCTACGAGGCGCTCTGAGCTGTAGGTGCTGTCTGGCTTTGGAACCTGTAGAGGGAGGTTGTCTGGGGCAGATGTGATGGGGCGAGTGGCCTGTGCAGAGGGGTCACTTGGCTCAGGCTCAGAGTAACCCAAGGAGAAGTGGTGTTCTGTCAGACTGTGATGGTCTGGCTCTGGTCGGGGGATGGGGTCACTGAGGAGAGGTGCACAGGTGGGCTGATGTGTGTGTTGGTCACAAAAGTGAGAAAGGCTGCTCAGTTTTAAAAGACTGTCTCCCAGCTGCAGAAGCTCTGCGCTCAGAGGCGGGGGAGGAGGAGGAAGGGGGATGGAGGTGGGCACAGAGGGTTGTGAGTCAGTCCTGTTGGGGGGCTGAGGTGGGTCTAGAAGAGACAAGGGAAAGGATGACCCTCTGGCACCCAAAGGTGATTCAGTGCTGAGGGAGTGTAGAGCCAGGTCCACCAGCTCTCCTGCTGAGGCGGCTCTTCTCTCTGAGGCCCTGTCTTCCTGCAGCGACAGCTGGATTGCCAGCAGGATGTTTGGGTCGTCTTCATCCAAAGAGCCGAGCATGCGCCGCCGTCCTTCACTTTGCTCCAAGCCGTCTGTGCATTGACAGGTACAGTGAATAGTGAATACTGAATATTATGCAGATAGCATTGTAACATACTGAACAGTGCACACTTTATCAGAGCAGTGCGTGTGTCTGTGTGCGCTCACCGGTGGTTTCACTCCTCCGGCTGGTCTCTGGGGTGTTGCTGCTGCTTCGGAGGCTGTGCAGACTCAGCATGTCTCCTCTGCGCCGGGACCGATGTCTGCGCCGGTACTGGATATCAGCAAAATCCTACAAAGGTAATCTCTTGTTACTTTGTATACATCTTCCACATGATAAAATTCATTAAGCTCAGCTCGATGTTGCTTGAGTACAAAGAGATGGCATCATGTGTGATATACCTGTGAATGTCTATCTCTTTGGTCTCCTGCTCCCAAGACTGAATGCCGACTGCCCATCTAACACACAAATTGCAATTAGATGCAAACAATGCAATCCCACCATGGCAATAGTTTACTCCAAAAGTTTACCTCAGGGGAAGCAAAACCCAGGTATTCCCAATCCCATGAAGCTCCTGGGTAACTGTCAAGCCAATACAATAGATTTAGACCTAGTAGAATTGTATTTTGTGGCCTTCAAATAAAAGCCATACTTCCTGCGCGGAGGTTCAGGGGAATCATTTGGAGCTACTCCTCGGGCTACAGACGCTAGAAACTCCTGCCTCTTCTGCTGCACCAGCCGTGTTGCACAGACAATCTTATGGCAGGGAGTGCGCAGGTACGGCCGGTTGACTTTTTGAGCTAAGTCCTCCACCACCATTTCCAAATCAGTCTAAGAATACAGAAAAAGTATTACCCTGAGTAATCTCTACAATGCATAAATCCCCTACTTCTGAACAGCTTTTACCTGCATGAGCTCAAAGATCTCTTTCTGGGTGCTTCCTTGCTGCAGAAAGAAGCCATACGGATAAGAGCACTTCAGTACCCGCCGTGTCTTCAGCAGCTCTGTCACACCGTCCTCGATGAACCTGGTGTCTGGAGGAGAACCTTCTCCTGCCATGTGCCCCACAGATGAACAACTACACATCTTATAAATGCATATAATCATCATATGGGTTACTTACGGCTGATGAAAGCTCTGCTTAGCTGCTCCATCTTTTCTTTTGCAGTTTTCAACAGTCTCTGCTCCAACTACCAAATTAAATAAATAGCATTTTTCTAAAAAAGTATCGCTTTTATTTTTGTTAATGCATTAAACAAAAGGAGAATACCTTATAACTATGTTCATGGTTCTTAAAACGAGTGTAATAATGCATGAATCTATCCAGTTCCTGAAAGCTTTTGTGCTTCTTTTCAGCCTGAAACCCACGTTGTTACAATATCAAGAAAAAGTACTTGATATATACATTATGTTGGAGGTTTAGGAGGTTTAGGGCCCTTACTTCCACAGTCATCTCCTTGGACTGCTCTTCCAGCTGTTGAATTACTTCATAACGTGTGCACCGATAATAGCCGCCTGTAGACGAGCTGTGCTTTTTCCACTCCTCCAGACAAATCCAACAGAAATCATACTTGCACTGAAACAGACCAAAAAAAGTGTTAGAAAAACTTTGTGGCTTATTCATGTTGAACACTAATGTAATTACTTTGGCACACTGCATATGGTTGCAGCCCTCATTCTTCTGAATGGGGGACTTGCAGTTGGCACAGGGTTTGGAGTTGGTCAGCAGCCATAGGCAGTTCGCAGCATCTTCATAAGCCTCGCCAACACCTGCCACTAGAGAAGATCATGAGAACATGTCACTTGTACTACCACTTCGTCAACTCAATGAAATAAAAAGGATAGTCACACCCTGCAGTTGTGTTAAGCTGCTTCTTTTCAGACTGGTGCCTCACACTGGAGAGACCAGTGCAGAGGTGCTCCAGGTTAGAGCCCTGCACTTGAGCCCTTGGCCCGAGGGCCCCGACGGCCCGACAGCCCGAGGGCCGGGCTTCGGGCCGATGACCGCATAATGACCTCGGACACGGGCCGGGCTCGGGCTCTTCATATTTAGAGCGGCAGAATACATTTACGAACGCACCCGTTCTATCACGCTGTAGTGTTTGTTGTTCTGTGTAGTGTTGTCATTGACGGCACATAGCGTTACTTACAGGTGTGTTGCAGCATCTGGGCATCATACAGATGCGGCCGTTCACTCTGCACCACTCCGCACACACAGAACTCATTGCAACACATCACTACCATGTATAACTCCGCCCTCTAGCTAAGTCTGCGTTCATATCAGTGCGCGGCACTATATACTACGCTAAAACATTGTTATGGGAGGTTACAAAAAAAAAAAAAAAAGGCGGGCTTGATGCGGGTTTTGGGCCTGAAAATTCAGAAACCATATCGGGCCGGGCCGGGCTGGGGCGCCACCCCCTCGGACCAGGGCCGGGCTCGGGCCCAGATAATAGGCCCGTGCAGGGCTCTACTCCAGGTACTATATTGACCTCACGCTTAAGCCCTTTTCCCAGTTTAGATATTACATCAAGTGAAAATATAGTTTCGAGAGTACAGTATATAGGAGCTGCACTTTTACGACGTGCACTGGGAGCTGAATGTCACAATGTGTTCAAAAATATTTCCAGGAAGCCAACAAGCAGACACTTACACTCCTCCGGCTTCATCTCAGTGACTTTCTGGAGCCAATTCCTCCACATCTGACAGTCACATGGCTCGTGCGCCTCTCCAAGACACTCCCTGTACAGATGCAGATTAATCAGTTATGACACAGTGACAGTGCAGAGGCAGTGGTTGCATTTAAACCCAAGATAAGGTAATGTACCAGCAGAAGAGGTGCCCTTTGCCACAGTCAACAGCAGGAGAGGGCAGCAGGGGAAAGCTGTGTGGGTCGTTATCCCCGGGGCCCGGCCGTGTCAGGCGCACTGCCCGCTCACATCGAGGTACAGGACACCAGCGAATACATGGATTATTCTCCACAAAAGCCTATAATACACAGATTTTTAAACTGTGGGCAAGCATAAATCTGTGGTAGACCAGATGCTTATCACAGCGCAATTTTAAAATGTTGTTGATTGAACCTTTATGTCAAACTGAAGATATCGCTGGTCCATTTCTCTTGACACCACACTCTCTATCACATGCACTGGAACCAACTGGTAACACTCATAAGCCGGGCAGAAGATATTGTGTGCATCACCTTCTTGTATTTTCACATTCAGAAACCTTAAAAAACAGACTTTATTAATGACAAGACATTAACAGAAAAATGCTGCTTTGTATATAAACTTACTCTTCCCAACATGCTCTGCAGAATTCATGACCACACGACATGTCCACTGGGTCTTCAAAGACAGAGATGGAGCAGAGGCAGATCCCACACTGCAGACAGTCCACATTAGGGCATTGTTAGATCACACCTTGTTCCCTGAAATACAACTGTTACTTGCATTTGTGCCATTTTATATTGCCAAGTTTCAAAACTAATTTCCTGATACAACAGAATCACGGCTCAGATCAGGCCGGACAAACATTACTGGATTTGTAATTATATAAAAACTGTGGTTGAGGGACTCCATAACAGGCACAGAAATCCAGCGACAGTCTTACACTTTGTCTTGTAAAAAGCAGCTTGTCAGAAGAATAATGATACAGTTTTATGATTTCTGAAGATTTAATGTATATAAAATGAAGCATGTTACCATGGCCAAGCTCTCGTCTCCAGGAGTGATGCAGCTGTCCGTCGGGGAGGTGAGGGTGAGGGTAAGAGGTGAACGTGGGGTCCTGGGGGTGCGTGGAGAGGGCAGAGTGTCCCAGGCATTGTACCCACTTGGAGGAGGGGTGGGCATGGCCACACCGGAGCGCTGGCAACAGGCTTCAGCATCAGACATCCAGGCCTCCAGAAGCTTCTCTCTGTCCCAGTCTGAGACAAACATCAGGAAAGGTCAGTATTTGCATTGCCTTCATGAAAAAGGCTCCAATTGCAAAGTTATTGCCTCAATTAATTGGTCAATTCATAAAACTACATAAAGCAATGTGAAACAGATGCACCAAGCGCACAACATTTTCGGCATCATGCCAGCACGGGATTGAAGACAATCGGATTTAGCAATTTAGATGTTTTGTTAAATATCATTTTAGGCTAATTTTTGTTGATTATGAATCCTTTTTGTCTTAGCATATAACCAATTTATTTATACCCCACCCACCTACCCAAACACACACACACACACACTATATGCAGTTGTAATGTATGAAAGATTACTTGATTAATTAAAAGGTAATAAAATACTAAATGATACTCATTACTAAAATCTTTTTAGCTACAGCCTCGTTTTCAACACTAAAGTACAGTGCCTTGCGAAAGTATCCGGCCCCTTGAACCTTTCAACATTTCACCCCATTTCAGGCTTCAAACAAAGATATAAAATTTTAATTTTTTGTCATGAATCAACAACAAGTGGGACACAATCGTGAAGTGGAACAAAATTTATTGGATAATTTAAACTTTTTTAACAAATAAACTGAATAGTGGGGCATGCAATATTATTCGGCACTTTACTTTCAGTGCAGCAAACTCACTCCAGAAGTTCAGTGAGGATCTTTGAATGATCCAATGTTGTCCTAAATGACTGATGATGATAAATAGAATGCACCTGTGTGTAATCAAGTCAAATAAATGCACCTGCTCTTTGATAGTCTCAGGGTTCTGTTTAAAGCGCAGAGAGAACCATGAAGACAAAGGAACACACCAGGCAGGTCCGAGATACTGTTGTGGAGAAGTTTAAAGCTGGATTTTGATACAAAAAGATTTCCCAAGCTTTAAACATCAAGGAGCACTGTGCAAGCAATTATATTGAAATGGAAGGAGTATCAGACCACTAAATCTACCAAGATCCGGCTGTCCCTCCAAACTTTCATCTCAAACAAGGAGCAGACTGATCAGAGATGTAGCCAAGAGGCCCATGATCACTCTGGATGAACTGCAGATAACTACAGCTGAGGTGGGGATGGTGTGTTCAGGGTTATGAGCTGTGTTGCTTTTACGCCAAACATATCGTTTTGCATTGTGGCCAAAAGGTTGGATTTTGGTTTCATCTGACCAGAGCACCTTCTTCCACATGTTTGGTGTGTATCCCAGGTGGCTTGTGGCAAACTTTAAACAAGACTTTTTGGATATCTTTGAGAAATGGCTTTCTTCTTGCCACTCTTCCATAAAGGCCAGATTTGTGCAGTGCACGACTGATTGTTGTCCTGTGGACAGACTCTCCCACCTCAGCTGTAGTTATCTGCAGTTCATCCAGAGTGATCATGGGCCTCTGGTCTGCATCTCTGATCAGTCTTCTCCTTGTTTGAGATGAAAGTTTGGAGGGACGGCCGGGTCTTGGTAGATTTGCAGTGGTCTGATACTCCTTCCATTTCAATATAATTGCTTGCACAGTGCTCCTTGAGATGTTTAAAGCTTGGGAAATCTTTTTGTATCCAAATCCGGCTTTAAACTTCTCCACAACAGTATCTCGGACCTGCCTGCTGTGTTCCTTTGTCTTCATGGTTCTCTCTGCGCTTTAAACAGAACCCTGAGACTATCAAAGAGCAGGTGCATTTATACGGCTTGACTTGACTTGATTACACACAGGTGCATTCTATTTATCATCATCAGTCATTTAGGACAACATTGGATCATTCAAAGATCCTCTCTGAACTTCTGGAGTGAGTTTGCTGCACTGAAAGTAAAGGGGCCAAATAATATTGCACGCCCCACTATTCAGTTTTTTATTTGTTAAAAAAGTTTAAATTATCCAATAAATTTCGTTCCACTTCACGATTGTGTCCCACTTGTTGTTGATTCATAACAAAAAATATATTTTTTTATCTTTGTGTTTGAAGCCTGAAATGTGGCGAAAGGTTGAAGAGGGCCGAATACTTTCGCAAGGCACTGTATATAGTATGTGTTTAAAATATATAGTCCTACTCCACGTCTGTTCCCATTTCAGAGAACATCACATTACACAAGTATAGATCTGTCGTCACATAACCAGTTGCCTGTAACAAAAGTATCATAAATAAATGATGATGCAGACCATGAGCACGGAGAAGAGCCTCTGCGGTGAACAGAGGCGCTTGTAGCATGTCGGCCGTTTCCACAATCAGCATGTCCTTCAGTTTACGCAGGTCCTGGAGCTTGAGACCCTCAAAAGGCTGCAATGACAAAATGTGTTTTTTGTATGGAGGGCAATCTGTCCCCACAAGATCCGATAAAAACAACTAAAAACAATCAAATTAAAAGGGGAATAGAAACCAACTCAAACCATTTTTATTCAATTTTAATTTTGACGAAAAAAATAATAATATAATGTATATTTTGGCCTAAAAAAGAATTGATATGTATGCATAATTGAGTAGACTATTGTCAGGACAGCATTCAGAATTTTTATATCATAGTTATTGGAGCTACATCTCCCTGGCTGAGGTCACCAAGGTGGTTGCGTGGGATCACACTCCTCAGCCTCCCCGGTAAGGTCTACTCCAAGGTACTGGAGAGGAGGCTACGGCCGATGGTCGAATCTCGGATCCAGGAGGAGCAGTGTGGTTTTCGTCCCGGTCGCGGAACACTGGACCAGCTCTATACTCTCCATCGGATACTCGAGGGTTCATGGGAGTTCGCCCAACCTGTCCACATGTGCTTTGTGGATTTGGAGAAGGCGTTCGACTGTGTTCCCCGGGGTGTCCTTTGGGGGGTTCTCCGGGAGTACGGGGTCGGGGGTCCTCTGCTGAGGGCCATCCGGTCCCTGTATGACCGGAGCCAGAGCTGTGTTCGCATTGCCGGCAGTAAGTCAGACCTGTTCCCGGTGAATGTTGGCCTCCGACAGGGCTGCCCTTGGTCACCGGTTCTGTTCACTGTATTTATGGACAGAATATCTAGGCGCAGCCAGGGGTCGGAGGGGGTCCGGTTCGGGGACCACAGGATTTCATCTCTGCTGTTTGCGGACGATGTTGTCCTGTTGGCTCCAACGAACCAGGACCTGCAGCATTCACTGGGACGGTTTGCAGCCGAGTGTGAAGCGGCTGGGATGAGAATCAGCACCTCCAAATCTGAGGCCATGGTGCTCGACCGGAAAAAGGTGCCCTGCCCTCTTCAGGTGGGTGGAGAGGTCCTTCCTCAAGTGGAGGAGTTCAAGTATCTCGGGGTCTTGTTCACGAGTGAGGGGAGGATGGAGCGTGAGATTGACAGGCGGATCGGTGCAGCGTGCGCAGTGATGCGGTCGCTGTATCGGACCGTTGTGGTAAAGAGGGAGCTGAGCCGAAAGGCAAAGCTCTCGATTTACCGGTCAATCTTCGTTCCCTCCCTCACCTATGGTCATGAGCTTTGGGTAATGACCGAAAGAACGAGATCGCGGATACAAGCGGTCGAAATGAGCTTCCTCCGCAGAGTGGCTGGGCGCTCCCTTAGAGATAGGGTGAGGAGCTCAGTCACACGGGAGGAGCTCGGAGTAGAGCCGCTGCTTCTCCACGTCGAGAGGAACCAGTTGAGGTGGCTCGGTCATCTGTTCCGGATGCCTCCTGGACGCCTCCCTGGGGAGGTGTTCCGGGCACGTCCCACCGGGAGGAGGCCCCGCGGAAGACCTAGGACACGCTGGAGGGACTATGTCTCTCAGCTGGCCTGGGAACGCCTTGGGGTCCCCCCGGACAAGCTGGAGGAAGTGTGTGTGGATAGGGAAGTCTGGGCGTCTCTGCTTAGACTGCTGCCCCCGCAACCCGGCAACGGATAAAGCGGAAGAAAATGGATGGATGGAGTTATTGGAGCTATTCAAGTGGGAAAAGCACTTGACAACGGCACAATCTAATTGAAGACACACAGAACACAATTTAACCAAAGACATTCCGAAAACTTATTTACAAGAAATACTTAAGGTTTAAAAGCAAAAAAAAAAAGATTCTGTCCATGACATTGTATTCTGAGGAATTTACATGGATTGAGCAAATAACAAATTGGTTTTGTTCTGAAGAGGGAACAATGTTCATTCATCCGTCTGGTTGCGTTCACACAATTGACTGGTGGTTTCATATCTGCACAGATATGCCCTTTGATTGCCTTGTTTTGCACTTGATCTGCTTTTTTCCCTACGTCATAATAATGTGAACTGTAACAATGCCATGTAATTTACAAATTTGGGAAAGTACAAACTTTAAATTATTCTTCTAACGAAAAGTGTTTGTAGAGTTAATAGCACAGATTATCAAGGACATGTCTTTTAGTTCATTCTACATGTATCTGTGGAAGAAGAACAAAACCAGGCCTAATAATGGAGGAAATAGTGACTACACTTTCACCCAGAGTTCACATACTAACACACCTGGATGAAATGCTGCTGCATCACTATCACACAAGACTGAAGAAACTTAGGTCCCACTCGAGGCAGGGCTCAATCTGGCGCAGCACCCTGTATCTGATCGTCTTTGAATGATCTTGTGAACCCAGACACACTGCAGTCGCTCTTGTTGAAGTGTATGCAAGTCAAGTACATTACGCTAACAGTTTTTATCCACAAGCTGTTATCAGTGTGAACAGAGCACTTTAATGATTTGCACTTGTTTTGAAACTGTTTTAGTCGATCGATTTCACAGTGACATTTGTTTACTGTTTTATTTTTGTCTTTTAATGTTGTTTTATGTCTGTATTTGTCTGTGCACACTGGAGACTTTTTGCTAATGTATTCCAATGTGGTGTTTTTACTGCAAATGGCAAATAAACTGAATCTGATCTGAATCTGAATCTATTGTCCCATCTTAGGGGACATAGTATGTCTGAGTCCTGATCAAGAGAGAACATGGAATCCCATCGTGTCTAAAACAAAACTTTTTCCAAATGTAAGCCAGCAGAAAAGTGTGGGTCTGACGTCCCCTCACCTCCTTGTACTGCAGCAGGTTGGCTTCAGCTTGAGTGTCTTTGAGTGCGTTTGACTGCTGAGCTGAGGAGGAGAAAACCATCTGTGACTCCAGGCTGAGGGCCAGATCCGTGTGGTTGTGCCGCTCGGCGTGGTCACACGGAGTCAACTTGTCTTCATCTTCCACAAAAAGGTCCGCCTCATTTTGTATCAGCAGCTAGAAAAGCAGATACAAAGAAAGCAGCCCGAGGTAAAGAGAATAGACTATAGAATAGAATGGATTAGGTTTGCCTTACCTCCACACAGCTCCTCATGCCTGCAGCGGAAGCGTAGTGCAAGCAAATGCAGTGGTGGTTGTCTGTGGAGTTGACATTTGCCTTTTCATATTGGCCACCCTCAAGCCTGGCTCCGGTCCAGCTTAGAATCATCTAAACAAGGAAATCCCCAACCACATTCAATAAACAATCTTATGCAGAATTACAGTATTTTCCTTTTCTTATTGTTGAACCTGGAGGCAGTCAGTGCGGCGCTGCTCATCCCTTTGAGGTCGTGAAAGTCTTGGCGACAGCGCCCCCTCTGGCAGAAGAAAAATCTGAGGACCTTGGCAAAGCACATGGAGGCACGTCTCATTGTGTATATTTCTCTTGTTGGGGTTCCCCTCCTTGTTGAACAGGAAAGACCTATGGATGAAATACACAAGATTTAAAAATAGGTGCAAAATACTATACCAGCAGCATAGCGTAAAGTAGAGACTGAGAATGATTGTGTATTTCCAATAAACCCCTTCGCTGGTTCTGGTCATGAGAAATGCACCATTAAACAATGATGTCTGGTTTAACCATTGCATAGTTTCTCTGCTCTCTGTGAAGCCATCTCCAAGTGAACTTTTATCTCTTCAGTCTGTCTCCACTCATGAGTCATTTTATCTCGTTACCTTGGTTTTCAATTGTCATGCAGCTACTTCACTTGTCTCCAACACGGGTCAGGGAAACTTTGCTACAAACAGTGCGTTACAGATGATAGAATGATAGATGATTGCATGTTGCCAAAATATATTTCATCATGCATATACAATAATAGCAAATGTGCCAAAAATTTAATCTTGACATGAATTGGAGAAAAGTTTGCATTTGTTAGTTTTAGATTATTTTTACTATAATTTTAAATACAAATAACACTGCCAAGTTCAACGGCACTGCAGTAATCACTCATTCATTCTTCAGCCACAAACTCCCCCTCTAACAAAAACACTCAATCTCCCCCTCCTTTATTTTAGCAAAACATAAGGATTGTTTTTTAGTACAACATCTAGCACTGTATGAGAGCACACGACTTAGGAACTCAAGGCAATTATTATAGCCTCTTGTACATGTTTGTTTAAGGTATTAGTCTTCCGTTTAGACAAACAGTCTGGCTAGATTTCCTGCCCTACATCCTTGTACAGCACACTAATCGCCCAGTTATCTGTTCTCATGGGATTTCAGTCCAATTTCAACCCACAGAGATGACTAAAACGCATCAGGGAGAAAATGTGAAATAGATACATGTTAAAAATAATCAGAAAAACAGACTGCATCTCACCGCCCACACTCGTCCTCTGGGACTTTTTTTGTCTGAGATTTTTCAGTCGACCTGAGGAAGTGGCCACAGCAAAATTAAATAAAGTAATTTGTTTGCTTCTGTCCACTCACCTAAACAGTTTGAACTGAGCAAAGCAACATTTCCTCAGATGCTTATCAGGAGTTTGCTGCCTGTAGCACGACAAGACTCTTACAGGTTAGCAGGAAAGGACACAAATAGCACAGCGATTGATTCACAAGGAGCCGTGGAACTGAATATTCCCGGCTTGAATAAAAGTATACATGTTGGGCCAGCACGAGGAAAGTGCATTGGAAAATGTGTGCGTGTGTGGGGGGTGGGGGTTTATTGAGTCACTCATTCAGCTTTCGGGGTTACCGCCAGAAGTCTGGCGCTCACTTTGGGTGACACAGGGCCATCGGGTCACAAAACGGCCTATGGCTTCTTAACATTAGGCAAGGATTTTATATTAATTCTACATTTTCTATTATATTCTACAAACAATACATTACTTTTTATTAGGATTTTCTGCAGGGTTAACAAACTACAAAACTGGACTATCACTGTCCGGACTGCCTAACCTCATCTTTAAAGGGACTGTATTCAATATGGACCATCAGTGGTCTAATAAAGTCATTACAATTACACTTTTCTGCCTGTGAAACATGTAGCTTCTACACACTAATCTCTGATGAAATCCACCTGCTTGAGTTAAGCTAGAAACCGGAGTACCCGGAGGAAACCTTACACAGACACAGGAGAACATGCACACTCCACTCAGAACCGCCCTGTTCCGACCGGGATTCAAACCCAGAACCTTCTTACTGAGAAGCGAGAGCGCTATCCACCTAGCCGCCGTGCCGCCTAAAAAAAAAAAAAACCAGGTGTAATATCGCCTAACAAACTGGCAACCCAAATGAGTTTGTTCCCTGATTGGATAATTGGCTTGAAAAAGAAACACGCTGTAAATACACCAGATTGTAACATTGTACATGTTGTTAATGCTAGGGGAAACCAGAGCACCTGGAGGAAAATCTAAAAAACCTCCACTTTAAAAGAATCCAAATATCCACAGAAAAAGTCAAATTTGTACATGTTGACCTATTATCTGAGGACACATACAAACTGTAGATGTAATTTAATTGTCCATCCATTTTTGTCCCCTTAATCCATTTCTGGGTCAGGGGGGTGGCAGTCAGAGCTGCACCCAGTACACAGAGCACCAGCCACTCACTGATCCTCCTGCAGGTGGTGAGTCCACAGGAGCCTTGATCTTTCAGCAGGGGCTTCAGGCAAAGTGGGGTTAAGTGTCTTGTCCAAGGACACACTGACAGCAGTCAACAGCTCGAACCCTTCAGGCCTAAAGACCATTGTATGAAACATTTTAGTATTTAGTATGCTTACCCAGTCTGTATTATTCTCATGTTTCGCACAAACTGAAGAGGCACAGATATATAAGGGATTGCCAAATGTGTTTAAAAATCATATGATTTGAAGTATATATTGATACAGAGTTCCTAACCCTAAAACAAGATGATTGGGCCCAATTGCCGATCACACTGTTGTAATGTCTGCTCTGTTGATGCACTGTGGGGCTCTGTGAGCGTGCCAGCGTGCAATCTGGTATCAATTCTAATATGCTTTAAGCTGATCTCCTGATTGGACCTTTGAAATAAGGAATGGAAATCATTCATAAAGCAAAATTAAGCACAATTCATAAAAAAATGCAGCACATTTGCAAAAACACAAATCTACGTTTTGAACATTTGTCAAAAAGTTGTATTACTCAAGCAACAATCTTGCACATTTTGGTATTGGTAATAAATTGAGAGAATTTGCTCAAGAAGGGGTGGTTTGCAATTTAATATGGGCTACCATGGTGTCAAAGCTCCAGCAAAACCTTTATTGAGACTGTCCCCTAATCTTCCCAAAATCTCAAACCTCACAGTCGCCCGTCCCAACAATTTTTTGAAACTATACACCAAGCAAATAGGGCTTGGTAATCGTAATAATCTCTGTATGCGTGTGTTATCTTACGAAGGATTGCGCAAAACATGCACAATGGATTGATCTGAAATTTGGTGTGTTTGATGTGATGGTAGGAAGACCCCATCAACCTTTCAAGATGCTCGGTAGCATCTGTTAGGCTTTGGCCCAAAGGGTTCCCGGCTACCCATCTGAGAACATGTAAATGGAAAACTATGATTTTTAAAAAGGAGACGATTTGTGGATATTTGGTAATAAAAACAATTGATGACTTACTCCTTATGCATTTTCTGTATGAATTTTATTGGATCAAAAAGGCCCTGTAACCTTTTGAACCAAACATTTATGATATGGCAATCATTTTTTTTAAAATATCCATCCATTTTCTTCCCTTTAATCAATTTTGTACTTTATAAGTCTTGGAGTAAGTTATTAACAAGAAAATCACTTTTACAAGGTTTTGTTTTCCGAAGATAAGAGTGTGTAAATTTGGCATGTATAATCTACATGCCAAATTTGTGTACGGGTATCCGTACTTACCTGAGTATCCGTGTCATGGCATGGCGGCAGACGTAGTGCAGAGCAGTGTTGTGCTGGTACTGTTCTCCGTATGATGCGTTGGGGTCGAGGCCGTCCCTAAACTGTGGGTTTCCCTCATACAGCTGCCAGGCCAGAGCTTCATCCCCGCTCACCAGGGCCTTACGAAACTTGGTTGCAGTGTTGCCCATGGCTTCCAAATATGCCAAAGGACGCCTGATGCCCTCTGTGGCAAATGCCGGCCTGCCTGCCTGGCCCTCCGCCCTCCCCCGTACACAGGCCCAAACTTAAAGCAACATGGTTGGCTGTGTTTTACTGCCCTGTGGAAACAAGAGACGACAGTGAGATTTAATGAGTAACGACCAAAGACACAATACAAATAATGTTTTATAGGGTTTCTGATCAGCTCCAAATATTACAGACCATTGTATGAAAGTGTCCCAATACCTGATGAAAGGCTGATGAAAACAATCCACTATGTTCACTGACTATTCAATGCTTTAAAAAACATCTAAAATACTCAATTGGTCTGTTCATTGATTAGGAGATGCAGAAAGAATCATAAGGAAGGATCACCAATTGGTCACTGTATTTAATATCCAGGATATATACCATGTGATGAATAAACCCCACTGCTTTCTATCAGGAAAGTTTTCCCTATGTCGCCATGCCCCTTAAATGTCTCTAGATCAAAAACTTGTCACAACTGAAGGTGGACTAAACCCCCTATAACCTATATCAGGAATTACAAGAATCATAATAACATAAAAGAAACAAGTTTGACAGAATACACAGTCCTGACAAGAACCTCATCTAAAAACAACAGAGACGCATTCTTTCACTATTGTTTTAAAAATATGGGAACATTAATTGGATTAAAAAGGTGTAGTGGGTTCTTACAGAATATTAACCTTCTCATCAGCGATACTGTCAACTTGGGCTGTGTAACGTACCATTTTCCTTAACATACAGGTGGTAATCAAAAGGCATTTAATAGTAAGAAAATAGAGTTTAAGTAAAAAATGGTCAAATAACCCTGTATGCTTCATATAAAACAGGATTTAGCATGTTTTGAAAAAAAAAAAACTAATTGTTTAAATGTTCATCACAGTGGGTGGGTAATATGCATACTTTGGTGGGCCCTGACTGAAAAGTTACAAAACATGGTGACGTTTTCAATAGTTAAATAGTCACTAGTGATGTGGTAGACTTTGGAGCCCTCGCATGAACTTTATAATCATCTCGAACACCTATTGACCAGCATTTCTTGAACACACAAACCCTCAGCAAACGTTGCATCCTTAATGAGTGGAGCTTGTATAGCAGAGCATGGGCCGTTGAGGGTATGATTACAGTCTTCATTCTATGGCCATCTGTCTGGCTCACACAAAGGGCCTCTTTTAGCCTGCCTACAGTCTGTCTCAGGCTTGCCGAGCCCTGGAACATTTGAATAACATTGCAACCTGCCTCCCCTCCTCTTACTACACAATAAAAGGCAGTCCAGGATTTAGGGAAAGTCACATGGACAGTCCAGAGCTAATGAATCAGTATTTACTCTAGGTTGTACTCATATGTCGGGAGCATCTGAATAATGACAGGGGGAAAGAGGGTGCATAAGTTTATAGGTCAGTCAGTCCATGTTTGGGAGCACACTGGTTTACTTCCACTTCACTGCTCTTACAGCCGGCTTGAGCAGTTCTCATACTAAAAAAACTATTTATCAAAATCTTTAAAAGAGAGAATAAAGAGGTCAGAAGAGTCTTAATCTAAATCAGAAAATCTGTATGTTTCTAATTGAACTATGGCAGTATCAAGACCCTCAGAGTAAACTGAGTGTCTTAAGAAAAAACTCAACAAAAGCCCTTTTCTTATATAAGAGTTAAACAAAATAACAATTGGATAGATACTGAGAGAAGTTAGGTTATACATTCACATTTTGGAAGATGAGCCTTGATCGATGACCAGCATTTACATTCTTACCAGACTCTATATTTGGCTCTAGACACAATAGAATAAAAATCAGAGAAATAGATACACAAGGAAAGTTACAACATGTGTAAGATTGCTTCTCTATGGAAAGCGATCGTGCCCAATTGTCAATACTAACCTAGTAAGGACTAATCTACACTGTACAGGCCCCAGAACTAGAACTGTATAAAGTAATGACACCAGATGATCTTGCGTAGACATTATGGGAACTGCCAGAGGCAAGGTCAGGTTAGACTTCAGGGTGGAACTTCAAAAAGGACCAAGTACTTTGAACCGTGACACAGTTGGGACACATTTTGTTAAAATTAGGTGGCTCACGGAATGTATGCGTCGAATATCCAGGTCAGATCTCATGTGGTTATTCTGAAAAAGTGTGTCAGCATGAAAGAGCACTAAACAAACACCCACTGACTTCTCAGCATGTTCAGTCCATGCGGCCCCATGTAAAGCTACATTGTTCATACACGAGTAAATAGTCCATGTTATAAAAACTGAATGAGATGATGTCGTGAGTAAAGAACGACGATCTTAAATACAATAGTGCTTAGTGTAATGAGAGCTCCCAAAGAACGCGTTAGCTTCCACTCGGAAAGGCTACCTTCTCAGCTGCCTTCTCAGCTGCACACACGCTAGCACAGCTCAGATCTGAGCAGCTCTACAGCAGCTGGACAACGCCAAACCTCGCTTTACTTACACGGCTGCATCACTTGTTAAAACGTCGCTCACTCGGAAATCGTTGTGAACCGAGGCCCATGTTCAGCTGCTGTCATTCGCCAGCCTCGGTGCTGTCGCTGAGCCGCTGGAGCATGGTGCCCTGGTCCCGTAGCCTGGAGCCTGGAGCTTGGAGCGCCGCTCAAACTGTGGCCGCTGTTGTTGTTGCTGCCAAAAAAGAAAGTGTACAGCGCATGCGCGAGGACAACGTCACTGGGAGGACGTCCTGTGATTAGCTGAGAATCAGTGCACTACTTTGACAATAAAACATCATTTCACTTTTGTATACAATACTATTACAACAGGAATATCACACAATGTATTTGAAATACTCAAACTGAAACGTTCAAGTAGAATCAGTGTTGGGCACAATACTCAAACATTTTAGGTTAGTTAGAGTATCTAATATATTGATCATATAAAATTACTGACTTTACAATGTAGCTGAGTGACACTACTCTGCATTACCATTATTTAGATTAAAACAGTAATTACATTACACAGATAGTGACCGGAATGACAAGTCTTTTGTTTCAAATACTACTGCTCGTTTAGGACATGGAACCATGCTGGTTTCACTCTAAACATTTGATATGGTAGCTTTTAATAGTTGACAATTGTACAATTGTGCAAAAGGTAGAGGTAGGGCTACAAAATAATTATCTGAGGGCTACTCTCTCTATAACCTTCTCCATGTATGTAGAATGTCCCCAAGTGTGGTTTTATCCCATAATAGATCCATGGGTTTTATTTACATGAGGGTGTGTGGAAGATAACCAGCATCACTCAAAGAAATACATCTGACTAATTTCATGACGTTGAAGACACAATACTTTAGGCTAATGCGTCACAGTTGTTGTGTGTCTCTCTGTATACGTCTCAGACAGAACACTTCTGAGGTCAAGTCAGAACGTAATTTTACATATTAATTTAAACAAAGAATACAGTCTTAAACTAAATTGATTCTGCATGGCTCCCTCTTGTGGGTGCATAATGTCATGTAAGCGTCTCGATACTCCATACACCTGTATAGGCTTCAGCAGTACCAACATATACCACGAGAGGACAATATTTAACCCAACATATCTATTTCCATTCGCCCTGTAGTCAATTTTAGTATAATCATTAGCGTCAATGTGAATGTAATTATAGCACTACCGTGACTGACAAAACCTGTTGCAGGTCTGGAATTATGTGACTATCTCTTCATCACTGTTTTGTTGGTGCGACTGGCGAATAATGCCATTATCACACAATCAAGTATCAATACTTAAAAATAAAACATAAACGCAAAAACATATCACATTTTCTAAGGAGTGGTAAAGGTATTTCGAGCCAGTAAACCTTGTAGTATACAATTATTAATTACTATTATTTTGAATTATTTGACAGTTCAATGTTGAATTTTTTTCTTCTACAAAATCATCACCATTGTATTAAAATTTATTTTGAAGATAGATTGAAATTGTAGTATTTGTCATGTCACAACCTAATAATAGACAAAATGGATGGATAAATGGAAATAGCACATTTTAATGCACTCTCACTGATGAAATGATCAAATTAATCATCGGTAAATCATAAAGTAAACCAGCAAAACGGATAGTACAGTGTGCACCGTTTCTGGCCACACACTAGTGTTAAACTGACCTTAAAGTCTCAAAGCTCCAGAGAGTCACATTATACTGAGGTGTGACATTACACCGTGAGAAAAGCATGCTGGGAAAACTTCAGAGGATAGGGGGACAGAAGAGACCTAAAAGTATAAAAAATTGAAATAAAAAAGACATGAGACAATTGCATATATATTACTTATACACACACACACAAGTCGTAGAAACACACAAAAAGTCAGTACATTTGTTCTTTCCAACAATATGAACAATAATTTAACATAATTATATATTAATTATACAATTAAGAGAATATGATAGAGTTTAAATGTTATACTTGAGTCACTTACACTAACGTTTATGTATGAGCTCTACACCTTTCAGATGAAGCCATATTCAAATATTGAGCAGTTGAAGCCTTTTTATCTGATAATCAAGACTTGTCAGCACAGTTATGAGCCAGGATTAACAGCCTTCAGTATCTCAAGCCTGGGCCTGAGCACTTTACCTGTACATGTCTGCCAGGTGACTCAGAGGGAGGAGGGTGAGAGGCTGAAGTGAAGGGAAAACACAGTCATAACGTCGGGCAGAGAGCTGAGGGTGTGGCAAAAAGCCCTCAGCACATTCCGTGACACTGCTACACCCTTCCACTGTGCCTTTCTATACCTGGTTTTGTTATTGAAGAACATTCATGTCAGCTCTTCTTGCATGACTTTCTGGTTTCTAAACTTTAACTACACATTGAGTTATTGATATCTCTAATTGACTGATTCATACAATTATGCAAACATCAGATTCGCCATTTAAAAAAAAAATGACTATGAAGAGTATGACGTTTGATAGTTTGAGAGATCTCATTTGATAAAGACACACCCTTCACTCCATAGTCCAACACACAATCATATTAAGTGTTTGGTGATCAGAGGCCACAAAACAGGGAGTGCCAAGCTGCCATATAGACATAGCTCAGTACAAAGGGCGGCTCACAAAAGACTCGATTATACTTGTACCAATACACTACTGCTCATTCCACTGTAACAACATGGTATTAGGCACAGACACAGAATATATTAGCAGAATACATTCACTTGAACGTCTAATTCTAATCATAATTGCAGGGAATGAAAGGAGTAGATTAATTCTCTTTTTGATTAATGATTTTGTGCACAGTCTACATGCTCCATACTATTTGCATTTGTATCACTAAAGATCAGTGCTTTGCTGGTGTCATTTGGTATGTGTCCCACTGGTATGCGGAGTATTGTTTGGTTTGTGCCTTGCTCAGCTTGGGGAGAGTGCAACCATCAGTCATTATTACCGCTGATAGCCATGTGACATTTGTGTATGCAAAGTTTTCAACACTTAAGATCCGCGCTGTACTGTCGGTTAATTTTTGAAACTCACAGTTACTGAACTTCCAATGATGTTGTCTGAATGATGGAGGGTTTGGGAGGAGTTTCACCGTGAGCAAGGCCCTGCCCTGCTCTTCCTCATTCAGCGCTGCTCCGTCCTCTTCGCGACGGCTCCGGAGCGGCACCTCCCGCCGACTGAAGCGGCTTGGCCTGTGGCTGACGGTGCCCGTGCTGGAGTTGGTGTCTACGGGAAAGGCCTACGATAGTCAGCCGGATCTGTGTAGAGTCATTTTTCGATAAAGGAATACGAGTACGGGGGGATTCACTGGATAAATACTTTTCCTTTTTTTAGAGTGCCAGGACAAGTTCTGCAACTGTGGGTAGGTTACACACAATGAAGGAGTCTGCAAACTGGGAAAAGAATGTACATTGACTTCTTTGACTTTGACATGCGTATTCACCCTTTGTTACACGAAGTACTTTCACAAGACAACAGTCAGCGTTTCCACCATCGTAATGAATACTGTCTGTTATAACATTATTTGGAAGACATTTATGTCATTCAGGTAGTGTCCAGGGGTCTCTTACCTTTTATCTCAGCAGCTACTTTTCAGGTAGATTACTTTGAACGATCATAATAATATAGCGTGATAACTATAAGCACAAGCGGAGCATTATGTGTTTTACTTTGGAAAAACCAAGATCCCTGTAGAATCAATGTTTCAGGTAAGAAAATAGACTTTTCCCCCGAGAGAGTCAATTGTGTTTAGTTAGTTCAGTTACTTTATTTCCTGATGAAATGAGCTCGTATGAGTCACTTCATAGGAATAAACATTCAACATGTGGTTACAATTCTAGGGTTTTTAGTTCAACTAAAAACTTAAATCTTGTCATTGCATATTTGACGCAAATGGTCTCCCTTTCAAAACAGATAGCTATGAAAGGAATCTTTGTCAGGATGTGTCATTACTCAAGAATGAGCAATAATACGTTTTGAAAGAAACAAGGAAAATGCACTTTTATAGTTAGATTTTCCACTGAAGACAACCACAGACATTTAGAGAGTCGGAACAGTTGACTGGGGCACCGTAAGAGGTTTTTTTCCACCCAAACTCCACTCCTAAAATATCTGAAGTTGGAGGTTCTGGTGGGAGCCTTTCATTAGGTGGTACAGTGCACGGCCTTGGCCATGTGTGTTTAATACAGACTGACATGGTATGCTTATTGTTAGTCATGATCTATGTGCCAGTGTGGATTTGTCAAACAGAGCCTGGCAGCAGCACCTGTGGATTGCAGGCTTGTCTATCCAAACCGGTTTAGGCATTCCTCTTTCACATCAAATTTTCACACAAAATAAACCAACCCAGAGGCATGTCCGGAGTGTTTGTTTAGTGAGACAGGTGTGTGTAGATGTTAGTATGAGGCTGAATTGAAGATGAAACAAACGTTAGTATGAGGACCTACAGTCAGGTCCATGAGTATTGGGGATAGGGAGATGGACATATAGTTCTCATATTTCTCAATAGATTTAATATAAAACGACAGAGACATGCTTGAACCACTCCAAAGTATTAGTATTTATTAGGGTACATTTACATCTGAATGAAGTGAACAGTGTAGAAAGATTTTGTTTTTCAGGCTCAAAAAGTATGGGACAACTAAACAAAAACGCATTAAAATGTTTTACGTTATTAATAGCCTGGAAGGCACTGAGTGAGTTTCAGAGTCACAATGATGTTCAGAGAGTATTTTCCCTTCCTCAGCAGGGGAAATACATGATCAATCATGTTCAAATTTGAATTTCCATTTTTCTTTTGCATAACTCTGTACGTTGATGCTATGGTGTTTTGAGAGCGTTGGAAGTGTGCTCTGGGTCAAAGTCCAAAGCAAACTGCAAATGAGTCTTGAGGGATTTGGGAAAATTGTATTGTCCAAAACACTTTTAATGAAACACTGCTCCACCGCAGTCACGTCCTCAATATGTAAATGAGAACCAGTTCCATTGACAGCCTACTGTCCATGGCATTAAAGTACCACCACCATGTTTCACTGATGAGTTTATGTTTTGGATCATGAGCAGGTGCTTTCTATTGTCCAAACTCTTCTTTTCCTATCACTCTTGTTGTACAAGGATCTTCCACGTGTCTATGTGGATGTTTTTCCAGAACCGTACATGCTTTTTAGATTACAATTGGCAAGCTCTAATCTAGTTTGTTATTGCGCAACATATTGTATATCTTGTGCCAAACTATCTGCATCAACTTTGATGAAGTCTTCCCATGACCATCGACACTGAGAGTATTCTTGATCTTTCCAACTGCTTTCCTTGGCCTTACAGGTCTTTTGGTCTGGCATTTTTTTCTTTTTAAGATTAAATCAAAAGATGACAACATATACATGTTTTGTCATCTAATGTTTTTTATGTTTAGCCTAATGATTGTGAAAGGTATGCATCTAATATTTGACAGGAAGATATCCCAAATGCAACTAACAACTGAGATCAACTCAAAGGGCGCCCTAAACCGCCTCCTAGTACATGGGGTAGTGAAATATTCTGAGAAGCCACTTTTAAACCCTCCCAAATTGGGATGCAGTCATTAAAATAATTCTACTTCCTACACCAATCACATGATTATTTCATAATGGTGTTTGTGCAGGGGCTTTTGTATGTGTCTTGAATGCCTGTGTGTGGTGCTGTGATGCACTAATAAAGCTGCATCCTACTCTAATTGTAGTGCATAAAAGCATTGTGCCTTTTAGATTGAAAGGTGTGTGAACCCTGCTGTTTTAAGTTGTGCTCAACAGTGCACCCTTGTCCGCTATAGTGAGGGGAAGACGTTTGAGAAAAATGTGGGAATGAGCGGTCATGTGTGCAGTATGTGTAGTCTATAGCTGTGACTTTAGAGAATGCACTGTCAAAGCCTCCTTGAGCAGTGATGAGAGTGAAACACATGTGAAAATACATGCAGTGGCAAAGCTTCATCTGAGCCTTTGTGATTGACCCTCAAATCGCGATTGACGTGTTGAACATCCGGAATCTAAACAATATTGGCCTAACCAATGTGCACTCGGCAGTTAAAGTACATCTTGTGTTGTTGTAGTTAGTCAAAAATAGGAAGGTTGAGTGAGGCACCTACCGTCCTAATATTTTTCATCAAAATGAGGGAGTGTTCCTCCTGTACATAACAGTATCTTTCAAATATACTCGCTATCTACAGATTGCAGCTATAACTGTGTCCATGTCCCACGACTTAATCACCTAACTATCTATAATAACGTAACATTTTGTCTCTTATTGCAGTATGTTTTATGAACAACTTTGAGACTGACTACATCTGGGATAAATTGTGAGTGGGTCAGCTTTGAGTAGCTGCCTTTGTTTTTCTTTGTGATACTTCTCTTGGGGGATCTAAAGTTTCAAAAGCGGCTTTGTTGTTGTAGAGAGTGTACCTTCTTGTTTGGGGCAAAAAAAGCTTCACAATTCTAACCACCAGCAAAAGAAGAATGAGAGCGATCTTTATCAATATTTTGTTGTCTGTGTAGCTTAACAAATCAAACAATACAATAAAAAGTTATTTTATGTGGAAAAAAAAACCTTTATATTTCTGCATATTTTACCTTGTAGTGACCGACTGCATGAGTGGCCAGCAAGGTGCCTTTACTTTCAATTGTTTGGAAGGTGTTCTCTGCTGATGGGCCCCGCACCAGAAAACCTAAAGGGGCGTTCAGACCGGAGATGCACATGTACAGTACTCTTGTCAAGCTATGTAGAGATAAAAGTGTGCATCCCCAGCTCCAAATTACTAAAAACAGCTAAATAATAATAACCTAAAACTAATCCAGTACAATTGCCATTCTCATTATTCTTTGAATCTTACATTTTTATATTTTCTCTTAATATATTTCCCAAATCTAGTGTTCTTAATTTTACGTGGCATAGACACATTTCTAGTTTTTATTACTTAAAAAAACAGGGTCGGATCACCATCTCAAGCTATTAACTCATTCACTGCCAGCCATTTAAAAAGCAGCATCCCTCATACTGCCAGAGATTTTGGACATTTTTAGTGTTTTTCCGAATCGCATAGAAATGTGAGCCCTTGGTTGACACAAGTATGAAACATACCAAATGAAAGCTTTAAACAAAATGGCTTTCGTTTAAAAAAAAAAAGTAAGTTTCTAACCCTTTTAGTTTTTTAGCAATTGAGAGTGCAACATAAGTAACTTTCACACAAAATGCTGTTTCCTGACCAAGATTTGGAGATAACAGCCTTTTTGTGAAACGCGCATTTTCAAGCAGAAAAGTGGGGTTTTTTTGTCTTTACTGATATTTTACAATGTATGACAGTTTCTTACTATGACACGAAACAGAAACAATACTTTGAATTGTATTTTTAATGTAAAATTATTTTTAAACAAATTAAACGTGTACACACAATACACTCAAAGGATTGTCTTATGTACACATAAAATATTCAACTTGTATACAATAAAAACACTTTGTACACAAATATACAGTAAAAATAACACTTTCTGAACACTTTGTGAAACAATTTTACTTTAGTTTTTAAAGAATAGTAATTAGGTGACCCCACACTCTGCTGAAGTGTGGGATCTACTTCATCTGCACTCCCAATACATTTCCAGATTAGTTTTTTTTTTTTACAAACCCAGTGAGAAATGTCAAACCAAAAAAGGTTTTTAGCTGCTAGACTGTCACTGGCTTCCATGCATTTTCTCTGCTGAATGGGAGACGCTGTGTGTGTGCACTGAAATATTGTGCTGCATACAGCTTTGTCTGTTTGACAACAAGATCCAGGATCCAGCAGTTCATTAGTTATGAAGAGCTGCAGAAGTCAGCTGGCTGATCCAAATCAAGCTCTGCTGCAGCATTTTGGGGTCCTGGGGTCGACAATCTACAACACAAAGGAAAATATAAAATCACCATACATTTTCACATTATAACAAGTGTTTTGGCTTCAGCAGCTATGACATTGAGATAAAAAAAAAAACTCTTCAATATTCGCTAAAAACGTTACTTTATGTTTATGTTTATTTTTACTATAGTATAAGCCAGTGATTGCTATAGTCACTCCCTCCAGAATCTCTCAATGTTTGAACGCAAAATCACGCAGACTCCGGGATCAGAGCAACAGTCAGTCTCTCTCTCCCTGTTCCAAAGCAGCAGCGGGCGCGCTCCTGACGCACCCTCCACAGTGAGACGCACCACAGCAGAATGCACAACATGGTGCGGTAAATCTAACACTTGTCGCTCATCATGGGTCCCGCTCACCGGTCTGCCATGGATCACCTCCCCCTGTCCCTTCTATAAACCACACGGTATCATCATCCATAGCTCCCTGGCAGCTAATGCTGCATGCCAGACTCACACGCCTCCAAACTCAACAGGGAAACTTTTAGAAAAATGTCCCGCGTAATCAAGCATTTTACCCCGCAATAATCATTCATCAATCAACAATTGCGCTGGAGGGGCTGTTATTACATTGGACAAAGGGGAGAAATAAACTCGTAAATGCAACATGTTGAAGTGAAAAGCAACTTACCACATTACGACGGGGGGAGGAGCCGCTGCTGCTGCTGCTGGACGAGGAGGGAGGGAGAAGCCTCCGAGGACCCTGGAGCCTCATGTTAACTAAAACCTGAAGAACTAGCATCGTGACATCTAGCTGCTTCTTATTTATCCGTTTGATGACTGAACAGGCTCTCAAACAGCGTTAGCTGCGTGAGCTTTTCAGATCCGCGGTCCTCTGTGTAAGCATGACTGCTCCTCTGGCTGTTTGCTGCTCACAGCACCACATGCCCCCTTCTCCCTCCCTGGATCTGGCCACAGTGTCACCTCTGCCCCCTACAGGATCGGTTCCAAAGTGTTTACAGGTCTGAAATGTTGACACGGGATGCACAAGAGCCTTGACAAGCCATAGAAAGAAAAAAACGAAAAAAAAGCGATTGACTTCTATTGACGTCAATGGCAGTGAATGAGTTAATATAATGTAAGATGTATATAATTTTACAACAAAGGTTAGTTAAAGTAATAATTGAGACTGTAGTGTTTTAAAAGTAATCAGTGATGGCTCACTCGACACTAAACTGTACCAATGTGTTACATATGGGTCAATGACACAAAAAATGAAATGTCCGCGGCCGCTACTGCAGAATGTTCACTGCCCCTAAATGTTGTTATCGTTTTCATTTCAATGTCCCGCCCTTTACCAATCAGAAAGTCTGTGGTCCGGATTGCCAGAACTCATCGCGTCAAGCTAATCTCACTAGTAAAGTAACTGGTGGCTGCAGTACTACAAAAGGTCTCGTTATGATTCTCAAATCATTAACAAAAGAAGGTGTAGTGGGAAGAGCAAGTTTATCTGGTTTGTAGTGTGGGATTGTGACCACCAGGAAGCATCGGTAAGAATGCACTGCAGAGATGATCCAGTTTTTAGGTTTATTAAAAGTTCTTTACAACTACAACAGGTATCTATGTCTTCGTGGCTCTGTATTTATGTGTGTGTGTGTGTGGTCCTGCAAATGACAGAGACAACCTAGATTAGAATGAGCAACGTAACTAACGCAAACGCAATATGTAAAAGAGAATAGCACACAAATAACCTTTAGCACACAGTAGTTAGCATCATAGCTCTTAGCAGCACTTAAACAAAGAAGCATACATTCAAATGTGCCTAAAATATACCTGCAATTCACTCAAAGTACCAGAGAGGGCCGTTCTTCGTCACACGAGGAATAAAACAAGAATTTCTATTGGAACATTTGTGAAAAAGGTGTTGTTATAGATTAGAGTGGTACAGGTTGCAGTACCACTTTTGGCCAGATTTTTACATACTGCTCCTTTAAACACCGTTTCGTTCACGCACGTACTATTAATGGCGCTCCAGACAGCCGTTTTGGATGTAATGTGTCCAAAATGCCCAGTTTATCTACAGTTATTGAATAATATTTTTTGCATAATGTATAATCTATAATAAGAGATTGATTATAGTTATATCTCCAACCATTAAAAATAGTCTTGCCTGTCTGGTTAATTATTCCATTCACAAAGCCTCCCACATGACATGTTCTATATGTAACATATGTGCCCCCAAAGTTCAATACAGATTATTTGAAAGGCATCCATTTTTCTTGAAATGGTTTTGAGCTGCCCATCTGAGATTATACTGTCTATGTATATATATTAGCTACATAATATTAAAGAATTATGAGGTACATTTTTTGGTTCATACATTTATTGTATTGCCGCTTCAATTAAGACGCATTGTACAGTTTAGTGTGGAGTGAGCCTAATACTAACTAATTATAAACAAACCTGGCATTGCGTCTTGTCTGCTCACCTGGCCTGACTAGGGATGAGAGTGTGAATTTACTGAAATGGCCTCTGATGAGGCTTAAATGACTTTGATGTTAGTGATGTTTTGCCATGTTTCAGTAGCCTAATATTGAAAATATGCACTAATTTTTCCGTTTTGTGATTTTGTTGCACAGGTTGGTTCTTCCATTAGCTCTCTGGTGTCTGACTGTCTTCTCCACCATGGCGCATCGCTCTCAGAGTTCATCCGTTGGTGATAACCCTTTAGATCCAAACTTCCTGCCTCCACACTATCGTGAAGAGTACCGCATTGCTATTGATGCGCTCATAGAAAATGACATACAGGTTAATTAACTATTGTTAACAGCCCACTTAATAATGTATTATATATTTAAAATCTATTTTTTTTCTCCTGTCAGGGCTATTTGGAGTTTCTTCAAAACACAGATGTTCCTAGTTTCTTGGCCGAACCAGAAATTCAACACATCAAGTGCACAAGCCAAGGTCCAAACCACAGCTCTAGTGTGACTGACTTAACATATCACGAAAGAGGGTTGGAGGATGAGGGTTCCTCCGACACATACTGGCCCATAGAGTCAGACTTGGCAGCCCCTGGCCTGGATTTGGGTTGGCCCCTTCCACAACACTGTTTCATTGGGCCAACAGAAGTCACAACTTTGGTCAACCCTTCAGACCCGGATATGCCAAGCATTAAGGAACAAGCCAGAAGACTCATCAAAACTGCACATCATGTATGTAATTACCAATATTAAAAGTACTTGTATTTATCTATGGATTCAATGGTCACGACACCCTCTCACCTGCCAGTGAACTGCAGATGAAAGATAAAAATATTCTCACATAACACTTGATAGAGGGATGATAGAGGGAAATCCCCACTTTTGACAGCAGCTAGACATGTATTTGTGCATATTAATAAATACATACATGATAATTTATCATATATAAAATTACCAAAATAATAAGTAATTCATTTTTGTTTTTGTTTTATCTCCTTTTTGTCTTTTCTAGGTGATTGCTGTCGTGATGGATATATTTACAGACATTGATTTATTTAGTGACCTTTTAGAAGCAGCAGCTCGACATGTTCCTGTTTATATTCTCCTTGATGAACAAGATGCGCCACATTTTGTCTCTATGGTTAATAACTGCAAAGTTAATTTGGATTTAATTCCTGTAAGTTTTGTTTTAATTACTGTAATTTGAATTGTACACCACTGCTATATGTGTTAAATACAATACTAAAACATTTGATCTATTATTTGTTTTAATAGATGGTGCGAGTCAGGACTGTTGCAGGGATACCATACTACTCTAGGACTGGAAAAAGCTTTAAAGGACAGGTTAAAGACCGCTTTTTACTGGTGGATTGTAGAGCTGTACTCAGTGGAAACTACAGGTATGTCTTATTTCTAATCTTGTTATTTCCAAAAAATCTGCTACTAATGCTGACTTTTGTTGCTTTACTTAGTTTCATGTGGTCCTATGAGAAGATTCACCGCAGTATTGCACACCTCTTTCTTGGGGAACTTGTAAAAACATTTGATGAAGAGTTTCGCATCTTGTTTGCTCAGTCAGAACCTTTAATTTTGGACTCATCAGATGCTGTTGCATTATCTGACTGTAGCAGTACTGGAAGCTACTTAAGCAGTCAATTTGGATTGAAAAGGAGTCAATCCTTAAGAAACCCCATAGGTTACCGCAGGCAACCTGAGCTTCCCCCTACATTTCCCTATGGAGACAGTGACCGTAACCTTGCAATTCCTTTCCGAAGGAATGACCCCTTTCGTCACACCATTGAACCTAGTGCAGGAATAACAATAGGGAAGTATTCACAGCAACAGTTTCGCCTGCAGCAGTCCTTTCTGGAACAAGGGAGGTCCATTGTTTCCAGGCAGGTGGAGATGGGAAGCAGCGTATTCAAGAGACACAGTTATGCAGAGGGAACCCAAGAAAACTACACGTCTTCCAGACAATTCATGAAACATAGAGTTATGAACAATTTGGATGAGACAGACTTTCACAGGTTGATATTCTTTATCCATATTATCTCATCATATTGTACTATATTGTATGGCTACGTTATCTACAATCTGTGTCTTTCAGGGAGCAGGTGGTTTCAAGTCAATTCTACAGTGAAGGTCCTGGGCCAGGTTCTAGCCAAGGACACTATGATAGACTTCGAGGGAGGCCTCCACAGCTAGCTATTGACCAACGCTCAACGTCAAGTTTACGCTCTGATGTAGATCCACAACCCACTACCCACAGTCAAGACTATTTTTCATCAGAGGATCTTGGAGGGCCTGATGGGTACAACGCACCACCTTTGGCAAGGAGATATGAAGGAAGTCAATCCAACAAAAGGCCGACCATAGGTCAAGCATATGCTTGTCAAAGCTCTCCAACAAATTTGCACCCACCAGAGAAAAAACAGTTCATGAAACAATCAGATCAGGATCAAGACCCAGATGCTAAGCAAGGCATGAGGAGTTGGAGAATTAATTCATATCTGAGCACTTATGAGGATGGTGGAGAAGAAGGAATAAATCAGCCAATGGGTCTTGATGCTTTTGAGGATCCTCCACCACCTCAACAACCCATGATAACTGAAACCTCAGGTTTTCGCTTTGGATATCAAGAACCAGTGAGCATTCCTGCCAAACCAGAAATTTCTAGGCCACGATATGGAAAACCAATCTTACCTGAGAGCACAAACGATTCTGGCAGAGCTAAGGATGTACTATCTTCTGTGAGTGAATTTAAGCCATTTCTTTTTGAAAGAACTAAAGAAATGGGATTGGATACTGAGGTGAAAGAAGCTCCAGAGCTTATGCTGTCAAAGCATGAATCTTTCCGTACCCGCATAAACCCACTTCTTCAACGTAGCTCCCGCCTGCGATCCTCACTTATATTTTCATCTTCAAAAGCAGAAATGCATGCTGGAAGCCTTGGTCTTAAGCCTGCAACAGAGCAGGATGAAGAATTGGACACCGTGCGCACCTCCTCAATTGTAGCACAAATTTTAGAAAAGAGAAGAAATCGAGAGCCTTTTGAGTGGAGAAAGAAAATGGACGAGACAGAACCTAATAAAGAGATTGAGAGTAAAGAAAAACAATTAAAAACCAAGGAAAATGCACATGAAAATTCACTTTCAACACAGGAAAAACTAAAAGATGATATTTCTCAGCCTATAGGAGAGGCAGAGATGACAACGACAGAGACTGAAACCACTGCGGATGGTTACAAACCACAGAAATCATCATTTTTGAATATGAATGACCCAGCCAGTCGCCTTCAATATTTCAATGATTTGGCTGCTAAGAGAAAAGTTTCAAAAATGGGCACTGAATCATCCTTAAAAGTTCCAGAGCTGGCCGAAGAAAAGCCACACATTGCAGAAAAACCGTTCCCTTCTAAAACAACATTAAATACCCCTACCCCTTTTGTTCAAGCAACAGAAGCCGAACCAAAGAAGCTTGACATATCTGCAAGACTTGCCGAGTTGACACGTAGGCCTTCCTTTAGCTCGTCAAAACCACCAATAATCTCTGCCAAACCACCAAGTTACCAAAAACACACAGATACACCAGATGCATCCAAAGAGGACAGTTCAGAGGGTTTAAAGAAAGACATTTTTAAATCTCTAAAACCTCTTCCTTCACCAAAATTATTCAAGAGAGATCAATTGAAACTTAAAGGTTTGAATCCTCGTCGTATCTCAGCTGGTGAGGAGATCCTTACAACTGATGCGACAGATGCTGAAAAAAGTGAACTGAAGAAGATACGCTCTCATAGTTCTTCAACTCTACCTCGTGATGAATCAAAAGATGGACTCAAAAAAGTGATGGGATCTCATACATCAATTAATACTCTTGGGGAAGGAAAGGGTGAAGGCAAACCACTTGATTTCCTTAAAAAACAGACTCAGCGACTAAAAGGCATTTTAGGAACCAAAGATAAAGACAAGAAATGTACCGTAAATGAGAAAAATATTACTACAGTACAACAAATAATGGACCCAGGAAAAAAGACGAGCACAGACTCAACCTCAAAAAATGCTACTGCTGCTACTGATCGAACCACAAGCAGTTATAAGTCTAATGCTAGTCTCACAGGTCCTTCAAGATACCAGGCAACTGGCAGCTCTGTTCTTTCTAGTAGCAATCTACGCGATGACACTAAAGTCATTTTAGAGCAGATTTCAGCTAATAGCCAAAAGAATAGGCAGGAGAGGGGGGAAGAATCTGGAGGAGACAGCGACAGTGCAGACAAAGGACAGGAGAAAACGGGTTCCTTAAGACGAAACCTTTTTTTGAGACCCCACAGCAGCAACCAGGAGCGGGAAGGCTTGCTCAAAAGAATTGAAAGCATGAGGAAGGAGAAGAAAGTCTACAGCCGCTTTGAGGTAATCTACCACATCAAAAACAATATTTTGAACTTGGAAGGGAAAGAGATTATTAAGAAAAACCTTTTTATACTTTACAATGTTAATCAGGACATAATATGTTTAGGATGTTTGCTTTATATCTATGAAGACAAATCATTTATCATATTATAGAAAACTGAAAAGGTTTTTAAAATGTATGGAAAGATTATAGTTATATTTATTGCTTATGTTCTGAAAGTCTGTCAGTACAAAAACATTGCCATCTCACCAGTGTTTCTGTTGTGCTTTTAACAGATGGGGAATAGCCTTGGATAACGAGAGCCGGAAGAGCGCCCTCTTGTTTGGGAAGTATTTATGCAAGATGATCAAAATGATGTTTTTGTGCCAACGACGATCTCGCTGTACCTCTGTGGCTTGGAATCCACCCATGGTTATTTATAAAAGTACGCTTGAATAGACGTTTAAAAATGTGTGCTTAATGTACTTGTTTGTACTTTTCCCTTATATGGCAAACAAACGGCCAAAACAATAAGTGCAATTTCTGCCCAGATAAACATTTGCAAGATCACAGGATTAATAAATGAAGGTAAATATGTGCAATTGTGCATGTATGAGCCCCAATATGTCACTTTTTACACCCAAGGTTTTATTATTATATTTACTTTTATAATATACTTTTCTATTATTGTACAAAGACAATAAAAACTAACGTTGACGTGAGAGGGCTTGAACTCTCAGGTGTAAGGAAGGCATCACTCCACCAACTTGTTTCCTTGTGATTGTCCCACAAATTATTACCTTCCTGATGAGAAAATGTTAATTCCACGAAATCGTCATCATCACAGGCCAGCCTCAGAAAGTTACATACTGTTGCTTTAAAACCATGCATCGATGATTATATGTAAATATGTAAATAAATCAGTGATAGATGTTTTTAATGACTGAAAATGTGCCAGCATTCTCTTTTTAAAAATGAAAAGCCTTTAAATGCTTGAAAAGGAACAAAGAAAAAAGAAACAAATGATATGTCGACAGTGCGACAGTGGCTCAGTTGGTAGAGCATTGGCCTTTGAGCCTGAAGGTTGTGGGTTCGAGCCCACCACAAGACCTACTCCATGACTCCCACTGGTGACTGCTGTCGTTGTGTCCTTGGGCAAGACACTTAACCCCACTTTGCCTGAAGCCCCTGCTGAAAGATCTCAGCTCCTGTGGACTCACCACCTGCAGGAGGATCAGTGAGGGGCTGGTGCTATGTGTACTGGTGCAGCTCTGACTGCCACCCCCCCGACCCAGAAATGGATTAAGGGGAAGAAAATGGATGGATGGATGATATAAGTCTTTTTCTATGGATGGTTTCTTTAGATTTGAATATGATTCTGCCATTCCTGTGCTTACAAACTGCAGTATTGTGTTTGACAGTGGATGCTTTTGTGTGGTTATTTTCTTTGAGGAATGTGTTCATTTAAAAATGACCTTATATTTTAAGGGTAAGCATAATGTAAGGAACATAATGCCAAGAATGTCATCCCCTTCTTTGTTGTACATGTTATTCTGTATAGAGAATATTATCAAATAAGATATTTTTGTGGCTCAGTACAAAATACATTTTGTGACTCATTGCAAGTGCTTTATTTTAAATTCTTATTCTTCAATCTAATGACTGGATAGAATTTAGTTAGATACATTTTAAATGTAATTAAATATACATTTTAAATTAAGAACTTCACATGTATTGACGTCTATCCAATGGTATTTGAACAAGTAATTTGTGTTAATATTTTGACGAGCAGTCTACTCTGGTACAGCAACAGGTGAGGTGCCTTGCTTGTCCTGCTTCCACTTTTCAATTTTTTCCTCCAGTGAGTTTATTTGTGTTATCTTGAGCTTCTCTTGAGTCATAAAAACAATACAATATGAAGTGCAGAAATATATGTGACTGAAGAAGGGACTACTTATTAGCAATACTTACCAGCTGTTAAAAGCTGACCTTTTGTATTTACAGCACTGTCAATTTCACCTGGAAGTTTTTCTGGAATCTGTTTCAAGGAAATGGCAGACAATTAATAAAGGCACATTAATGTTATGTTTTAATATGATATTAATATTCTATGTAATTTATATAATGAACACATACAAAAACAGAATACAAGTTCTTTTGCTGCTCTATCAGCTGACACAAATGGTTTTCAAATTTCATTCTGCAAGAATAGAAAATAGTTATTTGTCAGGGTTTATTTGTGTAATATATGTAAAGAGATACACATGTGATCTCGGTATTACTGTAATCTATTTATAATTTTTTTAAAGTATAATTAAATTAATAATTTCAGCCTTTACAGGTATTCGTTCAGATTTACCGTAGCTTCCGATGTTTCAACTTTACGGCCTGAATCTCACAATTGTATTGCTCCGACAGATCCTCAGTTGATTTATTATGTTTCAGTTGCCTAAAAATGTAACAAAATGTGAACAATAAGGCACTTTCTTAAAGCCATCTAATCTACAAGAAGACACTCAACAACAAGATGTGTACGACTTGAAGCTGACCTGGCCAATTCCTGATCCGACTCTTCACACAAATAATGCAACTTCTGGGACAACTCTACAACAAATCATTAGGTAAAAACTAACTATATTCTAATTGAGACTTCAAACCTGAAAGAACAAACACACCTTCTTTTTCTTTATGTGTTATCTCCAGTTGGAAAGCCTCTTTTTGCACTGCAATGACAATGTTATCAAAATACACTAATGCAGAACTGACATAGCAGTATCGAGTTGTCTTAATAATGTGAGAGCATTTTCCTTACAAGTTTCCAGTTCCTTCTGCAGAGATTCGCTGACAGAATGCATCTTTTGGGTTTCTTCTTCTAAGATTCTTTTATCTTAACACAGTACAAGAGCTTACATTAGTGTATATTTAACAATATTTTTGTTAAACCTCTCAGTTGGAACAACAAAGCTGACTGAAATACTGCTGAAAGGTTACCACCATGAGTCAGGGTACTACCTGTACAGATCACTGCAGCTTTGACTGGTAATGACAATTACATCAGCAAGGTACATCCTTACCTGTTACTAAAGTAGCAGAATATGATGAATGGATTATAATGATATATGATTAATATATCCCACTCACACAAAGAACTACAACACTTTGTGAGAGCCATTCTGAAATTAAATATTGAAATGCTGGTAAAAAAATAATCTTTTGCAAAAAAGAAGAATCTATGTTACATTAATTAATTAACATTAGAGGGTTAGTGTTAGGAAACATAAATGTCTAAAAAGTAGTGATGGCAATATGAAGCCCCATGAAGCCTTGAGGGTTTGCAGCCTATTACTCGGCCCATGAGTTGAAGGCTCGAGGTGAATCATGCTCCACTACGCCATCATGTGGACAAAGAAATACATAATACTCTTAAGTGCTTACTGGTGAGATCTAATGTTAAAATGTATATTTACAATCTATGGTCTAACGTGTTGTGTTTGAAATGATGCTTCATGAACTATGAACTATTTGAGTCTTTCAGTCAATTGTGTTGATACAACAAACACATCCAAAGTAATACAGTTCTACAGAAAGTGATTAATGGAGGACAAACTACCAAGAGGTGGATTAATTAAACACAACAAACCATTTATTCCCAATAAATAAATACATTTACTTTGCAACACAAAAGTTATTATGGGTAGACCGGGACTCAAACGATATATCTTCTGCTTCGGAGTCCGTCATATACCGACTGTGCCACACAGCTGTTGTGAGATGTATTATCCAGCGTATTATTAGTACTAACTTGAAGCCTTGATATATGAGGTTTTACTAAAGTGAAACGTTTTTAATTGTATTTCATATGAAGTAGTTTCTCTATACTTAGTACAGGACTGCTCCACATCACGCACACACACGTACGCACACAGAGGCAGACGGGGACAGCCAATACAGTCTATGGTACAGCCGCGGATCACAAAGCACCTGTCAAAGCAATGCACTCTCCGAACTATATGAAGCACTATATGAACCGTCACGTGGTGCGGCCGCTACGCGAGGCTTCGAACGTCACAACATACGTCACCAACACACGCCTCGAACCACGCTTCAAAAAATACGCCCCTTTTTTACTCGGTACACGCTTCGAAGACCCGGCACGCTCAGCACATCACTACTAAAAAGGTATAACAGAAGGATTTTCCAGAATTTTAGGAAAGAACAACCCTCTCCAGTGGGAACTGTTGGCGTTGCTCACACAAGATCACTTTCCAAGAAGATTTGCAATTTTTCCATTATGTCAGACAATATAGGCGTAAATAACTTTTACTGGAAGTGATTTGAAATGGATTTCTCCAAATAGAATACCCAACTTCACCTGTTGAGTAGAAACTTTGTGAATAAAGCATCAGTGAGAGCAAAAACCGCGTCACTGCGATTTAAAACTAAATTTACAGTCTACAAGTGTCATTTAAAGCATAAGAATAGAAAATAATTCCCCGGTTTTGAAGAACTTTTATAAGAAGTATTTATAAAGATTTGATCACTATTGCATAGCTGTATAGAAGAGGCTCACATAGTATAACACCTTTTGTGCTTATGTTTGTTGCCACAGGTAATTGTTGCTAAAACAGGAGAAATTCTCACAAAAAATTTAACCGCCTCAGTCCAGCCAATTTGGGGAAACTTAAAAAAAAATCTATGAATTATCTTAATTCTTGAATTCTACATGGATTTCTTATATTGTGTTTCATGGTGGCCCTAACACATGTTATGAAGTACATTTGTGTAAATGATAGTGCTGTAATGGAAATTATTGTTGCCCCTGGATGGAGTAAAATAAGCATTATAAAGAACTGGTACCAGCACAATCAGATGTAAGAGAGAGACTCATGTGAACCTCACTTCTTGGACACACACTTCAATATCTATATAAATCATTGTTGTTAACAAAGATGGATCAGAATGGTTCTAACAGAGTGTTGCGGTTCTCTGAAAGAGGGAGATATTAATCATATCTCATATAACTCCATTCATCATGATCTGATACTCCCGGAGGAGTAACAGGTAAGGATGTACCTCACTGAAGATGCCAAACTGACGTCATTGCAAATGCAATGATGTAGGGGCACACGAGACTCACTCATGGCTGCACTGTTTAGGACAGGGCAAAAGATTTATCATCAGCGACGATCAATTTTGCCAGTAAATCAAAAGTAAGGTATTTCCATAAGCACCATCCTAGTCTCTACTAGCTATTTAGCTAATTCCTTTATCTAATGGACAGCGAGGCAAAAACCCGGAAACATATTTGCATACGCGCCTTTCATTGGCTGACATAAACAACACATGGCTTATTGTGTCAAAAATAGATCTATTTTGAATTTGGGGAAATTCAAACAATACTGCAATAAATATATGATCTGTTACTCGACTTTTGATAAAGGTTCGTGTGTATGAATGTCTGACCTCCGAGCAAACGCGGAATAAACAAAGAGCCACTGGTGAGCAAGATGCTACTGTGCGCGCTTGGTCCACGTTGCCTCGTGACCAAAAGGTTGTTTCAATGGAATACAAGCATATCCTCATTCAATTCAATTACCACTGACTCAATGCGCTCTGTTCTTCTTCTCCAGTGTTGGAGAGAATACAAAAATAACAAAAACTCCTAAATGCAAATACAAACCATACAAACATGCACGAATGTCTCCAATATGAATATCGAGCATTATGCACAGTATGATCTAATAAGTATTTTCTGAAACATGAAAAAATAAAGTTGTGAGCACAATGCGTGGACTTTGATGTTGTCATTGGGATTTTTGGTTTGTTGATGGTTTACAGGCCTCATGTGTTATGAGAATGTTAAATAAGGTTATCTAGTAGTACCTTGTTGAAGCTTCTTCAGTTTAGCCAGCAGCTGCTCAACTTTAGGTTCACAAATTTCCATTCCTGATTAGATATATAAAAATAGATACGTATCGTGTCAAGTGTTACAAAAGACAGCTTACATGCTATACCTAGTATAGTTGTTAATAGTAGTAACCCACTATTAACAAGTAACAAGCTAGCAAATAACCAGCTAACATTTAAGATAACTATGGTGTCACTGACCTTTGGCAGCTGGGCATAGAACGTCTGCAATGTTTAACGATAATCCTGTTCAGAGAATACAGTGACTATCGAGAAATTGTATTTATTAAACTACATTTATATAATAATCTCAGTTATAATAGTTTTAACTTAGCTAGCGTTAAGAAGTTTGTAACATGCTTGTAATTACTGGAGTGGTAGCTAAAGTATAGCATTAGCATGAACTAACATTAGCTAGCTAATGTATTCAGCTAAAACATTTACCATACTGATCTTATCTATGTAACTAAATAAAATATATAACTTCTCACCTGTCATTTTAGCAACGGTTCAAGATTGTGAACGAAAGCAAATGACCTTAAAGGTTGGCTCAGCTCCTTCAACGGCAGAAGGTTGTTGGCGCCAAACGTGGCCTGGGGGTTAACGTTTCGGACATTCACAAATATACATGATATTCATGTGAAGCAGCTTTAATCTGACTCTGGGATAGTTTATAACATTTTTTTTTATTACTCTCTCATTCTCTGACATTATAATTATTAGCCCATATTATCTGTATCAGCGTATTAATAACACTTGCACTTTTATTTTATGCTGTGGTTGATGAAAGCACCCACTTCATGGGTTGATACCATAGACTGTATATATTGTTGATACGTCATGAACTATTTTATCATAAGTAAAAAAAAAACATTATTTTTTTCATGACCTTGTTTTTTTAATGAAAAGAAATCAGTGGTACAGAGGAGAACAGCCCCAACTTAACAGTGCAAATATACAATGCAAACAATATTCAAGCTATACACATCAAATCACTACAATTCTGAAATGCACATAGTATTATGCCAGCATGTAAGTTTGAAAATTTATGTTTCTACCAGCCCTATTTGCTATGACATGGGCTTTCCATTACTTTGAAGCCAAACACACATTCCAACTGTTTCAAACCAATCAGTGTTTTAGTCATGAATCTATAATGATAACGGTTTTAGTATGCAATACTTGTACTGCTAGGGAAGTAATAACACTCCAAATAAGAGTAAAGCAGGGCTGGTGGAAACTGGGCTGTAGGGTTGTTTCAATGGAGAAAATCTGAATAATGTGCATCTGAAGCACATGCAGATAGAGCAGGACCATGCAAGTGTAAATACAATAATAATAATTCAAATAGTTTCACAAGTGTTTAATTTGTTTTAGAAGAAACTCTGCGAGATGTGCCCATTGTCCAGAGTCCACCAAAAACAGTGAATAGTTGAAATGTAAAAATGCCAGCCCGTTAGCTACAAACTTTATTAATTCACATCTCTGCCTTTTCCTTCACAGTATCAAAACACAATCAAAAGTTGGCCAAAGTTCACTAACACCAGTATATAACATTAAGTGCAGACAAATACAGCACATAAGATTTCAGATACTGACCTGACCAAAAGGAAACACAATTTAATAATAATCAAAAAGCATCACACTTTTCTACATCCTTAGGAAATAAATACTTATCATTTTATTATCAACATAGTCATAATAAATGGGAGAGTGCATTTCCCACTAAAGCAAAACATCAAAAGAGTTACTTCTACATGCCACAGCCGGGAGGAAGAGGCATTACACTGACAACTATATACAGCCATTTCAGCAAGTTACCTGGCAGATAATAGAATCAAGTGTTTCCATTATTGCCATGCAGATCATTTCTCACGCAAGTAGGTGAAAGAAATCCAGTGTGTAAAATATAAAGCTTCTTCATTTTTCCTGTTAGTTGTGGGAATGCATATTTACCTAAAGAAAGGCAGAAAAATATAGTCTTGTTTGTTCTTAAAAGCAAAGACAACGGGGGCATACTTGTAAGAGTGTTAAAAGCTGTTCTATACAACTTAACACTTTGTTTAAACAAGGAAGTGTCATTCCCTGGTCAAAGAAAACCTTTGACCAGGGAATGACAAGCAACAAGTGGATGTGTTATGAGAACGGACACGTTTCCCTCTTCTTTCATCAAGTTGTTGCTTATTCACGGGAACGTCCCACAATGGCCAAGGTGTAGAGGAAAATGTTGACAATGTCAGTGTAGAGGTTAAGAGCAGCAAAGATGTACTCCTCTGGGCTCAAGGCGAGCTTCTTGTTCCCCAAAAGCATCTGAGTGTCCACGGCCAAGAACTAGTAGAAAAAAAAGGTTAGAAGAGTTTTTGAGTATTACTCTGTTAGATATAATTTTGGTAGTGATAACTTACGCAGGTGAAGACCAGAGCCCCCAGTGAGGCATAGACAATGTGCAATATCTTGTGACGTATGAAGATACAGAGTAAACCAAAAACCATCAGGACTATCAGGCACACAAACAGCACACCCCGACAGGAAGTGAAGTCATATTTGCTCTGAATTTAGAGAAAAAGAAAGAAAACAATTACATACTTGAACTAGAATGTAGAACATTGTACATTTTTATCCAATAGATAACTGAAAATGTATAGTTGCATGGCACTGGTAATCAATAACAGAAAACGATAGTTCATTTCAAATTATTTATGCATAATTAACAATCACAATGTGAAGTCATAGTTGTCCCATTGTGCAACCCAACTTAATAGTCCATGATTAGCTACCCAATGAAAACAGAACAACTGACCTGTAGGGAGAAGAGGACAACAGTGAAGCAGACCACAGCCGTGATGCCCACTGCAATAATGACAGTCTCTGTGTCATAAAAGCTTGCGATCATTCCCACCATATAGGACAGGCTCAGGGTCAAGATCGACTGTGGAAAAGTGTAAATTATCATTAATAAAAGAACTAATCATACCAAAACATTCTAAAATAAGTTATTTATTATTACCAGTGCAACCAAGTTCCAAGGATGTTTGCGGCGGAAATCTCCACAGCAACTCAGGGCAATTAAAGTCACAAAAAAAACTGCATAAGATATATAGTATGTCCATGGATTACGGCGGACAAAGTACTTGGCGTCATCGACAAAAGTGAACACAGCCACAAAAGAGAAGGTGACCGTCAGCTGTACGGTAAGTACCAAGAAGACCTGATACAAACACAAGACTTGTTATTGTTGTTATTTCTGTTTATTATTTTGTTTACTAAATCTTTCAGATTTACAACTCTTGTACTCTCTAAATCTCAAAATATACCTTTCTGATGAAGGCCCGTCGAATGGTTTTATCTTCAAAGCCAGAATTGGTGAATTCATCGTTGTCATAGTAAGATGGTGGTCCATCACCATAGCCTGGGCTACCCATAGCTGAAAAAGATAAATATCACAATTGTTGAGTATTTTCTTTTCTTCTGGAGTGGACAAAGTGTAATAAGAGTCACCATCTTGGCATTAATACTTGGTCCTGGTATTATTATCTTAATAACTCCACTGCCATTCCCATTAGCAAGAGTTTGATTGTCAGTGCGGACTTCCAAATATGGAGTCTGGGCTCAGATTTGCTGCTTATTGATTAACCTTCCAACTGACCTTAGTCTGTAGTGACAATATGCGCAACATGTTACAGTACATTAAAGAAAAAGTAGAGTTAGTAGAAAGAAAATAATAGGCTCTAGAGCCACTTGAACTTAATTTATGCTGAGTGAGAGTAAAGTGAACAGACACTTTAGTGAATAACCGGTGCTTGCTTATATTGAGGGCACGTGATGCAGCGGCTGTAGTGATGTGGGAAACTGCAGGGATGGATCCACGGGCTGGATAGAAACTTTAAACAGTCCTATGTGGCTTGTGGGCTGCATATTGCCCAAATGGACTCAAGATACAGTATGTCTAGGTAAAAGACACATCACTTACCATTGGGGTCGACACCAAAGCCTGGCTGTGCCGGTCCTTGCTGATAAGGCCCCTGTGGGTAGGGCATCTGAGGATAAGGCATCTGTGGGTAGGGACCAGGGGCAAATCCAGGAGCAGCCTGTCCAATCCCTGGCTTCCCATAACCAGCTGCTGGGGGGTATGGACCTGGGGGTTGGTTGTAGTTTGGAGGGGGCACACCAAAGCCCGGCTGAGGAGGTGGACCATAGACATTATTATGGAGTGGGTTGGTCTCACCCATTATTGGGTATCCACTCTTGTCCTGGGACATGATGTGAAGAAATCCTTATTCACCACCAATAATAATCTATAAAAGAATAAGAAATAGAAATGATTGAGTAAATGACACATAAAAATGGCAAACAAAATGTTTTGTGTTTTGGAAACAGTTTTAAGATTATTTCACACTAGTGCAGTGGTGGGCAAACCCCGGCCCATGGGCCAAATGCGGCCCTTTGGATGCTTCTATCAGGCCCCTGAGCTCGCCTCAATTTATATAGATTAAGATCAAGAGAGATTAGGATTAAGAACATTTATTCATCCCACAGTGGGGTAATTTCAGTTTAAATATCATACAATACCCCTCTGTGCTGTGTGCAGAGCTATTTTTTTCATATAAACCATTTATGTTTTAAAATGAAGCCTTAGAAAAACATTGAAATATCAGACGGCTGTAGAGATCCGGACTTAATTTCCAATGTGGCCCTCAGGAGGAAAAGTTTGCCCATGTCTGCACTAGTGTGTCCAATTAATTAGGTTTACATGCGTTTGGACATCTGCAACAGACAGTCAACACTTTTGGGACAAATGGGCAGGAGGACAAACTTATTATTGTGGGTGTCTGCTTTTACCCTGAGCTATTCACATTTTACATTCTAAACACTACCATGTGGAAGTACCGTATGTCTGATAAGGCAAGGCAAGTTTATTTGAATAGCACAATTCATACACAAGGCAATTCAAAGTGCTGAACAAAACAAGAAAGCATTAAAATCATAAATAATCACAGTACATTAAAAAGATAAAAATATAAAATCCCACAGTTGTATGCACAGCTAAACAGAACTGTTTTAACCTGGTTTTAAACATTGTCATAGAGGAGGCCTGTCTCACATCTTCAGGAAGACTGTTCCAGATTATAGCGGCATGAATCTGAAAAGCAGCCTCCCCATGTTTAGTCCTGACTCTGGGCACTAAGAGGAGTCCAGTCCCTGTGCTCCTCAGAGTCCGCGCTGGTTCATATGGGACTAACATGTCACTAATATATTTTGGTGCGAGGCCATGGAGAGACTTGTACACAAGCAGAGCTGTTTTAAAGTCTATTCTCTGAGCCACAGGAAGCCAGTGCAGAGACCTGAGGACTGGACTAATGTGGTCATACTTCCTGGTTCTAGTCAGGACTCGAGCTGCTGCATTTTGAATGTACTGCAGCCGTTTTACAGCCTGTTTGGACAGACCTGTGAGCAGGCCATTGCAGTAGTCTAACCTACTGGAGACAAAAGAATGGATAAGAATCTCCAGGTCTGCTTTAGACACTGTTTTTGATCCTGGCAACCTGGTTACTGATTTAATGTGGCTATTAAAATTTAAGTCTGAGTCCAGTATTACCCCTAGATTTCTGACCTTGTTTGAAGGTTTTAGGGAGAGAAACTGTAGGTGACAGATAACTCTTTCTTTGTTTCTGGGGACCAAAGACAATGATTTCAGTTTGATAAGCGGTATGTCTGATCAGTATCAGACAGATATTTTAAAAAACAGCTGATATGTTTCGATCAGTTTAGTGAGAACTGAATCATAAGCACTGATCTGATATTTTGTTTAATCCAATAAAAGGTGAAACTTATCAGTTGCACTTCAAAGAGAAACTGACAAAAAACAGATCTGATGCACTCCAATATACAGTCATCCCTACAAACACATAGTACTCTATGATAAGTCACAATGGAAACATGTGTTTTCATGTGACACTGTACTGACGAGGTAAGATAACAGTTTATTGATCTCACAATGGCGAAACTAACATGGTACATTTGGCTTAAAAAAGATCTCTTCAATAAAGATGTGCAAAAAGACAGAAAAGGAGCAAAAAGTAAAAAGGATATAAGGTATCTTATGTTTACATTTAGTGTGACAAGTGACTACTCATTATATGATCTAGTATTTGTGTGACAATCACAAGTAATACATTTATGTTTGAGAGAATTTCAAGCATTAAGTTTGGAAGATCGCTCAGGACAGCAGCCCTAGTGCTGTGGATAAACTCTGCTGCCACTGCATCTGCTGATAGTCATCACTCAGAGGAGAATTAGGTTAGTGCTGGAGACAGTCACAGAACCATGTTAACACAATTAGACCAGTACAATGCCTTGAAAAACCCATGTTAAACATAGGGCATGCATGACTGCAACAGGAAATACACCAAGCTCACAGCTATTCAAAGGTCACATGAAACGTGTGCTGGGCCCCAGGCAGCACAGAGCGGGACAGGAGCAGACTGAACAGGCTGGTCAGGAGGGCCAGCTCCACTCCAGGACTATAGAGGAGCTGAGAAGTTCCTTCAGTGGAAGACTGAGACTGGGCCTTTATCCCCACCGCCGTCAGACTGTACAACAAGTCACTTTAAGTCACTGTATTAGGACTGAAAAACCTGCACTACTATTGACACTGTTTCTGAAGCCACTTTTTAAATCAACACTTTTTTATAGTACATAATATCCTGCATTTAACATGTTTGCACATTTCTTTCTTTTTGTACAATCTTGAGTGTTTCTATCCATGCCAGAGGTGACATGTAAATTTATCCTTTGTGAGATCAATAAAGTATATCTTATCTTAAAACACAGGCACAATGAAAAGAAGTGGCAGTTACATCCAAAATTAAAATACTAATCTGCAATTTGTGCTCAAACATGAAAATACATTCTCGAAGTATGGCCGTGTTTAAATATTTCGGCTTCCAAAGTAAAAAAAGTTCCCATAAAATGTACACATTTTATTTATTTTGGGCCAAAATGTTTACTTGTCATGCTTCTGAAACACTAGAGAAACAACAGCATCTCAATATAAAAAAAAAAAAAAAAAAAATCGCAGTAACCCCATTATAGTTTAGTATGATTTTGTGATCCATATCTATTGCCAGATACAAGGCAATGCACACCCCCAAATACCATCACTGGACATTTTGGGTATTGCTGGGCTATAAAAGTTTTTTAAATTAAACTGTTGTACTATATGAGGATAAAAATGTGGGAACTATAGAAGAAGCACAAGAACCATCAGTTTGAGAAACACATAATAATTCATAAATTACATTGATTTATTGTCAAATAAATGATGGACTCAATATTTATCAACTGTAAATTTTCTTTGCAATAAAAATATTTGCCAATTTCTTTGTAATAGAATACAATAAGAACAAACCAAAAAGTATGGTTTCACCGATGCAATACTGGTATTGAACATTGGTACTGAATAAGGAAATGTTGTTGTATCGGTTGTCGTGTCGGTTCTATAATAGCCTTTCAGAAGTGCACCTCCTCCACCTTCTCCTTCTCCACCGACTCCCACTGATGACTGCTGTCATTGTGTCCTTGGGCAAGACACTTAACCCCACTTTGCCCAAAAGCCCCCACTGAAAGATCAAGGCTGTGCTCACACTCAGAGAGCAGCCGTCCTCCTGTGGACTCACCACCTGCAGAGGGTCAGTGAGGGGCTGGTGCTGTGAGACTTGGGTGGCATCTCTGATTGCCACCCCCCTGACCCAGAAATGGATTAAAGGGAAGAAAATGGATGGATGGATGGATGGATGGCCAACAATAGCCATGCTCGGGTTATTCTTAAACTCAGGCAGTGTGTCGTATTGTACTCAGTGTAAAACTCAAACTCCGTGTAATGTAATCTGTACTGTACTGTCAAACCAGTACAGTACAGATTCTGTACTGTTTCTTTGATTGACACTTTTATTGTAATATATATATATATATATATATATATATCCTGCATTTAACATGTTTGCCCATTTCTTTCTTTTGCACAACCTTGAGTGATTCTATCCATGCCAGATGTGACATGTAAATTTCTCCAGCGTGAGATCAATAAAGTCTATCTTATCTTATTCTACATAAACTATGAGATTTCAGCAGCTCACTGATCAATCACTGCCATTAGAAAAGTTTATTATGATGAACAGGGCCAGTGGAACACCTATGGCCAAATATAAGCCTTTATGGACAGTGGTCATTATGGATCAATGGCTCTAAAGTGATTTTTTATTATTTGATTTATTATTCCTGTATTCTAATTGTTTGATTCCCTCATTTGTTGGGCAATTTAAAATTGTGTTCTGACAACAGATAACTTCTGTTGTCATGTAAGGGATAGACAAAAATAAATAAAACATTAAACACATATACACATATTTAATTTAACTGGGGAAGGATGCTGTTTTTGTAACGTTTCTTCAGATACTATTATAAAGAGTATTACTACAATTATTTACTGACATACTTGAATAAACCCAACGCACTTCAAGTTCACATAAACTGGTTTAAGATTTTCTTCATTAAGTGTAATTCTAATTTCATAGAGGACTTGGTGTTTGGTGTGTATTTGCTCAAGGATGCGTTGTCAAAGCTGCTTGCAGCAGCATTAGTTAATAAAAGTATTGTGTTATTAATGTATTAGCAAAGTGTAATTGGAATGTTGTTTAAATTGTGGCAACATATATTGTATACTGAACTGATATAGATTAATCTCAAGCTCAAGGAAGTCTGGAGGGCTCGTATGTTAAATACCAAGAGGAAGCCGGCTTTTGAACATGCTAATAAGGAAGGTCTTGTCATTGTTCTTTGTTGTGTTGGTTCTTCCTGTCCTATCTGCATAAGAAGGTGTGTATTGTACAATCAAAAGAGTTTGCAGCCTTGACTTACTAGACTTGACCAGATCGTACTTAAAGCCTAGCGTACATCGGACTGGCAACTGATTATATCCGTCGCCTCTGAGTTGCTGCCCCGCACACATCGACAATCTGGCGAAAACGGGCAACTCTGAGTCGCAGGCCAGTCTCTTGAATAACAGCGCGTACATCGACAGCAACTGGCCTCAACTACAGTGTGTTTTCTGACAACAAACTGTTGCGGGCTCGCAATACACGCAATACACACACGTTGTTGGAGCGGCGCATGGAGCGCGCACATCGGGGCAACTGAGGACAACTAGTTGCCGAAAAGTAGAACACGGGCAACTGACTGGAACTGGAGACCGACTGATCATCTCCAGTTGTAAGAGCGCGCACATCGACCGATTTCGGCAACTGATCATCTCCCACCATCTCCTCTCAGTTGCCAAAAGCCGCCTTGCAACTAGTTGTCCCCAGTTTCTCTGTCGATGTACGCTAGGCTTAAGAAAGACCAGATCACTTCTCCTTAAAAGGAAACCAAGATTAAAAATGCCGGAACGATGTTTTTTGTGTATGTTTTTGTCAGGCAGGACTGTGGTTAAAACATGGGTTAAAACAGCATTAACACAAAGCAAAAGAGGATATAGAGTAAGGCCCTGTTTATACTGAGATGCTGCGCAGACGTTTCCAGGCTATTAACAGAAACGACCTGGCTCCTAATGCAAATTTCTCTGCGTTCACATGAGGTTGAAAAACGATGTAGTTCTAGCGCCCGGCCAGTAGTGGGCAGAGAAACTTTACAACACTCACACAGCCCCCAGCCCCGTGCCCCCCCCCTCCCTCGGCAGTGTACTCACTTCCTGTGCCAGACCCTCAGAACGCACCAACATCATTCTGCCTTTTAACAGCAGCTGTGAAAATGGAAACTGAACCTAGAGCTTCGCGTGGTCTTGTTTGGACGAACGAAGGAGTAGAGTTATCCTCTGTCCCGCGCTGGAAGCCCACGAAGCTAGTTAGTGTGACCGCCGCCATTGTTGTTGATGTTTGTTCTCCGCTACTGCGCATGTCCAAATTTAAGTGCGGGGAGCAGCGCGGAGGCGGGGGTCAGAGCAGAGGGGGATTTCACACCTTTTCCCCTCTCGCGGGTGTGAAAGAGCTCCCCGCTGTGCAGCATTTCTGAGTTGTCCCACTCTGCAGGCTGGATCTGAACACTTACGTTTTCACCCCCCTGGAACACAGTCTTCGTATGAACGGTTGGTAGCAACCGACATCCAACTATACCGTTTTACTGCCACATTGTCTCCGTGTAAACTCAGCCTAAATATTAACTATTTGGTGAAGGTCTACAACAGGGGTGTCAAAGTCATTTTGGTTGGGGAAATCCTCCGTCATATCTTTGAGAAGAAATGTAATTGAAGACTCGTAAAAAAACATAACAATACTAACTTCTAATTACATGTTGGCTTAACATTTCTTATGGAATTAAAAGTTATGGTATTTTTCTTGAGAAAATTTGTAATGGATAACATGCCATTGTCGCCTATTTCCATCAATGCTGCTATTTAATGTAATAATTTAAATTCATCTCAGAGGCCACTGGAAATGGTCTCGCGGCCCGGATCTGGCCCCCGGGCCTTGACTTTGACACCTGTGGTCTACAAGAAAACGCTGTCACAAAAAAGGGACATGATAGAGCCATCCGCCTTCATACACAATGTGGGTCTGCGAAGAGAAACTAACACAGAGCCTTTTTATTTCTATTGGTCGAAATAAATGTATCAAAGGAGGCTCCCCTTCTTGCCCTGATATTCGATCATTAAAGCCCTTGCCTGGCCTGCCAGACACTCCTCCTTTCTGTTCAAAAGAAGAACCGTCTGGACACCTCTTCCTAGCCTATCATTTCACGATTTTACCCACATCGGTCCAATCACGCACCGAGAGGCGGGACTTCCTTTCACCTTTGAGTTGCTAATAACTCCTCGTATCTTTAAGTTTTTGTTACAAAATCGACAGCAGTCGTTTACATTTGCACTAGCTGACATGCCGCCATCCCTTGTTTTGTGTTTACTGAAACGGCTTGGGTGCCGCTAGTTGCTGCGTCATATCCTGTGTGCATCTAATTGGTTGATGCAGTCTGTCAACCACGCCCACCGGGAATTCGCTGAGATCAAGCTCGTTCCCAGACTATATGTCTTTGAAAAAGCATATCGTTTGGCAGGCCAGGCAACTAAAGCCCCAGTGAACACAGGGTCTTCCGTAAATCTCCGTTTATGTCTCTTCACCGCAAACGTGAACACGCGGTTTCCACAATTTCGCATTTCATAAAAAGCTTGATTTTCAGAAGCGTTTACGAGTAAACGAAGGGTGCAAACGGAACAAAAAGTCCACGCTATGAAAAATAATCGGGTTCGTGTGTTCAGCCAATGAGTTTGATCCCGACCATAGACTTTAGTGTTTAGTCTTTATGGCTCTGTCATAAAGCGAAAGCGAAAGCCATAAAGAGTGTAGTTAAAGCGGCCCACGGCTCACGTCCAGAGGCCTCCGCAGCAGAATGCGCCACAGTCAGCTGTTACATCAACCCCCTGCAGAAATCAATGGGTCTCTCAGCCATCTGGTTTCATCACTATCATCCTCATCTCAACAATAACATCAACATATAGCCGTACACAACACTTTCTAAATGTAATTATCACACCATAGCGAATGAAGCGGGGCTATTATTTATTTGGAGCGAAGACCACACGCCGCGCCCCCAGACTCAGTCATTACGCATTTACAACAGCATTACAGAATGACATCAACGAGCTAGTTTTCTTAGTGTGAGTTCATCTCTATATGCTATACATGCATTGATATGACTTATAGCTTTGTCCACAACCGCGTCAAATGGTGGGACATCGGCGTTCACATGCTTAGCTCACCACGACCAGGTTAGCCGTTCCTGCTATCAGAATGGACACATGCTCTGAGCTCAGTACGACACTAGTGAGTCTAGTTAGTATATGCAGAATCATTGCAATCGTCAGCACCTACCCCGTGTTCCTCGCTTGTTTTGAGTGCGAGAAAGAAGATGAAACTCTCGGCTCTGTCCGCTGTCTGCGAGTCTCTGTTGTTGCTGGAACTGACGACGCACACAGTGTCACGTGACCGCAGCATCATTGACGTCATGAAATATCCCCTTCCATCATGACGCAGTGTTTTACAAACGCTTTTGGTTTTACTTACTTTACGCATTTATCATTTGCTTAATTCAAACAGATTGTTGGGTAAAAATCTGCACCAAATCTATTTAGTAATACAAAGTGTGCATCCATACATTTATTTCACCATTAAATCGTTGTTTTTAAAACAGAATATATGGAGATCATATGTGTTAATGTTCTGTATTTACTGTGTTCTCTTTACACTTATGCATAAACTCCCCCTCCCTCTTCTTTTTTGTTTACAATTAAACTAAACAGGTCACCTTTACTTTAATTACCAGAATGTTCCAGAAAGGAGGAGATCTGGAAAAATCGAGTTGCATCAGGCAGGTTCATGAAACAGTATTGAAGGGTGGGCTAATCAAATGATAAATTACATAGTATATGAAATACATTATACAACAACCCCCCCTCCATCTTCTTTTTTGCGTACAATCAAACCAACCGTGTCACTTTTAGTTTAATTACCAGAATATTCCAGAAAGGAGGAGATCTGGGAAAATCTAGTTGCATCCGGCAGGTTTATTAAACAGTAGCTCAGTGCGACAGTAGCTCAGTTGGTCGAGCATTGGCCTTAAGGCCAGAAGGACGTGGGTTCAATTCCCACCTCTGCACCTTCTCCATCGACTCCCACTGATGACTGCTGTCGTTGTGTCCTTGGGCAAGACACTTAACCCCACTTTGCCCAAAGCCCCCACTGAAAGATCAAGGCTATGCTCACACTCAGAGAGCAGCCGTCCTCCTGTGGACTCACCACCTGCAGAGGGTCAGTGAGGGGCTGGTGCTATGAGACTTGGGTGGCATCTCTGACTGCCACCCCCCTGACCCAGAAATGGATTAAAGGGTAGAAAATGGATGGATGGATGGAGGTTTATTAAACAGTATTGAAGGGTAGGCTAATCAAATGATAAATTACATAGTATTATGAATTACATATTGTCTAAAACAGTGATATATGCCAGGTGCATGCTACTGATTGTGAGGACGGCTTCTGAGTAGATTGTCCAGATCAGTCCTGTTGATGGTACCATATGCCTGAGAATAGCTTCCTAGTTTGGCTCGAGGGTCTCCTGCTGCTGCAACATTACTGTTATTTTGAAATACTTTCTTGCTGAAACGAGGAGGAGGTTGTGTGTCATGAACTTGAGATCGTTGGTTCTGCATAAAACATTCAGAAATACTGTTTCAATCAACCTTTTCAAGTTACTATTACTGTATGAATAGGTCATTATTGTACTGACCAGGCGCGCTGATGTAATGCATAGTCCAGAAGACAGCAGAGGGTCTTCTTTGCGAACCAATGGGTTGTTTTGTGTCTGGTTTATGTTTGAAGAGAAGGATCGAGATTGGTTCAAAGGAGCTGAGCGTCCTCGATGAATGATCTGGTCCATGGTCTTTAAAAGAAGGAACAAAGTAAAGGGACGTAAATGCTCAAATGTCATGTTATGATACTTCCATTACTTTAATGAAAGGGTATTTATCAGAACAGGGGATCAATTAAAATTAATTGAAAACTACGCACAAAACTGGACATTTTGATTAATATACGGCATAAATGAATCACAATTATATATCTATACATTTGTTTTTAATACTGTTCTTAGAGGGCAAAGTAAATGTAAAAAGTAATTTCTTCAAGGTGTGTGACTCAAATAGAAGGGTTATTTGTTCACTGTTCCTGCAAAACAACATTGCTTTGAGCATGGGCGGGCGTAGTGCATAGCATGACTGCCCATAATTCTATTGTTTGAGTTTTGAAGAAAGAAAGTACATGGTATTTCAGACGGTGTTTTTCCTTACTGTTGTGTTCACACTAGTGCCCTCTGCTGGTAAAGTAGCTCCATTACTTGGGGCTGCTTCTGATACAGTCGGATTGACAGTTGAGTAATAACGAGGATGAGCCCCTGGATTTTGCACGTATCCATCTAAAGACAAAGATCATTTATCAGTGAATTCTTCCATAACATTTCAGAAAGGCTACTCACTTTGGACATGTGTTATTGGGTTGTATGTACATTTTCCCACAGCAGGGCTCAGGGGCTGGTTTGTTCTCTCTGCCTCTGATTCGTCTGGATAAGCTTTAGAACCGGGATTTGACATAGCCTCATTTGGATTCTTGTCCATTTTCTCTGTTTCCCCAAGTGCTTTGTTGTCACTTGTCTTATTGTGACTTGATTCGACTTGTTCCTTGTCAGGTTTTCCATTTGCCCGGCAGCTGTCCCCGACTTTAGTTTCACTTTTTTGATTCATAAGTTTTAGCATCCCTTGATCATTTCTCTGTTCAAGCATCATCTGAAAGAGACACTTGTGTTGAATGAAACCATTTGCTTCATTGAGACAAACAATTCTTGAACTTTGTACCTCATAAAGCTTATTACGATACTGAACGACAGACAGCCTGACATCGTCATCAATTGGAAGAATAACATCATAGTTGAGGGAAGGTTCTCGAGCGGCATTGTGAAACCTATCAAACAAAAACAAACACATTGATAAATTATGTGAAAATGTAATAGACATAGGAGGCCAAGCATGCTGTTTGGACTTACTTAGCGACATAGGGATGCTCTAAGGCTTGTTCGGCAGTCAACCTCTTGTCAGGATTAAACACCAGAAGTCCCTTGAGCAGGTCCAGGGCATCAGCGGGGACCGGGGGCTGCAGAAGGTCCTCTAAAGGCACTTGCGGTCTGGTCAAGATTCAGTTCAACAATGATTATTATTTTGGAATCAGCTGCCCCACTCAGATGTTTACACATTCTGTAGATGTTTTGAAGAATCACTTTAAGACACGTTTCATTTAGGATTAGCAATTATTGCCACTCTATCACTTTTATCCTCTCAGTGTGGGCTGCTGCATGCTGTTTCATTTTCCTTTTTCCTGACACTGTGGTGACCTGTATGTTTATTGTTTTATTGTACAATGCATTTTTATTGTTCAGAGTACACTATAAAGCACTTTGTGTCCCTGGTTTGTGAAAAGCACTATATAAATAAAGTTTTATTACTTACTGCATCACGAAACATTAGACACAAAAGTCTTAAACCACAAAAAAACATATATTAAATATGAATATGAATATATTGAATGTTATTTAAAAACATATGCCAATTATTGAGTATTGAAAATCATTCTATCTAGACCAAAAAAGTAGTGAGCAGTACCTATGATCTCTACAAAGTAACTAACAACGTTTGTCACAGGCGTTTAATACATAAGTAACATATGGTGCTCCTTACTTTAGCAGCATTCGCTGAATTACAGAGGATCCATATTCAGATTTCATGGCAAGAATATCTGCAAATTTAGTTTTTTAGTAATTCCAAACGTCTTAGATTCTTACAGAAATATTAAAGGGCATTCATTTACCTTCAGGAGTTGGGTGTGGTATGGCACTCATGATCAGTTCTATTTGATTAATTGTAGAAGTTCCGGGAAACAGTGCTTTCCCCAAAATCATCTCTCCTAGAATACAGCCAAGGCTCCACATGTCAACTCCTTTTGTGTACCTGAAGCAACAAGATCTAACTAAGTCTATGATGAAGAGATGTTGTTGTGGGCATTAGGTGAATACCTCGGGGATCCAAGAAGGATTTCTGGAGCTCGGTACCATCGTGTGGCCACATATTCAGTTAATGCTGGATTCACACTGTCCTCCTGGATTTGATTGAGTGATCGAGCCAGGCCAAAGTCACACAGTTTCACTACACAGTCAGTGTCCAGAAGCACATTAGAAGGCTGCAATATATGTGCAGAACTTGTCAAAATTGTGTTGATACATAGAAAGATTCCAAAGAAAGAGATAATAATGCAGACACGTTACCTTTTGATCTCTGTGAATAACATTTCCAGAGTGCAAATATTTGATGGCTTTGAGGAGCTGGTACATCACATAACGCTTATGGATGTCTTTCAAAAGAGTGCCTTTCTTTATTACTGCATGAAGATCAGTATCTGGGAAAAGAAATTGAACAAGCATCACCATTATAATTGGTCTGTGAACACTATAAAACTAATCATGTTTATGGGCTTGTTCACACTAAAGGGCACAAAAGTGTGACAAAAGGCCAAAAATTAGATTTTAATAATCAGAAGATATTTTATGTTTTTCATGTTTCCAAGCACCTCCTCTGTCCTTTAGAAGTTTTTAGAACATAACTGTTTTATACATTAGACAAGTTTCCTATAGCGGCCCTGTTTATTTTATCTAACGGACGTGATGATTTGACGGAATGAGCTTTGTGCAAGTTTGATAGGTATTTTCAGATGTCCACATTTGATTCAGAGATTCTACTTTTTTACACAAAGTAGATGCAAAGGGATACTTTCATATTGTCAACCAATTAAATGTGAAAACAGACCAGATTTTTTTTCTTCTCAAGTTTAATTTTTAGAGCAAAGAGGACCGTCCTCATCACGTCCGTTATACATTTTTCAGGGGTCATTTAATTAGTTAATTATTTATTTATTTTTTAAGATTCCTTTTTATATCAAGTGATTTCCTCCTGTTGTGGTAACCATGTAAATCTTGTGGGATTTCATCTTCTGCTTTTTCAGACTGAGGACATTTTATTTTCTATGTAACCGGCGTCACAGTAGAATGGTCCAATCAGAGGCTGATTTGGTCGTTTAAAATGTTGCTAAACATTTTTCCAATCTATGAAAGTAATTTTAGTTTTTAAGTTATAACCTTTTAAAGTCCAGATACTTCAATTGTCACTTTACTGTGAACACACTCTTAATACATTTATATATATATTATATATACTATATATTTCAGCACAAACACTCACCCATGAACTCAAAGATGAGATAAATGTCTTTGTCATTGTGGGCTCTAATGACATTCAGAAGTTTCACAATGTTTGGATGATCTCCAAACGCCTGCATAAAGTAAACCAATTTAAAAACGTGTGTGACATGGATACCGTGTACAAGGTATCGTGTCAAGGTCATGTGCATAGATTATTACGTCATGTCTGTGTCAGAAGATGAGACACAGCCGACTTTACAAGGGAAATACCAAACAATGACATATTCATCAGGTGGAAAAACAAAAAATATCGCATTAGGTTAACTTATATGAAATAAACTCTATGCAAATGAAAGGGAGTTTTAAAGACAAAAAGTCAGGCACAATAGCAGAGAATGGAGACTTGAAGATATCTATGTCAAAATAATTATGAATATGTTGTATATACAACATTAACAGTTTACCTGCAGAAACATGATTTCCCTGAAGGTGCGCTGTAAAAACATGAGTAGAAAACATAAAATTGTTGTATAAATGTGTTTACACATGTGTTTAAAAATATTAAATCCTCACCTGAGCATCTGTCCGGTTTCTAAAGGCATCAAAGATTTTCTTAATAGCCACTACCTCACCAGTCTGCTTGTCTACTGCCTTCCACACAATCCCATAGGCCTATAGAGCAGAAAGAAACAGACACATTTGAACTAATGACAGTCAATAACAAAAAGGAGGAGACTCTGCAGTGCAACCTAAGACCATGAGCTTAGCCCTTCTACAGATGATGGGTGAGCAACCTCCCTTTGACATGACTTACATCATCATTTTGGATAATATTTATACCCATCACCACCAACACCGTGTAATGTAGTCTTTTAAACAAGAGTGCATTGTATTGTCCAATGATGTGCACAGTCAGACTGCTGCAGCAGGTGCTGAGTTGACAGCTTTAGTATCAGTCATCCATAGTCACAGGGCGAGCATCTGTCAAACTGGTGTTACAAGACACTTCAGGTCTATGTACCAGTAGGATATGGCTGTATACCACCTGGCCACGTAAGCGAACCCTGGTGTCTATCTATGGAAAATAAATAAATAATAACTATCATAATCCATAGAATGTATGGGGAAAACATCATGTGCCCCAGGATACAGATAATCCTACAATAGTTAACTCCCATGATTACTACACAGTAACACATAAAGAGCCTTGAGACTGGAGAATTTCTGGAATTTGTCCTGGAAGTTGACCAGGCAGAACACTGATCAAAATGCAAAATGTATCTGCAGAAGTGTCCATTTGGATAAACTTGGATAAAAGTTAGTGTGGTTTCTTTTACAGTGTGTTTTGGTATGGCCCTGCAGCAGCTGTTTACTCACCCCTTTTCCGAGTCTCTTTTTGATCTCATACTTCTGTGAAATGTGTCCTTCGACCTCAGGAACGCTTGCTTCATGTTTCTTGTTCATTGTCAAGAGCTCGTGTCTTTGCAAATCCAAATCATTTGCCAAGAAGAAAATGTAAGATTAGTAGCCAATCGATTACCATCATGTAGCGTTGGCGAGTTAACGCGTCTGGCCAAAGCTTTTCGAAAACTTTTGAATCTTCTCAAACGACAATACGAGTGTTGTTGTTGGTCCGGGTTGACTTCTGTTTCGATGTGCTGCGGTCAGAAAGCCACGACCTCAGATCCCCTCAAGACATCAGAAAGATATGAGCTGAAGGGTGGTTTAGGAGAGATCATTTGTGAATCCGTGTTTAGTGGCACCGCAAACAGGAAGCCGACAGGTTTGTATTTGTCACCGTGGAAACTGGGTCTGCGTCTCAAAGGAGCGCTCCTCACGCACGCGGAGCTCGTGTGCAAATTAAATACATGATGAAGGTGTGGCTAAAATACTTTTCCGTAAACCTTTCTCCATTTGTATTTGTATTTGACTTGTGTGAGCGTGTACTTTCTTTCAGTTTATGTAAATAACGTATTCAGAAGAAAAAAAGTTACTCATTCAACTGTTTTGATTCTAATAAAGTGCAAATAGTCCCTTGTAATCAGTGAATTACTCATCAGAGGCAAAAACTACAAGGTCTTAGCTTCAGAGTTGCCACTGTTTGTACGTCAGAGTTCTCAAACAGATAATATTGATAATAATTTATTGGGTTTATGTAGTTTCCATAATTAATTCACTCCATACACAGTGGGGACAATGTACCACTTCACCAGCTGCCCTGGGGCACTTTGAGAACCAGTACAACCAGTATGCTCCACCACCAAGCAGTCATGGACACACCAGACTCATTCTAGGCAGTTTGGCACCACAGTGTTCCCAGAGATCTCCCATCACAGTACTCCGAAGCCTGCCCTGCTTAGCTTCAAAGATGTGACACAATCTGGCTTTTACATGCAGGTGGCTCCACAGTTTAATTATTCACAGATTTCTTTTAGAAAATAGGTCAGAGTCACTAAAGGTTTAAGCAAATGTTCCATAGATGACAAGGTCTGATCTTTTGTATATGTTTATTCCTAAAAAGTGTTACATGCTTTCATTTAAAAATCAAAACTATTATTTACACAGATAAATCTTCATAAATAGTTTTCCTACTCTGGGTTTTAATTTGGCATGACCAAAGCAGGAGGTGGAAACGCCACCCAAAGCAAACTCAACTGAACAAAACAAGTAGGATGTTAAAAGATACATCAAAAGCATAAGGGAGAAACTATCAAATCAAGTGCAGTTCTTCTAAAGAGTAAAATAATGTATTAATCCTGACAGAGGATTACACCTCACTAATCTATGGTATATAAATATAAGTGAACCAACGTAAAGGCTTTGGTTTTTACAACCTAATTCTAATCTAAAAGTTTGATATTATAGTCTACCATTACCGTTTGTCGAAAGATCAAAGTAGAAAATTAGGTACATTTTTATATTACAGTACAAAGATTGAAGTAAACAGTTTGATAAGTGAAGAATGGAAAACTGTCTTTGAATAATTTATCACATCGAAACAGTCAAAGGCCTCAGGCAGCATAGTGTACCTTTGATGGCAAAGACCTTGACATTGTCAAAAAGTGGCTCAACAAACCTGGATTACAAACATGATAGTTAGGTTCTGCAAAGGTCACCACGCAAACATACTGCCCACATCGGTCCTTGGGAAAGTTTTTCAATATCTTAAATTCTCAACAAGAACCAAACAACACACACATAGTTTGGAGCAAGCAAGATGTTTCAGGAAGAGTGTAGGAAGCGGTTGAAGGCATTGTATGCAGACTCCAGGTCAAAGAGCATCTGGCGCACCTGATTATCATCGAGTTCATCCGAGGCTGACATGCTGCTGAGTGTAGTCAACCTACGGAGAGAGGACATTCTTATTGTTGGTTAAGATAAAAGAAATCAGACAGCATTAGATCGATTTCAGTTGTTTTAGATATCCTAGTTTACAACGTAAGGTAAATGAGAACGCACACTATAGGGACTTTTAACATCAGTGCACATGAGTAGGAGAGCGTCATGAGATAAATACTTGATATAATTTTACTCCTAAAGAAAATTGTGCATTAGTACCTTTCTCACATTCACACACAGCAAGATAATTAAGACGTTTAAATGGAATAGCAATAAATAAATACATCAATCCAACAGAAGTTAAGACACTGCAGATCCTGCATGAAAGGAACTTTTGGAACTAAACTAAGCCCTGATGGGTACAAACACAAGTGTTTGCAATAGAACCCCAGCCATCTAAAAAAGGCAAAGACAACTTACCAGAGGTTCACTTTGTCCTTAGCCTCAGAGTCTGGTGGCATGTTGCTCATTCTGTTCATAGTTTCCATTAGCTCTCGTAGGTCAGGTTGAATCTAAGACAAAAGGAAAGTAATAAAAAAATATCTCAAAAATAAATCACACATATACATTGAATCCATTCATGTACCTCATCCATGGCTCTGATCTCCAGTCTTAATTTGTCCATAACAGTGATAAACAACTTTGAGTTGCAGGGATGGAAAAAGAAACATTTTAGTAAGAAAACAGTCAAATTTAATTTAGGGCGTCACAAATATATATAATCCAATAAAAGTTGGAAACAGAACACCAAATACAGAACAAGCCGACACAAATAATAATGTGATCATTGGCTACCAATGATAAGTTAGTTTGATTGATTGAATGAAATGGTGAACTCACAGATACTATATCTGCAATGCAGCGGTTTAGGTTGCCTTTATCATCTTTGATTGTGATGGGACGATCCTCTTTAATCCTTTCCATTGCCAAAGGACAATCCAACTATGAGACAAAATGAATAGTTGATACATTTATGTAATTGTAAAAAATATAAAGTAAATAATCTAACTCACTCTGTACTTTCTGCAGAAATCATCAATGGATCCAACATCAGACCCTTGCACCTGTTTAAAAGCGGCTTTGTACTGAACCAAAAGCCTGGAGCAGGAGGCTGTGTATCTGTTAGCACAAATGGATTTAGGTAAATGATTCGAGGGAAGTTACTGCTTCATAACATATCATCTTACTCGTTAGGTGTTACACAGTCTTTGATGTAAGCTTTCTCAAGGGCCTGAAGGGTTTTGACCACAGCAAACAACTCTGCCATGTTATCATATCTATAAAAAAGTACATATTACATTATTAGGTCTGAGCTTAAAATGTATCAAAAAATATGACTTACTTTTCACGTTCCCTTGCATTTTTGTACAATTTTACTTCCTGAAAAATATTTTAAACAAATGTCAACAGTGGAAATATTTGGGTAATATAATGAATTCAAGAATAATTAAAATAGAATAGAAGTGTGGCTATATTTACCTCATAAAGCTCAGGTTTATTGGCTGGAGCTGTCAGAGAAATATACGTTTTACATGTGTAAACAAATCATTCAAATTTGCATTCATGCAGAAAGATATTAAGTGAACTATATTGAATCTTACCACCAACACCACCTGTAGCTGGTATCCCATGAAACATGATGATATTCAGCAAATTGTTATCTGTTTCAGAAAAATGTCACAGCTTTAATTTGATATTTTGGAAATACCAAGATGAAAATAGGTTATCTAAGATATAACAACATGGAGAGCACAAGGTCAAACAGTATAAAATACTAAAATAAAAGCCAGGGTTACATTTCTTGAACATAAATATTACATAATACGTCCACGCCAAACATAACTTAATAATAAACTTGACGAGATATACCACTAGTTCCAAATTAGTGGTGGCGTGTCCTGCATATGACATATTGCCAAAATCCACATTCAACTAGAAATAGGACTGTAATAAATAATCTGTCAACAGAGACATTTAGCGAGGAGATCATTATGACTTCTCGATGAAGCAGCTAAAGTAGCAAATGAAGCTATTGTTTTGCACTTCCTGGTTGTACCTGGTTGGTTGTAATTTTGGTGTACATACCTCTTTCTCTGTCACGATATCTAAAATAAAATCAACTCAAATGTTTTAATTGTATTTACCATAAAACAAAACAAAACAAAGATACAGCAGCAAAGAACACGAACCTCTTTGCTATTTGGGTTCTATGGATCTGTCGTAAACACTTCCTGACAGCGAGGACCTGCAGCGTCATGTATAGGTAGCAATTCTTTTGCCTAACATGAAGATTTCTTTGTGAAAACTTATCATCAAGATTATTATCTACCGAACACAAAATATTCATGATTTTTCAATATATACAGTTTTGTGATTTTTTGCTGCTATGTTTAAGAATAGATTAAGTGTTTTATAAATTTTAAGGCAGGGACTGCATCGTGGACCTGTTCTCAAGGCGCGAGGCACAAATGGATACAAACAACATCGGCTACCAAATATCTTAATATTTACAGTCTATGCTACCAACTAAAACATACCAATCAGGGAAAAACTACTTGTTGGTAAGGGATTTTACGCAGAAAATGTGTTTGATTCGTTTGCATTTATAAGCTTTTTAGTGCATGTTTTAATGTCTGTCTACCTATCCAGTTTTGCAAAATGAAAACTTCTGGGGTCGCAGCACGGAGCAGTGTTCAGAATACAGAGGACTGCGGTGTGTGGCTTGATACTGTGCAAATGAAGGGAAAAGCTCTAAAGGTAAACAAATATTAACTCTCTTTGGATTCTGTGGGTCTGTGATAGAATGCACTTTTAAAACGGGACAATGTTAATCTTATTGTATTTGTAAATATTGTTTTGTCATTCTTCGTCAGAAACGTTCGGCCAGGCCCATTTCCAAACTACTAAACCCCTTTGCAGATGGAGCAGGATACAATGTAGCTGTTGCTCTGAACTTTACTCAGACGAAATTGGAAATGCCAAAAACAAAACAAAGCTCAATTTCCAAGTTCTTTTCAGGTCAACGCAGAGGTAGGTTTCAGTTTATTACATTTACTTAAATGCTATATTTATATTTGATAAACGTTTCTTTTCTCTTCAAATAGTCCTCAACAAAATGTCTACATCTGTTGGACCAAACGAAGGCCCACCTAAGGCTATAAGAGAATCGAAGAGTGACTGTAAGAAAGAATCACTACAGTCTTATGCGGATTATAATCAAATTAACACACAGTGGAGGAAAGAAGACAACGAATGCAACTTCACATCTCTTCCAAACATAGACACATGTGACTTTAAAGAAGAATCCTTTATGGATGTAAGCCAAATCATCAATAAAGATGATTTACCATTAAATAACTGTGACATCACACAGGAGAGCAGCTACTGTAATCCTGAGCCAAGTTTTACAGGCAGTTTTGTTCCCCAGAATGGATTTAAAACATTTGGAGGTTTGTTCAACAATGAAGAGAACTCCTCAACTCAGAAAACATCTGATGGACTGCCTTTGCAAATTGATAAAGAAAACATGGCTCCCATATCTAACACGCATGTTCAGTTGCCAAAACGAATGCTGAGATCACCCACAAAGTTGGACCAAGATTTGGACTCATTCAAGTGGATAAAACCTAAAAGTTCTCCCATAAAACATGCAAACTGTCGGTTTAGAGACAGTGATGAGAGTTTGAGCACATTGTTCACGCAGGATTCACAGGGCTTCAGGGTGATCGCTCATCGAGGTCTTCAGCCTCTGAGTCCACTCAAAGACCAAAGCAACATTAGCCTCTCTGCTTCATGTCGTCCAGAGGAGGATGAGGACGAAGAGATTCTGTTTACTCAAGACTCACAGGGAAACCTGGTGATGAAACATGAACACCTGGACTAGTTACATTTGTTTTTAGTTAACATTTTTGCAAATATCACACCACTGAAGCACAAAATGGTTTAATTTTTATTTGTAAAATATAGTCACTGGTATCCATGTAAAATAAAATGATTTTGACAAGTTTTTTTTTCATGATTTTAAACATTACCAATACAAAATAACAATGTTCCATTAAAGCAGTAATGAATTGTTATGATAATTAGCTGACATAACGATATGAATATAAGTGTGTAGTTCAACAGGTCTATTAGATTCAGAATACAAATATGGTGAATACTAAAATAGTATGTTTTTTTTAATTTTTCTTACACATTTGCCTTATTAATATGGCACTCAAATGTAAGAAACTCGTGATTTGTCAAAATGTTGTGTGGTTTTTTTCCCTTAAGTCAAAGTGATACAGAAGCAGAGACATGGCTAATTCAACATTGTGCATCAATACAGTTATAAACAGCCTGGTGTTTATCCAGCAATCTCTGTGGGCTCTGTCACAAGTTTGGAGCCATCCCACACTGTCTTAAACTGCTCTGGTACTGGGAACTCTTTCTGTAAAACAAACAGACCACATAAAATATATTTGATGGATATTTCAGTATTCCAGTGCATGTATATTTGGCTTACATAGTCGTCCTCTCCTTTGGGAATCAGAATGTTCATCTCGGAGCTCTTGGCACTCACGATGTCACAGTTGAGAGACTCTTTGCTCAGATAAACCTGACAGCCTTCAGTCTTATTGATAGAGATGGTGGGCACAGTCCCCAAAACCTTGCATAGCAAAGAAAAATAGATAAGAATCAGTTAATTGTACACATAATAGTGATGTTATGACTATACACAAACTATAAAAAAATGTGTTTAATGACTTCCTTGGTTTTGTTAAAATAGTCAGATAGTCAGGCCATACTTGATAATTAAAACATAAATTCGGTACAGTAAAAAAACAAGTCCCACAAGTAGATGCTACAGTGGGTCGGCTGTTTTGGTGTCTAGATAAGAAACCTCACCGTGTGTGAATAAATGGAATAATGCAATTATTATCTGATAATTAAAGCCCTATTCTAAAATTAAACAGTAACACAAATAACACCTGTAGTTGGATGGATTTGCAGTTAATTATCTCAACAATGCCAACCACGTTTTCAAAAACCAGACCCATCTTCTTGCAGTTGTCTAGAACAGAAGAACACAATATTAGTTTGGCAGTCCCTTTTAGAGTTTGTGTGATTGAAGATATGTATTAAGAACTCACCGATAATAATAGAGTTAATTTTTCCTTTAACCTGGAGGGTAGAGTTATTGCAGCCAAAAACATAAACAACATGTTTTAACTCTGTCTCATCAATGACTAGGTCGTGTTTCTGCTCAAAGTTTTCCTGCAGAAGAAAGAAACTGAGTAACAAGTTAAAAATACAAAACAAAATGTCAGGCGTACATACCACTCGCCACTTCTTCCCATCCAGCTCCAGCAGAGGGGGCCGTTTCTGGACACTTGCTTTGGGAGAGCTTGCTTTCCCTTGGGCCTTTGTTTTGGCTGTGACTGTAGTTTGAGAGCGTTGACCTGGAGTTTTGTGTGTTTTTTTATCATCACCGACATGCTTCAGACCTAAAATGAGCAAAAATAAGATACTGCAGCAAGAGGGCAGATTAACGTGTGGGCATATGCAATGGTTCTACATCAATGGATCAGTTTTCCAAAAAATTACAACGTTTTTGAAGGGCAGCACACAATAGTTTGTTTAAAAATAGGAATCATGCAATGAAACAGCTCAAACATTATACATGAAACGGTCTCTTTATGAATAATCATCTGTTGATCATTACAAACACATTCATAATCCTTCAGTGGAAGCCGGAGAGGGTCTAAATAGATCTTTAGGTGAAGGACCAGACATGGAGAAAGCATAAGATGCTGGACAGATGGAGGTAGGATGGTTATTAATTTATAATGACACTAAAACAAGAACATTGATAAGAGGTTCTTTAATCCAAATAATTTAGAATAATTTTCTTTGCAGCACTCAATGGTAATCAAAACATGCAATAGAAATGAACCATTATCAACTCAAAACAATGGTACATTTGTCTTTTATGTTACGATAAACCCACCTTTAGTGATGTCCATGCCCTGGTTGAGTTGGGCAAACAGCGACGAGTGCTGTGACGGAGTGCTGCCTGCTTCACGGTCGTCTGGCAGCACTGGAGGTGGTCCGAGGGCAGGAGGAGGGGGAGGACAGGGTGCACCCGGGGCCGCGGAGACCAGAGACGCAGGAGCTATCGGACCCTGGAGAAAAGAGATAAATGATGAAAGCACCGTGGGGGGTATCAGCAGTAAGCCATTCGGACACTAGGGGGAGTGTGAGGCCTGGTTATAAGCAGCCATTCACGGGACCAGCAGATAGCGATGAATCGCAATAAATATTATTATATCAATAACATCACAACTTTATTATGTTGTAATTGTTCAGAATGATCTCAGTAAATCATTCAAATGTATCTTTATATTTGAAAGACAGCAGAAATAAACATAAACAAACATAATAACTAACTAACATACAAGTATCTATCCAACCCATTACAGCTCCAATTCTATTTAGAGGAAAATAACAAAAAATCTTCCCACTCTTTCCAAGAAATGTATATATATTGTACCGTCCATCATTTATGAAAGGAAGTTTTTAAACTATGTAGCCTAATTACTTATCTAAATATTACAGTACAAGCTATTGACATATTATTGTGTTTTGATATACATTGTCCTATTGTAAAATTAGTTTTAAATAAGAAAAACTTGATTGTGCCTTCCACTATCTCAGCGCTAATGTGGCGAGTCGACATGGACCTGAGTGACGCCGTGACAGCTGCAGTCTGGGGGTCTGTCACCTGTTGGATCATGTCCTTCTGCTGCAGCTGAGGCCACTTCACCTTCGTCCCCAACACATGTGTCCAACAGATCAGCCTCAAACAAAGAGAGCTGTTGCTCTACACAGCTCAGTGCATTCCTCTGGATTAGGAGCGCGTGTGTTCAGGCTGTGAAACGACCCAACTGCCCAAGTGTGTCACTGTCCTGCACTGGACTTTTTTTCTTCAAAATCTTTTTTTTTTTGGAGAGTGTCATGTGCCTTCCTCATAGGCCGATGGGATTGGGATTCAATTCGATTAACGTATCACCCAAGAAGAAATTACTGGCACTAACAAGCATTATGATTTGTCATATATAATTATTCTCCCGACATTATGTGAGAAATATAAATTTGTAGGGTAATAATAATCATAATAATAATAATTTGAACATAATAATCATTCATAGTTGTTCACACAGAGCTGAGAGAGGAGCCAGACTGAAGATGTAAATGTGGCAATGAGGCAGTTCCTCAGTAGAATTTAGCACCACACGCAGTAAACACATGACTTACAAATACAGTCCTAAGCCTTCCCAACAACTACTTACTCAACTAAAGAGCAAATAAAGTGCATTCGATTTAAAGTCTTATTTAAATTGGTCTTACTGAAAACTACTTAAGCCTGTGAACCGATTTCAGTAACACAACACTGAGGATCATCATGACGCATTTTCTGACCATTGGGTTTCAAACCACAATAAATGTAAGTATGCAATTAAATCTATGAAACTCATTTCTCGCTCTCTAAACAGTTGGGTTCTTTCACATACATGTATTTTAGCCTCTGTTACATCTTTAGATCAACGGTTTTAGTGAAAAAGAGACGACAAACTTCACTCAGCCAATTTCAGCCTCGTATTAAGTATTAAATCCTGAGTATTCTTCATGTAGGAAAAGTTAGGAACCCCAGCTTTAATTCACTTCCACTACGACTAAATTTTCACTATAGCATTTACAATAAAGGCTCCTGCACTTCCTCTGAACTTGAGACAATCAAATGAAACTGAATCCAGACTCTACACAGTGGACGCTGGTCGTGAAAGAGCGTCTTCCTGGTCCATTCGCCACCTTGCGCCTGTCCATGTCACTAAAAGCCTGAGCAGCAGATGACGCTGAGTGGGAGCAGCCCTGCAGTTTTTGGTTACGGCCTGAGCGAAGCGTACACAGACTCTTTGTCAAATACGTTGTGTAAAGAAACCCTTCATTCAAGTTGGACCCTGAGGACCACCTGTCGCAGCACACTTCAGCTCTGTTGTGCCACGGCAGGGCAGCAGCTGACACGCACAGCACAGCTCAAGTTTCTGAAGCAACCGCCACACGCTTTAACTGCGCTTTAGCGGCTAATCTCAACGTTTGACAGAAATATATGCTCCACATGTGAAGGCCGCGGCTGTGTAATCCAACAAGTGGCTCGAGATGGAGTGGATAAAGAGGACAGACCATCGACCACCAATATACTGTAATTTGTCTTTTGCTAATATGGATCGAGTCTAGATATCAAAATGACCAATAAAAGGGAAAATATATCAATGTACGGTTATCATTTTGAAGCTGGGAAACTTTTTGTGCTTTATAAATACTACACTGTGTTTGACTTGAAATAAAAAGTCTTGTGAAAGTAGAATGTTTTGAACAATTAGTCTATCTATTAGTCGCTTTGAGCTGATTAGTCTAAAAAAGCAGATCTCAGGTTGTGTTTCCTTGTTTTTAGAGACAGGAACTAGTGAGATTCATTTCCTGTTTGTAGTTTGAAAGTTAGGTGCCCCAGCTTTGGTGCGTCATAATAAAAACTTTCTCTTGTTTCACATCATGGATTCTTATTTTTCTTAAAGGTATATGGCAATTTTTTTGTGTGGAAAGAATCGCCCTCTCCACTTTTTGAACAAAACTCTCTCTTTTTTGACAAGCACTTATCACCAGAATGATTGACAATTGGGAGGACCAATAGTCTTGATGATCCACCCGGAAGTAGAAAATCCTCCTATATACCTTCAAGTCCCATTTTTAGTGTTACACCAATGGTCCAAGGGCCAGGTCCATTTCACAAATTGAATGTGTTAAAATGCACTTGGAATCTGACATTTGTTAAAAAATAAAACACATTTTTCATATTTCCTTACAACTACACAAAGTAATATGTACAGCTGAGACAGGATGCTTTAAAACAGATGGTTTGGATTTTCCAGAGCAAAAACTCCAAATCCACCCAAAGAAAGGGCCTCGTCGTATATTCACTCAAATTTATGGTAGGGCTGCTGCATAACTAAAAATGGAAGTTTACGGAGAGATGGACGATATTTATAGCTCAGATTTAAAGATATCAGGTCTTGAGGAAAATATGCTTTCAATAAACAAGTGATTAGGCAATGTCTCCACAGCCTGGATCCCGGTGTCAAATTGTGAAATAATAATGAGTCCAGGTTATTCGAGGCTTCATTTGAGAGCAATGTAACAAACAACAAGCACATGCAAGGGACTTAGGCAAGGCACGGCATGTTTATCTGTATAGCACACAAGGCAACTGAAAATAAGGGAAAGAAGTATAGTCTAAAAACTTTCACTAAAACTCAATATCAGACACATAAAATATCTTATAATTAGATTAGATGGATGTAACGGCTTGTATTGAGAGGTTTACTCACAATTTTGCTCCACTCCAGCCCAGTGCAGTGATGCTGTTTGATGTAAGACTGCATCTCGGTCCAGATCGACAGGTACGAGTGCACCCAGTCCACGTGCCGTCTGTCGCTGGAAATATGAGGCACAGAAAGTTCAAATAGCAGACATTTTCAAAGGAAGCATTTGGAAGAGGTCGAGAAGTGGATTTGGATTTTTATGCTTCAAAAATGTGAGTGGAGATAAGTCTGGCAATAATTTTACGTTTATTTAAATCTCATAAAACATTGTCAAATAAACAACTTGCAGGCGTAATAGTAATAACACTAAATCTTGATGCAACAGCTGTGTAAAAGTGTAGCTGGTGTTTTTGTACACGACATTACCTTTCCTTATAGTCTTTGAGAACTCTGTTAGTGTAAAAGGTGGCAGCATCGTTCATCTCTTTCACATATGGACCGGGCTTTAGAGTCTGAAATGTATCATGGAAATAACGGAATGCAAATGTAATTATAGAGTCTCAATATCAAAATAAACAAGACATTCTCCAGATCTGAGCTGATGTTAAACATGTGAGGGATTTGAGTAAAAGTGCAGACCTTAACTTTGATGTTAATGTAAATTTAGTTCTACTTATAACTGAGTGGGAGAGATGCTGCGCTGATGAGAAACAGACTGAGCTTAAAAAATACTAATAATAATAATATGCATTGTTGAAGTCAAAAACGTGTCTCTTTATTTGACACAAATCAGAATGATTTTATGTTCAATTGTATTAAATCCACACCACTTTGCATACAGCCACTGGGCTTCCAAGAAATATTCCCTAAATTGTTTTTTTTCTTGCATATATTTCTGAATGAGATTGGGAACCGGTAGCGTGAACAAAACTATAATTATAAACATATTTTCAATTTTTCAATATTATTGATTTTGATGTTAATCAGCAGCATTAATGTGAGTTGTTTCTACACATATTTTGAGGGCCCCTGACTGAAAGGATTGTGAATCACTGATCTAATGATGTGAAAATATTTAACATTTTATTTACTGTAGCATCCCTGCATGTGTTTTGTGTTTTGTGGAGTGCAACAGTCGGGCCTTACCACTGCCACCCAGCCCAGAGCCGGGATGCTCTCGCTCACAGCAGAGAGGTGGTTGAAGAGGCTGCTGCCGCGGTGTCGTTCCCTGAAGTTTTGGATTTCCTGGATGTGCTCGGAAATTGGCTTCAGCAGGTCACGCAACTCCGCCTGCAGAAGAAGTTAAATACTTGAATCTCAATTTGTTTGACAGGAGAAGACAGGACTTCTCTTAGTTCTCAGAACACTTGCACTAGTGGCACTAATTGGTACATGTTGATTTTTTCCCGGTATAAAATAATAATGGTTTTACCTTTATATTTGATCCCCAGACAAATAGGCACCAGAGGGATCTCAAAGGAAAGACCATTAAGAGGAAAAACTGTGGTTGTGTCATGTTTTGTATTACTGTATATGATAGTGTTGGATTGTATTGTGTGGAAAGTGTGATGGGCGTTGGAATCAAATAAGCATTCGCTTCATCGAGTTCGCTTCACCCCTTTTTCCAAACCATGTACCTGGGAAATGTCTGTGATGTTGACATATTTGAACATGTGTTTTTGCAGGTTTGAAATAAATCTAAATCTAAATGAAGCGTTGATCATGAAGACTTTTGAAGATGGACTGAAATGACCAAATTAATAAATAAATGTTACTTCTACCTACAATGTTTAAACAAGGCTGCACCTACAACTTTATAGACTTTTATTCAGACCTGCGGTTCATCTCGCTCTCGTCCTATCACTAAAACATTCCGGGTTCATGGGGAGATCCCTCAGTCCTTGTAAGGCAGGGCTCTCTCATTGTTTAAAGTTTACGTTCCACATGCACTGGCTGCACACGGCTGCAACAAGACATCTGACCCAATGTCCAGTGCTGCAGTGTGCTTGGTCTCTATATACAATCTATCATCTGTGAAAAGTGCTATACAAAGATTATGTATACACTTATAATTTTCAAATCTATTGAGATCTAAGTGATTACATTCAACACATTACGACTATCTCTAGCAATCTTTTCAAGCCCAAAACAATCTGAGAACAAAGTTTGCATATATGGATAAACCAAGAGTGAATCAAAACCAACATTGATGCTTTAAACTTGTTTATAAGCCCTTACAAGTACTAAACTATGCACTAGTTGTATTGGAAGTCAACGTTTCAGCATTTTTCTCTGCATCCTGAATTCTTTCCTCAATTAAACTCACATGATCTCAATGTGCACACACAGACACTCCTTTCACGTTATCTGTGGCTGAGAATTTCTGTCTCTGCTGCAAAGTGGTGATGCCTGCCTCATATTCCCGGCTAAGCAGGACAGGAAAGTGGGAAACTAAAACAGAACAGTATAATGAAATGTTGAATGATCCTTGGGAAACACTGGTCAAACTTCACACACAATACGGAACAGGTCACATGCGAGAGGAGCACAACTGACTCAAATATAGAACATGCCCTTAAAAAGACAGGAGCGCCGCAGCAGAACAGAGGGAGAGGAGGGAGAGGAGGGAGAGGAGGGATAGGAGGGAGAGAAAGGGGGAGAGATTACTGAGGCACTGGACACACTCACTTCACACACTTTCTGAATCCAGGGGCCATCAACACCCAAGAAATATTGAAGACAAGAACTGGAACATATTGATACAATGCAATAGACAGATTGGCCTTTATTCTAATCCATGCTTTCATCGTAAAAGCCAAAAATGTGCAGAATTAACACTTTCACACTTAACACACTCTTTAAAAAACCAAAACAGAATATGAAAATAACTTGTGCAGGTGTTTTGCGTCTGTTTGTGCAACACTGAAAGCCTGAAAAGTTGGGTTTGTTCTCAGATGTCTCTTGTGCTCTGGTAAAAGCAGCTAATGTAGGTGTTCACTGTGACCCATCCAGGTTTCCAGATACAAAGTGATAATTACAATCCTTCGGCTGTTCCTCGTGCTGTTCCAGACTGAGTTGAGCGTTTAGACTATACACGTTGCACTGCTTCTTGTTTAATCCTTACGAGTATTGCCCTTCTTTTGCTATCAATGCATAGTTTCAAGGTAGATTTTATTATTAAAGCACATTTACAATCAACAGGGCAGGGCAACTAGGGCAGCTGTAGCACAACATTTAGCTGTACCTTTTATGTCACTGATAGTTTACTTAATACTGAAAATGGAGAGAGGTTGTATGTCATTAGGCCAATTCAAATGTTGGGGCTGTGGCTGTTTCTAATGCAAAACTGCTGCTTCTACTGCAAAACTAAGCTCAATGTTGCGCAGAAAAAGAGTAGCACTGGAAAACTAAACTAAACTAGAAATGTACAGGTGAAAGCCACTTACAAGGTTAAACTCATTCAGAATAATTTAGAAAAATAGAATATAATGAAGAGTAGACAATAAGCGAATATAATGATAACAAAGGCTTGGCATATTTCACTTTCATGTAATAGGTCAATATCATAAACAGGTATCACATTTTAAGTGTAATTACGGAAATAAATAAACTTGCAAATGATCTTGTATGTTTAAGATTATACATACTTATCGATAATGACTTGAAAATAACTTAAAACGCTACATTTGGATTAATTCTAAAAAGATCAATGTCCATGCCCCCTTTCACATACACAATTCCTCTCTGTGTATGCAAGTAACCCACTCTCCTCTTGTTTGCATTTGGGACCAACATTGAATTCTCTTTTCGACCAATGAGCTGACGGATAGAGCCGGTCACTTCCTGGTGGGCTCTGTGGACCCAATAACAGCGACACAACACAAACAGGAGGCCAATGGGATGATATCATATGGGCTCACACTCTCCCATCGGCCTCTTTATGGACGCCAACATGCGCGGAATGTGTTGTATTAGCGTTTTCTTCCTCAAAGAGCCGTGTAATCCCTCTGTGAACTGGCCGCACAGCACTAAAGAGCTGGGCTGGTCAGATGATGTGACTCTATTAGAATAAGGTACAAATTGAACCTTCCCTTTTGTAACATATGACCCATTATTTTGTGGCTAATGCACAATTGACAACCTCTGTGCTTAGCTTTAGCATCTGAGGTCATTTTACATTTGACAGATATTCAGGCCTCAGCAAATACATGAATCCTGATTGATTTAGTGAATATTGTGGTTGGGATTATGTTGTGTCCTGATCCAGTAATGAGGGTTTTATTTAAATTTAAATTGCATCCACCCTTATAATTTCACTTCTATTACAACTTGTTAGGTGTTGGCCCTTAATTACCTTAGCAGGCACTTGGTGGGTTGCAGCCATTTTGAGAAACGTTCTTTGCGTCTGCAGAGCCTCGTGCACCATTTCTGCCTGTCAAAGAGAAAACATACTTAGTTTAAGAATAATAAAGAGGCCGTACATGAAGGAAAGTCCTTAAACTAAGTATAGTGCAGTGGTTTAAATGGATTTCTCTTCTTAGGCCTATAAAACTTGCACACACGCACACACACACACACACACACACACACATTCACACAATGTTTTGTAAGTCCCAGCGATCCGTGTCCTGTGTTTGGAGAGAGACCTCGAGGATCAGCCCAAGGGAACCACCGTGAGGTTTGACCATATAAGGAGCTCCTAAACTTTAGGATAGTACCTCTGGCTTTCATTCACATGATTATCTCCTCACACTTGTTACGGGACAAAACGCACAGATAACAGAAATTCTCTTCTGATGGGGCACAGCCAAAAATAGCTACAGATTTTGTTTTTAAGACAATCTTATTCTACACACTTCTATTTTGGTTTTGAAGCTATGGTTGCACATCTGGACTCTGGCCAAATAAACTTTTACACATTGCTCTGTCGAGAGATACCGTCTTCACCAAATAGTGTATTCCTTTATGACATTGTAATAAATGAGGAGAAGGTGCATCCACACTCCCTTCCATGATCTGTAGACTGTAGGAAGCCCATATGGGAAAGTTTCACATGTCTCAGGGAAAATTCCAGTTCAAATCAATATGCAAGTTTATTCATGTAAATACAATGAAAGAAATAATACAATAAAGTGAATATCAAGAAGTATAAATTAGGAACAAAGCCAATCAGACACATTCCTTTATGAACTGTGTGGAAAGTCAAAGAAAATTGTTCTACATTTTAGTGAAATCTAAACGCTGTGTCCAATGATCAGATAAGAAAACCTTTATTCGTCAGAAAAGTTGCACAATGCTTCTTCAAGAAGTTTGTTTGTATTTTGTCGACCTTTTCGCTCATATTGACTGTTCTTCAATTTGACTTTATAACTTCTGGTATCGTGAAAACAATATTTTACCACCAAACTTATGTCTGAAACTATATATTTTGTGGCTTAATTTTTCATTAGTACATTTTTGCAAATTTTCTGCAAAACAATGGCGTTTTTTCTGCAGAGGGCTCAATATGGATGATCATCTCCTATTTCTGCTGTTTATTTTCTTATATATCTGGGTTTTAGCAGTTTCACTTTTGTATCCAGAAGAATAAATTGTAAACCTTTAACAGTGTTTTCCTTTTTGGTTACACCATGACTCTCACCTATTTTAACAGCATATTATTGGTTTGGCATAATCAAATATCCTAATCTCCCCCATACCACCCCTATTATAGGAACAAATCCAGCTGTGTTCAGTGTTCAAATCGGCTTCTTCCTCATTTGGTAAACACTATGGGTGACGCTAGCACACGGTTAGCCCACTCCTAATACACAGTCTATGGCCAAAACATAGTCATGCAGTTTAAACGTATTATCTGACAAATGGTAAATATGAAAAACCCTGAAAGACAATAAAAGTGTGTGTAAAACAGGTGCGTCCAGACTTACATGTTTCTGCACGTCACTTCCAATGGCCTGACTGTGGCGAATGTACTCGGACACTGGGCCTCTCAGAAGGACGTCAAAGGCCTCCACGTGCTGCAACATATCTGAAAGTAACATTTATGTGAAAAAGACAATGCCTTCAAGTGTTGGCGAATTCATTGGTTGTGTAAAGTCCTCCGAGATAACTACTGTTGTGATTTAGGGCTATACAAGAATACATTGAATTGAATTGAATGGAAGAGGTGTCCGAGTGACCTACCTCCGTCCATGCCGTTCGCACAGTTCCCGTTGGTCAGACTGCTGGATACCTGCATGGTGACCGACAGCTGCTCCAAACGAGTGACTGCGCGCTCCAGTCGCTCTATCAAGCCCTCCATGGAGACAATCTGCTCATAAAAATAGATTTACAACATAATAAATCCTTCTTTCTTAGCAGGTTGTATCGAATTTAGCTCTACCAGTTTTAAATCGTTAAAGCATGGATTCAGAGACTTATGATGGAAAGTATTATTTGTCTTAGTTCAATGTTGTTCAGCCTTAAAAAACATTATGGAATTTTATATTTTTGTCACAATAATAAGCTTAACAGAATAGTTATTATATTTTTGTACTGATAGGTATACAGTATGTGAAAACAGCCCTCTTCTCTCTTGAGGGTGGTATACACTAAGTTAATAATTAGAAACTGGTATCGATCTGGATGATAATTGATTCTGGTATCAAATATTGGTGCCGATCCAGGAACATTTTATCTAGTTTTATGGTATTGGTTCTGTGATATTGGTTAAGCCGATCTCCTGATTGGGATTTTGCGTTTTAATTGCGAGACAATTAATCATCTGATATTAATCCAAAATTTCATCAACTTTGAACTTTTACTCAAATAGTACAGTAGTTCCATTGTTACTTGGAGGAAAAATAACTTTTAATGAAATACACAAGTAATCAGAACCTTTTAGTAATAGCAGGATTTGATGGATTCCCCTTCACTGGGATAATGCCAGATATTGAAAGCATAAATATCGAGATAATAATAATAATAATAATGCATCGGTTTTATATAGCGCTTTTTTGGACACTCAAAGACGCTTCATTCACTCCATACACTGTGGTGATAAACTACTACTGTAGGCAACCAGTATGTGCCATCGGCCCCTCTGACCTCCAAAAAACCATTCACACACACACACCAGACTCCTCACTGTGGCTGGTGTTCCCAGATGTTAAGTGTCTTGCCCAAGGACACAACGACAGCAGACATCAGTGGGAGTCGGTGGAGAAAGTCTTGTGGTGAGCTCGAACTCACGACCTTCAGGCTCAAAGGCCGATGCTCTACCAACTGAGCCACTGTCGCCTCCAATCACAACAATCATAATCCGAACCTTGTTGTTATACAGTATTCGATTTCCCTTCACTGGGATGGTATTGGGATGCCGATGCAGGTTAGAGGTTCTAAGAAGAAGGACTGTGGGGATGATCCAGGACACTCTATATTCAACAACTACGGACATTTCTCAACACTTAGGGACATTGGTCAACCCCTTATGGACCAATACCTTTGTGTTTCAACTGTTTGATTCTCAGATCTGTGTTGGCGATTTCAACGGTTTTGTTAAGTCCACTGAGATAATGTTGTGATTTAGAACAACACAAGAAAACATTGAATTGAATTGAAGTATTACTATATTATTCTGTCATGTTGCAGTCCTATATGCAGATTCTTGCACTTTCAGGTCTAATACCTGCTTGGAATTCTTAGTATTTACAACAAAAACATTTACACAAAGCATCCGACGGCGCTGTAAACAAACACACACTCCACAACGAGCTCCAGATTTCAGATTTAATATTTGATTCTTAAGCGTCCATGTTCACACAAGACAGCCACATATAGAGTATTGTTTCCTCCATGCCTGTAATCGAATGTGAATTATGTCTTGTAATTATGCGAGGCAAACATGTCTGACTGGGCGTTATCGGACTGGAGACTTCTCCCGCCTGTGCCAAATGCCTCTCACAAACCCTTTCCATCTATTTCTGGTCTCAGAGGTCAGCTCTAAGCCCAGACACAAAACCTGGAGTGCAACACTTGGACTGAAAACAAACCCATACTAAACACTACATACAGATTGGACTGGAGTTTGATGTGGAGCAAGATCGCACTTGTGAGGTCCAATTGAAACAGTATTTTATGGAGTTGTGCTATAAATATTCACTTATCTTGTGTTCTGTGTTCCTTATTCCTACTGTAACAAATAATAAAGGATCTACTTAATCCATCACAACAGCTAATTATATTTTATGTAGATTCACAAGCACGACATTAATACAAGGCTTAAAACAACTGGTTGGTCTGGTTCACTAGATTAGAAACGGACTCGTGAACACATTTTTGGTGGTTTTACATCCACATATAAATCATTTTGGCCTCATGTGAACTAGGCTTGGTCAAGTTAAAGACCTACAAGTGTGAACACTCACTGAGAAAGGTATCACAGCGGCCTTTTTATAATCAAGATGTAACTAAGATCCTATTCCCACCTGTTAATACCAATAATAAATCATAATCTTTGTCTATAACTATAATTGCATCGTGACGTGGCTGGTCTGGTCTGACATTGTCTTACTATCACCAGGCAACGCGTTTTCTTTTAGTACTGGTTAAAGTTAATAGCTTGGCCATAATCCCTGATGAGTCAAAACACAGGCTTTTACACAGCATGCATTTTTGAGGAGCATAATGTCCATTTTGTAACGCGGTGGTGAAAACAGGTGGGTAAATCCCTGCGAAAACCCCCATGCAACAGCTGAAAAGCAATCGCCCCTCTGCAGTGGAAAAGATATTAGTCTGCTCTGAGCGCCTCCCCTGAACCCATTGGTCTGGTCTGCATGGCATCTGATCTTTGGGCTATATTGGGCCGGAGCAGTCGTTTGGTGCTATGGTGACTTTAGTCCATAGGGTACCGGGTTATGTGCCATGCATTTGGTCATATTTTATAATAACTGATGTGCAACTGGGTAAATCATCCTAAGAGAATGACACATAACTTACATAAATGTGATCCATGCATGTGATTGTGTGGATTGTATTGTGTGTAAGTGGCCAGGGCTTTGACTGTATGTGACGTGACATTATACAGTGACGTGAGAGCAGCTTTAGAAATCCATTCTCTCTAAACCAGCCCATCTTGAACGACTTAGGATAACGTTTATTTACAAATAATAATAATAATACATCAAACTTGTATAGCGCTTTTTCGGACACTCAAAGACACTTCACATGGGGAATGAAATACAATAATAAAAACCAAACTATATACTATTGACTGCAGAAAAGAAAAGTATTACAAGGAGATGGCTCAATGATATTGTACCTATGTGTCATATGTAACTATGACACATTTGATAAACATTGGGAAGCTTGGAAACTGTTTGTTGCTCCACACAGATCTAATTTCAACTTAACATCTGATGTAGCCACTGTATTTTATTGTAATTTTTCTTTTGTTTTTTTCTTGTTTTTCATTTTAAGATAGTATTTAAATGAAAATAATATAAGACTTTGTAGTGTATATGTTGAGTTGTACAATTTTCTATTGCCCTAATAGAAAGAGAGAGAAAAAATAAAAGAAATCCATCCTCTTTGGTGATGGAGGAGACATAACTTGGCTCAATGACAAGATTCACCTCCCATGTTTCTCTCTGGCGCGCATCAAATGGTAAATATCACAGCAAAAACACACACATAAAGTTGTATATTTCTTTTCTAACTAATCAAGCCTCTTTGTTATTCAACGAGTGTATTATTATCCTTCAGGGAACCGCCCAGTGCTCTTGAGTCTCAAAGTACCCCGCAAACAGACCGTACCTCCCAACCACAGACAGTAGGTAAAACGCAGGCTTTTGTCTCACCTGCGGCGGCTGAATGTGACGTGGACGTGGTCTGCAGACTCCGCGGTGGTGGTGGTGGTGGTTCTTTGCTGGCGGCTGTCCCCTCGCCCAGTGCTGGGACTCTTCCGGGATGTCCTAATTAAGAAAGTGAACCTGAGAGGCTCTGCAGTGAGACCAGGCTCTGCAGTGAGACCAGGCTCTGCAGTGAGACCAGGCTCTGCAGTGAGACCAGGCTCCTGCTGCTGCTGCTCCTGCTGCTGCTGCTGCGACACCTCTATAATGTGGCTGTTTTCTTGGGCTGGAGTCGACAAAAAGAAATAGTTGTTCCAAATAAGTTCTTGGTCGTGTAAACAAATGTCACGTCGACTATAAATAAGGGGGCGCACTGTGAACTGCAAGAATTAAAGCTGGGGTACCTAACTTTTGTTCTCTATATCAATAGGCAAGGCAGGGGAAGTTTGTATAGCAGTTTATACTCAAGGCAACTCAGGGTGCTTAACAAAACAAGAAAAGAAACAGCTAAACAGAACTGTGTTGAACCTGGATATGGGCATTGTCAGAGTAGAAGCCAGTGTCTTACGTTTTCAGGAAGACTGTGCCAAATTATAGTTGGTTCATACAGAAATAACACGTCACAGATGTACTTTGGTGCAGGGCCATGGAGAGATTTGAGTAAAAAATAATACATGTTTTTGTCCCAGTAGAAAGAGTCATGTATGCCGCATTGATTTTATTAGAACACTTTAGAAAAAATAATTTGCACTTGTAAAAAAGAGCCTTGTAAGTCACTATTTGACACTTTGTGGACTGTGGACATAATGGCTGAGGCAGGGTGATCTAGCCTGGTCTTACCACACCATCATACTCATTTCATTTCACACATAGGGAAAAAGGTGATCTGAGTTTTTAGATTTTTATTTTTATATTGTTGTTGTTTGAAAGTTAGGTACCCCAGCTTTAATTGATGAAAAAAAAACACAAAATTACTGAGCAATAATAATGGTTGGAGATTTATTAATTAATTATTGTGTTCCACCATGGATATATGCCTACACCTTATACTCAGCGTGTGGTAAATCATATTTCACTAAATCGCTCAGTAGTTCAATATGGATCTCTTTCTAGGACTGACAAACACCATATATTTGAATGGATTTTCATCTGCACAACCTGTACTTTTCTTAGTACCAAGTTTTCCTTTGGTCTATACAGTCTACAATTTAGTTTTATTATTAATCTTTGTTATAACTTGATGTTGTAGCAGGCTTAAAACCTTGGCCAATGTTAACGATTATTCCATAACCACTCAACAAATCAATATACCATGTAGCCTTGAAGCTGGGATACCAATTTCCAATGAGAAATTATCTTGTAAAAGTAAAATTTTTGTGAACAAATCAGACAACAATGTGGTATCTTCATTTTTGAAAACACATTTTTGATATAAACTGATACTAAAGATGAGACAGAGAGAAAAATGTATTGATGATATTAATTGAACCAATTGAACTCTATCTCCAGGTATCCTTCTCCGGGTTGAGCCTCTGACATGGAGGTCTCAGCTGCTCTCATGCTTCACCGGGACAGAAATAGCTCCAGGATCACACCATAGACTTCTTACGAACATGACTAATTGATCACAGGATGAATCATTGATGTACCTCTAAAACTTACATCTGGAAAACTTCTGCAAAAGACGAGGAGGTGAATAATTTCATCATTTTGTATAACTTTTTATTTATTTTATGTTTCAGTACATCATTTTTAATATCTGGAATAAAGGTATAATACCAACAGGACCATTGTATTTCAATAGTAACACTTAACATGCCTTCATCCAGACAAATTTTCATATTTTTTCTTTCATTTTTTTTCATATTTCCCTTGTAAGAAATAGTTCAAGTATAAAAATTCCCAACAGTGTGAAATTTCCCATCTCATGAATACTAAGCAAAAAGAGCACAGCCACTGAAACCTTGACCACAGTCGTACATTCTAGTGGAAAAGAAAGCAGCATTTTGCTCAGTTTTTATAAGTTTATCATAAGCACTTAAATAACAACCCTCTGTACGAAAGGCTTTAGTCTATCCTAAAGGATTGTAAGGTACAGTGCACATAACAAAATAATATCTTAAATATCTCCTACACCAACTTTAAGTTGAGTTCATTATTATAAGTTATAATAGTAATAACATTATTACTAAAGCTAAGCAATAACTTATAAATGCCTTGAGATGAGTACAATATTTAATACCGCCGCTACTAGACTACTTCTAAAGAGCATCACCATTGTCAGCCCTCAAAAATAAATAACCATAAATATTTTTTCCTTATTTTTTTCTTTAAATAGTAGTAAATAAGGCACACTGAACGACGTGCTGTTCACCAGGTGTTTCTGACAGATTGGTGACTTCTTGGACCTGCCCAGAGCAGCGCAGGAAGTGCAGACTGCAAAGGCCGTGTATCGTCGGGATTAGAAAGTGTCAGTTCAACTATCGGCACAAGTGAAGCGTTCTTTCCAGAGAGCTCGTGTGTCAGCCTCCTACAGCTCTCCGCCTTTGTACTGTCTGCTCTGCGCGCAAATCTGTTCACTGCCACTGTTGCTCATTGTCCGAAGCCATGTTCAATCTATTGTTTGTGCCTTTATTTTATTGATGGAGTCAGCTTTAGCCAAGAGTCCAGTCCGAGCCGATGACTTGTTTTGTCTCCAAGTGTTTTCGGTGTGTTGCATAGGGTAAACACAGTATAAAAGGGACATTCAGCATCAGGACGATAAGGTAGTTCATCAAAAAATGTGACATGACAAGTTACAACTCTCGAGTTCCTTAGCTCCCAACAGAAGTTACATAATAATAAAACAATGGAAACGGCTCCATTTCCCTGATTATCAGAAATATAAACTAAAAAATGCACTTAAAAATAAACAAAAAGAACAAAGACTGCCCCCAAAATAATGAAGTAACAGTAATAAATATATAAATGTTATGAGGGCATAATTAAACCACCGGTGGAGCACCACCAGTGAAAATAACTAACGTTAGAGACAGCAATAGGACTTAAGGCTAGTTTACACCTATACCAATCACAGTGATTAGTTCCTGCATTTCTTCTATAGAAATAAGGTACTCTACTACAATGATAATAGTTATAGTACAATAATAAAAAAATGAAATTCACTTTCCATCATTTGTTCTGCCACTTTTTTTGTTTTCTCATTTTCGGTTGAAGCACAGCAAGTTGGAAAGTACTGTCAAAGTTCCCACCTCATCATCATCACTACCATCATCACCACTTAAACAGCAGCCTCAGAGCGGCTGACGCACCGCAAGACCACTCTCTTCCTTATCCATTTACGCTCCTGGCGACCAGTCAGCTGCGTGGGTGCGGGCCTTCCGTCTTCTGTGTCCAAATGCTGCAGTGGCGGCTATTGCATGCGGTCAGTCTGCAGCTGTTGAGGCTGGTACTGGCCAAAGGCAGCTGCAGCAGCAGGCGTGGTGGCGGCGAGCGGCTGCTGTACGGCGTATCCATAACCGGGTGTGGTCATGTATCCTGCGGCTGCAGGCGAGGCGGCGTACGGGTATTGCTCGTACGCCGCTGCAGCGGTGGCCGCCGCAGAGTACTGCGCGTAGGCCGCTCCAGTGTAGTCGATGTACGGGGAGGTGGCGGTGGCAGGTGCGGCTGCAGCAGCAGTGGGCACATGAGGGATCATCATACTGGGCTGGACAAAGGCCTGAGGGTACACGTAGTGGGCCGGGATTCTGTGAGACAAACACACAATAGTGACCACTAAATAAAGAAGAAAATCTTGGTTTTGCATCAAACACATGTAAAGCCAGAGGCTACAGCAGGATGGGGATCCCAAAATACTGTAACCTGGACTATGTGGTTAGTGAACGGTGAAATCACTCTGGTCTGAGGTCGGACAGAGGCTTACAGTGCCCCGGGCCGGTGGGAGAGGACAGAGGGGCTGAGCCCAGGGAGCTTTGTGAACATGTCAGTGCCAGTTTGACAGATGGACAGATTTCAAAAAGGACACTGCTGGCCATTTCCCCTCTCTGTTAGTACAAAGAACACAGAGTGGGAGGGGTGTCCATTGTGTACACAAATAGTCCCAATAAAAAACACACTTTGACATTGTTACAAATTAAATCACTAATAATGACAATTAACTTGAGCACAAATTTAACACAACAACCCCATTGTCAACCTGTTAACTACATTGTTGGAAGTGGAAAGAAAAAGTGTGAAACAGGAGCAGGAGATTGAAAAAATCATAAGAGTACAGTAAAATATTAGCATTGTCAGATAAACAAACTACATATATTACACAATGATAATAATAATACTAAGATGACATTGTGTTTGCCGTTTTTCTCTAAAGTTTGCCAAGTAGGATCAATAATCTTAATATTTCACTTTATGCATCTGTAGAACATGTTGTTGGAATCGCGCAACTTATAAACTTCTTCATAACATTTAAAGTGGAGGACGTTTAAGTCACTATCTAGAAACATAAAGCCACTATTATTTAAATAGTGTAAAAATAAAATCTTCCTGGTTTGTTGTTGTGACACTGAACTGTGTGCTGGCAGAGGAATGTCCAATTTGAGCCAACAGTAAATAAGTCCAAGGCTAAATAAAGCTTTAACTCGCGATGAGAAGAGTGCACTTTGGAGGGTGACTAAAGAAACGTACGAACTTTTATGTATTCATTTCTGACTCATACAGTATAACAACTATAGCATTAGCATAGAGTGTGTCCATGTGCTCAAATAAAGTTGGCCTTTATCTTGCTTGTGTTTGCCTGTGGCCCCAACGACTGGCCTGTGACCCTGTGTAAATGCCCCCTGCCCTGCTCTTAGTGACAGAGAGAGACAGTTCCTGCCCGCACACAAACGCATAACACTGAGCTTCATGCAAGTGCAGAGTCAGCATCCACGGCTTTGTGCGGCACAATGGCGCTGCTTGTTTTCCTTAACACCAGCGGCCCATGTGACGAAAAGGAGAGAATGCGAGAAAGGCAGACAGAGAGATCTAGACATCTGTTTGTGCCACTGGAGACCAGAGCTGAAATGGGAACGCACATGGACAAACACAAGAATAACTTTACTCAGGTTTACATGGGCACGTTTTAGCTCAGCCATTCTCTCCACTCAGCTCTTTTGTACAGGTCGCCATCACTTTGTTACAATTGATGGTGTCATCTTTTTAGTAGTAAAATCAAAAAAGTAATTAGCACATTAGTAAAAGAAACCACTGGATTTGAAGGTGCTGTATAATCATTACTATTTTCACTAAATCATTAAGGAAGAGTTGTCAAAAGTATCAAAAATCTAATAGTACATATTAAACTATATCAGAACAAATTGTATAAACCATTAGAGGGCAAAATTACAAATTATTGTTTAAAATAGGCATTTATTCATTTCTATGCTAAAGAAATGGAACTGTGAAGTGGGCGGAGCTTTAAGATATCAGAAGTAAAATTTCCCATTCTAAATCCCCATAGGGGTTTTCAAAAAAAAGTCTTCTAAAAGATTTAAAATGTGTTAGGTGGTCATCAGCTATTTGGTGAGTAAGGACTACAAGATCTACATGAATAAGGCATGTTTATAAAACAGTGGTGTTTCTTTTGGACAAACTACTCTGCTGTGAATAGTGGTCATGAGGCAGCTAGTTAGCCTCAGTCGTTTCTTGAAATTCTTAATATTTGGACTCCTACGGCAATTTTGAATGGAGAATTTTATGTCTAGATCCCTAAGCTCCGCCCATTTCATTGGTATTACGTGTTGACGTAATTTTTTTCCAAAATCCAATTTTGACGTTTTGTATTGTGACAACAGTATTAGGGGAAGGAGAGGGATTGGTTATACTGTAGGCACGTCACCAAATTACCCAAATTGGTGAAGATCATTAAAAGCCTAACATTAAATATTTATGTTTTGTTAAAGAAAGAGACAGACCACTCACTCCAAAAGTGCATCTTAATCAACACAACAGGCCACCCACAAGCTATAAGCAATACACATCAATAATCTTTTCTTTTTTTTCTTTTTTTTTAGCAAAGTGAAGTCCAAAAAACTCACCCCAAAAAGATGTTTTTTTTCATAAAAAGTGAAAAGCACACGGTTTAGCTAACAACACCACTTCATAACGGCACACAAAGCTCTAGAGTCTAATCAAATGAAACCAGGTGAAACTCCAAACCCACGTACATGCAGCTATAATCACCATTGAGAGTCTGAGATATCCCTTTCTCCTGTTTATCTGTCTGTATGATGTACGCAGAACTATCCCGCTGTAAGCTTAACTGAGAGTGAGCCTGTCGAACCAAAGAAAAATACACAACATTGAGTTTTTACCACCAAAGTTCACTACATGTACAGAATATTTACAAACAATCAAACCAGGAACAAGCTGTTGTCTTTAGGTGGACAAGATAATATTTATGTCCACTTTTTATCCCGCCAACAGGTATATTGTATTTGTGTGTGTGTGTGTGTGTGTGTGTTTTATAGGTTAAATTAAGCAAAAAGAACTGAGCTCAAATGTGTTGCATAGATGGGATGTGATGGTAGGAAGACCCCATCTAGATTTTGAGATGATCCGTATTGTTGGCAGGGTATGAGGTTTCCGAGTACTTTATCTAGTTTAATCTGTCTTAATTGGAGAAAAGAGGCTGCACATAATGATCGTCCTTACCCATAAGGCCTTTGGATGAATGCAGGGTGAATCTGGGGAACCCCAAATGTGAAACCTGTAAGACAAAGCACAGGGAAAAGTTCAGGGTTTGTTTTGAAGACAGTTGACCTCGAAACATGTTCCCACATCCACACATCCTGAACCTCAAGAGAAGATTTACTTGTTTTTAGAAAGCTCATATTTCTCTCTATTTACCCGCTAGCCATTACGGTAAATCTGTGAACTGAAGTTGTGCTAACTTGTTATAAACCACTATTAAATCAGACATTTAACATTTTTGAGTGCGATAAATCTGTTTCACTGAAAGATGCTCCATCTCTGGTTGTGTTCAAATCCAGGTTAAAGACGGTTCTTTTTCGCCTGTGCAAACAACTGTAGGATTTTATCTCTACTCTTTTTATTGCACTATTCTCATTTATTATTTTAATCCCTTGTGTGATTTTATTTGTATTTTTAATTGTGATTTTGGTGTTAGTTTTATGTGACGATTTGTGCTTTGTGTGATGTGGACTGTGAAACCCTGCGTAGGAAAAGCACTCTATAAATAAAGATTGATTGATTGAACTATTTGAATAAATTTGGCCACTGTATTTAACTCCTAATCACAATGTAGCTGCAGAGGTAACTCTCATTTATTTAATTTAATGTCTACAATAATTTCACATAAAAGTGAAAAATATTATACATAGTTAAAAGTGCAATTTAAAGTTATTTCAAACATTTATTTTAACTAATTTTAGACACTAAAAACCTTTTGTTTATAGAACTATGTTTGGGAAATAGTTTTCTGGACACACCCCTTTTTTGTATTAATTTTCCTTACAAGCCACGAGGTGTTTCGCTCGGTCCCCGCATGGAAGATGCAGTAAAAGTCGGGTATCAGAAAAGCAACACTTTAGTATTTTTGTGTTTTATCTCCTTTTTGAGTAGAGCGACCAATGAGGTATGTCTCCTTTGCTGTGTGGTATATGTGTAAGTGCCGTTATTAAGCGTTAATGTACATTTTTAAGTTCCTTTCAGTTCTGAAGCCATTTTAATCAATGTTGGCATTTCTCCTCTAGACGAATAAATGTCTGTTAAAAACTAAGGAACAATTTTGAGCCTTAAAAAACTCAGAGGGAGTAACACACAACTTCAGAAATAATAGAACCTGCCTCTTCGCAATTGCATTTCGTCACGTCAAGGAGTGTTTTGTGTGTGTGTGCGTGTGTATATACATTTTTTTCACTCAACAGGTAAGGTAAGAGAGAGGAGGATAGGTATAGTGCAATTGGTATTAGTGCTGCCCAACAATACAATTTGCTATACAGCTACCATATAAAATACACAGAGTTATTAAACCAATATTGCAGTTCATGAGAAAATACACAGTCCATTCAAGAGATTACATGCGTTCAAGTCAACATCTTCAATGCTTCAAGAACCTGTTCTGCACCAAACGTCCCAGTCTCTAAACTGAAAGCCACAGTTGCCCTGGAGCTGGTACCTGGCTGCATGACACGGGGTTTGGCTCCCAGATAGGCCAGGTTCACGTTGGCCTTTCTGCCGTCGATGATGGGGTTGGGGTCTTTGCAAGCGCGGTCTGCGGCTGAACGGTCCGCCATCGTCACCTGTGAGAGAGCGGAAAAACTTTATGGAGGTTTCAGATGAATGAAGTGGATATGTATATGATAGTGATCCTCAGTGAGCCGCAGCCAGGAGAAAATACCTGATTGGTCAAATATGAGGAGTTTATGAGAACATGATGTGCTGAGAAGGTGGAAAGCAGTTAAGACAGATATGCACATAAATAATTTAGTATATAAAGGATCCATTTCTTTTTGTTTTCTGTATACTTGAAAGAATTTCCCAGTGATAATGTCTTAATGTTGTATACATAGACATACAGACTAAACACTAAGGGATTTCAATGAATTCACATGGCAACCGAAGACAGAAGAAATGAAAATACCACTAATGAAAACCAACATATAGTCCAAAAATACAATATTCGTTTATATGGGACTATATTTTGAGAACAGAGAAGCATGGGGTCTGTAACAGATAGTGGCAACTGGCAAGTATCAGTCACATGTGGATGTGCTTAAATGACATCAGGACAGACGGGGCCAGGCCTGACATCACCGGCTCAACATGGATCTTATAAATGTGACAAGCAAACATGACTTTAGTAGGCCTTTATCATGTGAAGAAAGATAAAAAACTATTTAACATGTGTGTACAACCACTGTAAAATAGTGCATTATTAAATAGTATGTTAAGATAGATATACACCATTGAGCATTGTGTAAATACAAACCCAACATTCTCTAAGAGCCTGAGAGCCACATTACCAAAGTATATTTCCATTTATTGTCCACAGTTTAGGCAGTCAAACATGCTTAGTCTGGTGTCATTTGAAAGTGTTTTGGGCACATTCTCTCTTAGGACACTGCATATAGAAAAACATTACACAATAACTATATGCAATACAAAGAACATACTGTATTTAGAATATGAAGTATCTTTTGGCCATGCGTGAAAAGATTTTGATTTTGGAGGTTTTGTTCAGTCAAATGTCAAATGTGGGGGCCATAGTTTGTACAGTAGGCCATACAGTCTTTTTTCCGAGCATGTTGTGTGTTAAGCCTGTGACTTCCACGGTGATGTTTCATGGGTAACTGTGATATGGTGTTATCAGCACGAGGCGAATGTCAGCCCACTCTGTGCTGTCAGTGTGATAGCAGGTCTCTCAAACGTGTCAGGGCGCATAACACCGCGCAACAAGTTGGTGGTGGCAACAAGATTGCAACATCATTTACAGGTCGCGTCATTAAAAACGGCACTGCTGATCAAAACATTCACTGGTGGAAAATATAACACAGTGAAAGACGGAGACAGCTGCGCGCAATAACGGAGTGGAGTGAATTTCTCTGTGCGTAATGTGTGAACAAGTGAAGTGAATGGATACTTACGAATCCATAGCCTCTGGATTTGCCGGTCTGTCTGTCCGTAATGACCACAGCTTCTTCAATCTCACCAAACACCTCGAAATATTTCCTGAGACTGGAATCCGTTGTGTGGTACGGAAGACCCCCGACAAAAATCTTTGTGTAGGTCGTGTCCTTTTGCGTGGTGTGCATTGTTAGTGCAAAATATGTTAATAAATAAGCTACGTAACAAAATAGAAATAGTGCAAAGTGATCAATACTTTGGGGGGGTGAACAAGGCAGAGTTAGCCGGCTCTGTCACTTGTTGCTTCACAGAAAACGAAACTACAAAAAAGAAAGAAAACTGGAGGTAGATCTAGCTTGTAAATTGACAGACAGTTCAATAATAATAATAATGGAGCGGATTGTTCCAGAGAGGCCTTCAGGTGTTCCCAGCGCGTCTTCGCAACTCTTGCTGTCTAACAAAATATCGTTGGGACCCATTCCTAAAAGCGCTCTGCTCCAAACTCCACCCCGCGCCCGGTCCGCCCGCGCCGCCCACCAGAGCGCGCAAACAGCTGGCAGCCTGCAGCCTCTCTCCTTCACAAAAGGTATGATGGGGCATCTCAAAACATCCCACAAGTGTTTGTTCTAGGCTTAAACACGTAGACTTTGAACAAATAACTAAAACGACCGATTGTAAGTGAAAGAAAATTACCAAATATGTCATGTTACTTTGGCACACAGGTCTATGGGTCATTTAAACAGCCTCAGGACACGTGCCCTTTACAGAACAACAGGTGACGGAACCCCCAACTAGGAAAGAATAAAAACTAATGTTAAAGCTGGGTTACCTAACTTTCACCGCCGTAAAGTGGCCCTGCATTTCGTCGGGAGCGGTAAAGAGGTCCGCACTTTGAATGCGGTTGGCTCTTTTATGCGGTTACTTACGGTAAATGTGGAAAGGGAAGCCGTGACAACGAGAAAGCTAAATGCTTTATCATTTAAAAAATCATTAAAAAAGAACAAAAAGAGGTTTGCGAATACTTTCACTGCCCACTTGTTCAATAAGATGCTCTCTACCACTGTGTAAAATATCATTCACTTTTACTGTAGAAATCCAGAGAAAATGGGGGTCAAAGTGTGCACAAGTGGTCCCAAAAGCACTTTTTAAAAATCATTTTTAAAAAAACTAAAAAAGTTCCCTGACTACTTTCACTGCACACTTGTTCACTGGGATGCCCTCTACCACTGTGTAAAATATCATTCACTTTTACTGTAGAAATCCAGAGAAAATGGGGGTCAAAGTGTGCCATTTTGGTCCCAAAAGCACTTTTTAAAAATCATTTTAAAAAAATCTAAAAAAGTTCCCTGACTGATTTCACTGCAAACTTGTTCACTGGGATGCCCTCTACCACTGTGTAAAATATCATTCACTTTTACTGTAGAAATCCAGAGAAAATGGGGGTCAAAGTGTGCCATTTTGGTCCCAAAAGCACTTTTTAAAATTCATTTTAAAAAAATCTAAAAAAGTTCCCTCACTACTTTCACTGCACACTTGTTCACCAGGATGCCCTCTACCACTGTGTAAAATATCATTCACTTTTACTGTAGAAATCCAGAGAAAATGGGGGTCAAAGTGTGCACAAGTGGTCCCAAAAGCACTTTTTAAAATTCATTTTAAAAAAATCTAAAAAAGTTCCCTGACTGATTTCACTGCACACTTGTTCACCAGGATGCCCTCTACCACTGTGTAAAATATCATTCACTTTTACTGTAGAAATCCAGAGAAAATGGGGGTCAAAGTGTGCCATTTTGGTCCCAAAAGCACTTTTTAAAAATCATTTTAAAAAAATCTAAAAAAGTTCCCTCACTACTTTCACTGCACACTTGTTCACCAGGATGCCCTCTACCACTGTGTAAAATATCATTCACTTTTACTGTAGAAATCCAGAGAAAATGGGGGTCAAAGTGTGCCATTTTGGTCCCAAAAGCACTTTTTAAAAATCATTTTAAAAAAATCTAAAAAAGTTCCCTGACTGATTTCACTGCACACTTGTTCAACAGGATGCCCTCTACCACTGTGTAAAATATCATTCACTTTTACTGTAGAAATCCAGAGAAAATGGGGGTCAAAGTGTGCCATTTTGGGCCCAAAATCTCCCCTTCCTATTTCATGTGTTTTCACTGTTTCCCTACTTTGTTGTGTGACATGTGTTCTACAATGCATTAAAAGGCAGACATGAGGGGATGTCCCGAGGTGTGTTTCTCCCCCACGTCCGACCAACTCTATGTGTATTTATTTAATTATTTTCGGTGCTACTCTAATGTGATCCATTAATAGACAGGAGATGGGGGGGACCAAAATAGTGCGTTTGGTATGATATTATACACAGTGGTAGAGGGCATCCTGGTGAACAAGTGTGCAGTGAAAGTAGTGAGGGAAATTTTTTAGATTTTTTTAAAATGAATTTTAAAAAGTGCTTTTGGGACCAAAATGGCACACTTTGACCCCCATTTTCTCTGGATTTCTACAGTAAAAGTGAATGATATTTTACACAGTGGTAGAGGGCATCCTGTTGAACAAGTGTGCAGTGAAATCAGTCAGGGAACTTTTTTAGATTTTTTTTAAATGAATTTTAAAAAGTGCTTTTGGGACCACTTGAACACACTTTGACCCCCATTTTCTCTGGATTTCTACAGTAAAAGTGAATGATATTTTACACAGTGGTAGAGGGCATCCCAGTGAACAAGTGTGCAGTGAAAGTAGTCAGGGAACTTTTTTAGTTTTTTTTAAAATGATTTTTAAAAAGTGCTTTTGGGACCACTTGTGCACACTTTGACCCCCATTTTCTCTGGATTTCTACAGTAAAAGTAAATGATATTGTACACAGTGGTAGAGGGCATCCCAGTGAACAAGTGTGCAGTGAAAGTAGTCTGGGAACTTTTTTAGATTTTTTTAAAATGATTTTTAAAAAGTGCTTTTGGGACCACTTGTGCACACTTTGACCCCCATTTTCTCTGGATTTCTACAGTAAAAGTGAATGATATTTTACACAGTGGTAGAGGGCATCCTGGTGAACAAGTGTGCAGTGAAAGCAGTCAGGGAACTTTTTTCGATTTTTTTAAAATGAATTTTAAAAAGTGCTTTTGGGACCAAAATGGCACATTTTGACCCCCATTTTCTCAGAATTTCTAGAGTAAAAATGAATGATATTTTACACAGTGGTAAAGAGCATCTTATTGAAGAAGTGTGCAGTGAAAGTATTCTCAAACCTCTTTTTGTTCTTTTTTAATGATTTTTTAAAAGATATAGCATTTTGCTTTCTCGTCGTCACGGCTTCCCTTTCCACATTTACCGTAAGTAACAGCATAAAAGAGCCAACCGCTTTCAAAGTGCGGACCTCTTTACCGCTCGCGACAAAATGCAGGGCCACTTTACCGCGGTTAACTTTCCGACCACAAACAATGAAACGATGTAATAAAATCAATTTAACTAGATTCCAGCTTTAAAACCGTTTGGTTCTTTCACTAGTTTTCAAATTATTGATGTATTTTTGTGTATCTATAGCTTCTGTCACAACAATAGCCTTTTCAGACAGAAAAATTAAAAAGAGAGGACCACCTTCACTCAGCCAATCAGCTATCAGCTCAAAGCATGTACAAAATGTTTTCTCATCAAATGAAGAGAGCAGGATGCAGTCTGATTTTACATTTACATTTAACCTTTCTGTTATTTCTGTTGGGACGAACAAATACAAATAAGTTGAGTACTGAGTACATGAGGCTCTCTGGTCTCTCTCTGGTCAGTGAAGTCAAAGTCAATGTCATGGCATATAAATTACTTTGTAAATTGATTGTTGATTATTCTATAACTCAGGATGTGCAGATGTAGCTCTTTGTGTGCCTTTATATCCTTGTTCTGTACTTTTTTCATTATAGTATATAAAGTTTGATTGTAATTTGGCGGTGCAGTGCAATAAGCTTTTTGCTTCAGCCCACTCCCTTTGTGCAGTATTAGTACTGTTCAAAAAAACAAAATAAAATATAGATAAAGTAGATGGCCCATCATTTACTGCTTGGTTTTTACCTCCAATGTAGCACTTTACAATGGGAACAATGACGTTTATCTTATCTAGTTTCAAAAGTTACTCTCTACTCTCTTACTCTTTTTCTCAATACCTGCATCAACCCAAAAGAGGACATATCAATGAATTTAGTTTGTGTTTTACCCATTCACATGTCTCAGTATTTAAATATTCAATAGTTAGTATGGTAACACTACACCACACAGACGATGCCTTCAAATGCTTTGTGCGCCACAATCACACACATCATTGTAACATCTGCTGCGCTCAACCCAAAGCATCAGTCTATGTGCTATATGTTCACCTTGATGCATTTAATAGCTAATCATAAAAATGCAATGTTGTGCGAGTGCTGTAAAACAAAAAGCATTCAATCCCCATTTCATAGATACCTTATTGTTCTCTATAGGGATTACATATTTGGTATTTGTATGTGAAGATTGTATGTATGCTTCCCAAAATGCAAAATAAATGCTTTCCCTGAAACAATGGACAACTCTTGATGCAGACACTTGGACATCTTTTTAATTTGGAAAATCCCATTCATTTATCATTCAGTGAGAAAGATCTTGGAATAGTTCACCAGGTCACACAGAAATAGTCTTCATAATCTATTGGCTATTTCCTCTTATGGACACAATGTGGCCTTTATGGGTTGGTTCTTAGCACTTGAGAATACACACATACAATACCCAGTGGCATCTATCCAAACTGGAGCCACTACAAACAATTGCTCCCTGATCGAGTATCTTTCTGCTCTCTTACTGTTTTATTAATGCAGCCACACGCCTTTTAAAGTCAGGGAGATGCTGTGAAAAGAGGCTGGGATCAGGTTTCTCTGGACTCCACAATGGGTCCGGTCGGGTTGCGTCCTCTTGTTGTTTCTGTTTAGGAGCAGTGTGCTGACTCGTCTAAACCCTCACACACTTTCACAAACGCAGGGGGCTGATCCATTCAGAGACTCATACAACAGAAGTCATGTTGAAAAACCAGATATGTGTCAAGAGAAAAAACATATTGGTGCATCAGTGTGTTCTGTGTAATAACATCTTCAGTTCCTACTTACAATGAACAAATAAACGTATTACATAAACTTCAAAAGGCGCACTCAAAGTCAGAAATATCACAAAATCTACTGTAATGTGACTCATTATTTTTATCCTGTGAAATAAAAGTCCCAGAATCTGGACGGACCTCATTCGTCAGTCATCAGATTTGGTCTGTAGAAAAATACTAAATCATGTCTTACATTATTGTTTAGGCGTCAAAACCACACATTATTTCCGAGGTTACAACACTATCATTTCAGACAACTCACTTACTTACTGACTTACATGTAGGGAATTTTAACTCTAAAAGATTTATTTGTATACCACATTTCAAATAAAGACAGCAGCTCAAAGTGCTTCACACCAAGAAAGATATTGCAGTAAATTACAACAATATTTTACAGAGTTTAAGCAAAAGAGTCTTTAGTTTATTCTTAAATGAGCTCAACGTCAGAGCACATGTGATGTCATTAGGCAGAGCAGAGCAGGCAAGACACTTCCTCCACAATCCCTGGTATGAGTCTGGTGTGTGCGTGAGTGATTGAGGGGGCCCGATGGCACAAATTTGTTTCCTGGTTGCCTCACTTCTGTCAGTCTGCCGCAGGGCAGTGGTGGCTACAATAGTAGTTTATCACGTCTGGAGTGAATGAATATTCCCACATGTAGCCAATGCGTTAGTCATACTACATTCAGTTATAGGAGGAACGATAAGAAGGTTGAGGTCTGAGGATCTGAGTCTGCGACAAATTCATAAGGCACAAATAAATCAGAATTATACAGTATATGAGGGTGCTGAACTGGGCTTTATGAATAAGCACAATCATTTTAAAGTCAATCCGGGCCTGCATTTGAGCCAATGAAGAACTTTAATTACTGGTGAAGCTGAAGTTTGAATAAGCTTGTAGATTTTTTCAAGAGGAAGTCCTGAGATGAGTGTTACAGTAATAATAATAATAATAATAATACCTACACGCAAGATACATTTAGTGATGTGCGTTGTGTTGCCTAAGATGGAGCTCTGAGTAAATGATGACAGGTCCAATCATAAATGTTCCTTTTTTCTGTAGGTCAAATTATAATAATTGCAGTTTTATCTGGATTTAGTTGAAGAACATTTATCCTCGTCCAGTTACTGATGTTTAAGTCTATGCCAAACACATTGCACTTCTGTGAACATAAATCTACACAGCGTTCAACATCAGTGGCCGTATGTTTGCTGTTGTCACTCACTAGTTGATGCCACAGAAAATCTAAGGGTCAAAGATCGAGATGGCAGCTGAATACCCACGGTCACACTGAGGACACAGAAGTCAGCACTTTTTACATGATGAACTTAAGCCACATTTGAACCTAACCAGCTAAACACAAAGGTAACCTTTGTGTGTTGACACATAATATATACTATATGTTTCATTTAATCTTTACTTACTTGTCTTTCAATACTGTGAGTCTGAACTTGCATTACTTTATGCAAAGCGCCATACTTTCACATGGCTTTGGAAACAGCGCCATCTCTTGTCTAATCTTACACACTACAAAATAAGGTTAATGGCAGAGAATCTGACAAAAACAATCATTTTGGCAAAATGAAAAAGAACTCACACACAAAAATATGTAATTTGATTTTATCTTGTACTAATTAAACCCTAAAAAATATCATTTAAGTTACAATCAAAGAAATAGCATCATTATCATCCAACATTTGTTACAGGGAAATAAATATTTATTCTATTGAGACAAAATTACATTAACACATAGCTTACAATATATTATTTGTTTACAAAAGTAAAACATCATTTTTGGCTCCAGTTCTGATTTACATACAAAAATACGTGACTTGGGATTTGCTTAAAAGACTTCATCATAAGAAGTAACAGGTGCAAAGCTCACATCACTGTTGGCCGAGTCTGAGAGCTCACCGTCCTGCGTCATTGGGACCACCTGGGTCTCTACACCCTGCCCTGACGCTTGTGGGGCCTGGGTGGGGGCCTGCATGGGGGCCTGCATGGGGGCCTGCATGGGGGCTGAGAGGAGTTCTACTGGGTCTTCCTCCTCCCCGGTGCTCAGGGTGCGGACCCGTACACGTGCAGACTTCGCTCTCAGGCGGGTCTTCATCTCTTCTTCCTTTTGCTGAAACATAAACATTGGTCAAACAAACACGAGTTCCACAGAGTTCAGAAAGTTATTCTTCACACACCTTCCGTCTCTCCTCTGCCAGCCGGATCTTCTCATCAATCTCTTCTTTGGTCAGTTGGATTTTGTTTTCTTTCAGAGACTCCAGTCGGGCAGGAGGTCTTCTCAAAGCCCCTTCCCCTTCAGTTAACTAAAACCAATGCAGATTCAATTGAGAATGTGATTATAAATACAGATATGCACTTGAATATAGACTTAAATCATTTGCTAAATCATTGCTAAAATTGCTTATTAGTTTAAAAAAATCCATCTTGAAAGTTGAATAGAAAGTCATATGATAGAATTTTAATCAACCCCATTCTCCGTTTGACCATATTCTACTGACTGAATATCTAGTTTCTTAAATCAGAGCTAACGTACCATGATGCTGTAGGCCTCTCCTGCTGTACCACCGCTCTCTCGGCCTGTGGGGATGATGCCTTGTGTTAGAAGCTCTTCCAGAATTTCACAGGACTTTCGACGCCCCTGACTTTGACTGTCGCGTCTCAACAGAGGAGGACTGACTGTGAGAAGAAAAGAAGAAAACGCCTTTTATCATCTACATTTTACCAAGTTTCTGTCGGCCAACTAACTGACCAATTTATTCATTATGGATTGCCCCTTGAGATGAATAATCCTTGATATGAAAGATACAGTATGTTTTTAGTTCAACATTGTTTTAACTAGAGATTCAGGACTCTCTGTCGCAAGGGTGTTCCAGCCAAGAGACATCTGGTAAAACATGTAAAACATCCAGTACGTACAATTTTCTTGGAGGAGGGACAAGCGTAATATGACTATATCTAAATTGTTGTAGAAAAATACCACCAAAAATACCACAAATACCGATACAAGGGTCACATCGTCACAGAGGATGTGACAATGGATGAGGCGGGATTATTTAATGTAACTTCCATTTTTCTGATAATCACTGCGACTCTGATTCAAATGCTATTTCTGGTATGGAGTGAGGATTATGTTCAAAGTAAACCAGGAGAATGCACATTTGAGGAAAAGCTGAAACCTGTTGTATTCAATTAAATGTGTTGGAATTATATGACAAGCAAGATCCCACTGTGCTTAAAATAAATGTGGATGAGTCTGTCAACTCTCTAAGCAGATACAACACAGATAACCCAACATATTAATATCTTATAGCCTTTTTTGACATTTGCATTGATCCTTCTCTTTCTAAGAATGTTTCAGAACTCTAAACACAAATACAGCCATTTGTTTCATATGAAAGAAGATCATTTGAGTGTAAAGGAAACTAGAAACTTGCAATGGCTGAAGCCATTGCGATTGACTGCGGAACAGATCTAATGTGGAAATCTGCTAAAAAAAATCCTTGAAATCCTTTAAAAAGCCTTGAAACTGTTAAAATACTTGATAGATATTTGAAACTCCTGAAGTCCTTGAAATTGTTGAAACCTTTAAACTCCTGAAATCCTTGAAACTGTTGAAACATTGAAACTCCTGAAATCCTTGAAACTTTTTTAAACCTGGAAACTGTTGAAAGTGTGGAAACTCCTGAAATCCTTGAACCTCCTGATATCCTTGAAACTGGTTAAATTCTTAAACAGCTGAAATCCTTGAAACTACTGAATGTATTGAAAGTGTCCTTGAAACTGAAAAATCCCCTCACCGCTGAAACAATTTGGTTCCTGTAACTAAGGAAACCTGGTCTGTGGTCATTATCTGGTGGTGGTCTGAGTCTTCGTTTGGGTCTTGGTCTGGTGGTATAATGCAACCTATTAGGTTGCATTATACATGAAAAAACCCTATTAAGTTGCATTATACTGGTTTACATGGAAAAATCCCTATTAAGTTGCATAATACTGGTTTACATGGAAAAATCCCCATTAAGTTGCATTATACTGGTTTACATGGAAAAATCCCTATTAAGTTGCATTATACTGGTTTACATGGAAAAATCCCTATTAAGTTGCATAATACTGGTTTACATGGAAAAATCCCCATTAAGTTGCATAATACTGGTTTACATGGAAAAATCCCCATTAAGTTGCATTATACTGGTTTACATGGAAAAATCCCTATTAAGTTGCATTGTACTGGTTTACATGGAAAAAACCCTATTAAGTTGCATTATACTGGTTTACATGGAAAAATCCCTATTAAGTTGCATTATACTGGTTTACATGGAAAAATCCCTATTAAGTTGCATTATACTGGTTTACATGGGAAAAATCCCTATTAAGTTGCATTATACTGGTTTACATGGAAAAATCCCTATTAAGTTGCATTATACTGGTTTACATGGAAAAATCCCTATTAAGTTGCATTATACTGGTTTACATGGAAAAATCCCTATTAGGTTGCATTATACTGGTTTACATGGAAAAATCCCTATTAGGTTGCATGATTACACTGAAGTCCTTGAAACTGCTGAAGTCCTTGAAACTGCTGAAGTCCTTGAAACTGCTGAAGTCCTTGAAACTGTTGAAGTCCTTGAAACTCTTGAAATCTTGAAACTGCTGAAATCCTTGAAACTGTTGAATCCTTGAAACTGTTGAATCATTGAAACTGTAGAAATGTCTGAAAGAGCTGAAGTCCTATTAAAATGCATGGGCCTATTAAAATGCATTGCAGAATTCTCAATGCAGATTTTTGTCCGATTGCGGAAAAACCGGAAATCGCTGAAGTCCCAAAAGTAATAGCAATAATCTCCCAAACATGTGGAACGTTTTGATGTATAACTTGTGGAAATTGTTGAAAATGTGAAAGCTGTGAAACGTGTCAAAAAAAATGACGGAATAAAGAAATACAAAACCAATGGTTGACTGCGGAAGGTTCCGCAGTCAATCAATAATATAATCTAAAATCATGCAGCCATATGGAACAAGATAATAGATGCTTATCATATCAGATAATTAAAAAATACCCTGGCTGGACATTAGTATAAATAGTGTTCATAATCTAAGTTGTCTGAGGTTACAGATATGGCAGTATGTAGCAGACCTGAAGCCGAGAGAGGGGGCAGTCTGCGTGGGACGGCCCCTGGGAGAGCTGGGACCTCTCTGTTCTCCATCCCCACTCCGCTGTCAGTGGTGATCTTGGACACAGCAGAGTCTCCACGACAACTGTGTTTACTTTCTGTTTCACACTGATAGGTGAGACAGAGATTAGGTAGAGACAGAGATTAGGCAGTTGGATTTATAAGAGCTGTTGCTATAATATTATTGCTTGTTTGAATGTACTTTTAAAAGGGCACTAGGAATTTGCTTATTATATGTTTCTAGACTGTTTGACAGAATATTAAAAGCTGGAATTTAATAACTTCTCAAAACGGGAGAGGTGACTAACACTTCACCAGAAGATAATCAACATGGACTAGAGTACATTTTACTTCCTTTTATTCAGGCCAGAAGAGCAAAACAAATATCCTCATTAGGTTGTTAAAAATAGTCAGTCAGTCTTAAACATACTTTTTTGTTTTAAGGTAGGCTGCTATATTCTGATAAAAAAGACTCAAATCAAAAAGGTTTGAGAAAGGCATGCTAATTTATTTCACATATGCTTGTAAGCCCAAAAACATAGTTGAGGTCTTGAATAACTAATCTACCCCCCACGTAGATCCTATCGCCACAGACCTGACCTCACCTCATCTCCCTTCAGATTTCCCGGGACGAGTGGCCGGACCACCGCAGTGCTGCTTGAGCTTCCGCATCCCATGTCTGCACCTGTGCTGGTCCATAAAAGTGCCAATCTTCAGAGTACTGTGAACACAAACCCGGGAGTGTGGAAGTACTCAGTGATGGCCCGCAGCTCGCATGCCTGCACACTGCACTGTTGCTAAGGGGGGCCGTTGCTACAATAGAAGTGACCCGGTTAAAGACGTGACAACAGAGGCGCAAACAGCAGCTCGTGTCCCTTAAACACCGCTCAGGCACTGTACAAAGTGGAAGAGGCCCCACCGGCTACAGCCAGAGCCAGACATGATCCTTATGTGCAAATAAAGGCATAATAAAGCATTTCACCCTCAAATGAGTGAAAAGGAAAAAGATCCAAGACTATTTGTGTAGAACTGAGAAACAAAAAAGATCTATTTAATACATTTTACAATATAAAAATTCAATTAAATGTATTCTTGTATGGCCCTAAATCACAACAGTTGAATTCCCCAACACAGATCAGAGAATCAAACAGTTCAAACACAACAAATAAAAGAGAAAACACATTGTTGTTGGTCCAGAAGGAGTAGATAACCAACGTCCATAAATGTGGATAAATGCCCATAAATATGATACAGATGAAAATATATTTCACCTTCCAAAATAATCTATTGGTCAAAGCTATGGAGAACCCCTTTAAAACGTGTTAAAGGGTGTTAGGCTCTGCAACACGGAGGTATAATTCTGGCAAGCTGCTTTTCTATGCATTATCTTATTGTAGTGTTTTTCTTGATGTCATCGGATTGTGGTCACACCCCTTCATTAAAAAAAGTCCACCATTAAATCAAGCCAACAAAATTCCTGTTCATGTTTTTTTGCTCTCTGTCACACTTTTAGATCAGCTTTTTCAGACAAAAGAGAGGACTATGACCCAATGTGTCAAATAGTGACTCACAGGCCCATTCTTGCAAGTAAGCAAAATACTAAATGTTTTATAAGATGAAAAAACCATATTGTGGTTTGTTCACAAAATGTTTCATGACTCGTTCTGTTGAAACAAATAAATGTATTATTTAGTAGAAGAAAAGCACGGCGCCTCAGCTTTAACCTGATACTCATACTTTGGCCACATGACAGTGTTCTAATCAATCACAGAGAAACGTGATCTGTAACAAAGGGAAAGTTTCAGTTCTTAGTGTCTGAATTCATCGCAAACTGCAATAAAACCTTAATAAAAATGGAACATTTTGATTGTGAATTATAGCGTAAACATTCCAAAGAAATTTATGCTAAATATGTAATTCAATGCTACTTTTGCATTTTCTTTTTAATGGAAGAAAGAGCTGCCTAGAGCCATCCCTGCCCAAGGCCTGTTGATCATCACAGCCGTGGTGAGGTGCTGCGGCTGCAAACTGTGGCGGCGGTTTTGGCATCTGTACATTATGTCAAGAGCATGTGTGGTTTTGGCCAGTTTATCCTCCACTGTCCTCAAGTGGCACTTTGTGAGCTCCAAGTTCTGCCTAAAAGAGAATCAAAACACATCTATAGCTATTCATCCATTTCACATGTAGCACAACCTTTAAACTTTTCCTTATGACCCTATATATTACCACCAACAAGAGCTTGAGACTTACTGAGAGCGATTTAAAAATGGACGAATTCCTATTGCAAGGTTGGTGAGGTCGCCTTTCTCATGGGTAAGACTGACAAATGGCTGTGCAAGTTAGATAAATTAAACAGATAAGATATTTAAAATAATACCAGTAAAATATCAGTGAAATTGTCCTCCACAACCGTTCAATACCTGGTCCATGCAGAGCTCCTTTCCAGGCCTGTAGTTGAGTAAGTTCAAGCAGTGACTGGCCTGGTGAAGCTTTGTGTAACAGTTTTGCATCTGATTAGAAATATTCTGGACAGATTTCTTCCTGTTTGCAATTTCTTTTTGAAGCTTAATAGAAGAAATACATCACATGCAAATACATTAGTGGCTCTTGGTTCAATAACATCCTAATCTAGATCTTAATATTATCAGTTAAATAAGCTACATACATTGTCACGCTCCCAAAGAAGATTAATCTCTTCTTTCTTTAGGTTATGAACAGATTTCCTCAAAGCTGCATCCACTTGCTGGCGCCGGCAATCGTGAGCCACTTTAAACTGTGATATTCTATTAGTAAAAATGTGAAGACATTTCCACAAAAAATGAAAACTTACATGGCTGAGAGTGAAGCGCATGTTGGCTCTGAACGATGAAGCCTCCTGAACCTGCTTTTCTGCCCACATTCTCAGCTGGTTACAGTGGTTGAGCCAGTGGTCATAGCTCACTTGGCCTGGCTGGTTTTTCACTGCTGAAGGTGGAATTGCTGGTGCG